GAGAGAGAAAAAGAGGTTATCTGATGTCGTAAAACACATTGATGTCAAATTCAAACAATATTAATTGACTAATCAAATCAATTTCATGAGTGCAACCTGGTAGGGAACATTTTCAATTGTGGAAGTATGTGTGTGTGTGTGTGGTACGTGTCGATGTGTTCATGTACACTTCGGAGATGAGACCAGCTGCTAGAGGTCTAACACTCCAAATTACGGTATGCGAATTGTCAAAATCCCTTCCTTCTCCCACATCGGCAATCCATCGAAAAGTGTACAGTGACATACGCGTCCTCGATAGTAGGGATAGGTAGTCGAGGTAGTCGAGTGTAGTGTACATGAGTTAAGCTTGATGAATCTTTCGCCCCCCCGCCCCTGCACGCAACCCTGTGTGTCGGTGACAAAAGCGGAATGGCTGAAGAGGCGGAACTAGCATCATGGTGGCCACCCTCCCCACCAACTCGAATCTGCAACCTGTACGCAATAAATTGAATAATCTCAATTTTTGATGAAGGCATCTCATCTCCCCAGTACTGCACCTCTGTCAGAACACCACCCAGACACCACCCCATCAGCACGCACAGGCAGCAGAAAGGCAGTATTTCCCCCATGTACGGTATTGCACACATGAAGTCAGGTTAAGTGCGGGGAGGCCAGAAGGTGTGGTGTAGGTAGATGACCTGCCAACCTATCAAGCATGTTTCTAGTAGTATGTTAAATACCTCCGCTGGGCTTCTCCTCCAATGGCTAAAGTCCGATTCCCCAGTTCTGCCCAGGCTTGCCAGGCCATGCCATCACAGTGCAGTGCCGCGACAGCGAGGTCCATAAGCCGTCCCGCTCGATGAGGTCATCGTGGGGAGAGCCCAAGGACATTGCCGTGTTCACGTTGCTGCATCACCTTGTCTATAATCTTGGTAGGTATAATGAACGATACTCTGTTGCACCACAAATGGGAAAAGGCCTTATCTCGGGGGTCCATGTTGTTGCTTGCTGTTTGGGTCCAGGACCGAACCGCCAAATGACCAAGTAGTATCGATTCCTATTTTTGATGCCCCCCTGTGTTATATCTTTATGTTATGGCGAAGTGAGACAAGTGTGCGCTTCTGCTATGGGTGGCTTGAACAGCTGCGTCAGTTGTTCCAAAATTTCCATATTCGACCGAGGATTTGTCCGCGCCTACGCCGTAGCAGGCCATAGCTATTGCTACACTCGGCGCTGAGGCTGTTCTTTGGTACATCTACAAACAATAGGTAGATGATATGGATTTGCACATTGGCTATGTCAGGTTATGGTACGTCTTCACGCATTCCCGATGCTGCTTAGGAGGGGCAGTAGATCAAAAAGAGACAGTTACGGAGTATTTATTGAAGCCTTGGATATTGCTGCTGTACGCCAAAAACGGTCGGTGCTAGTCAATATCGGTAGGCCCTATTTCCGAACACTTATTCGAACACGTCTCGGCGTGTTGCAAATTCCAAGTCAAACTCAGAACATCATGACAACTCGGTAATAGCCGTAGTCCCAACTTCAGCATGACACAGACGGAGACTGTAACGCCCAGATAGGCACCAAAAGAAACATTATAAGACATAGGAGGATTCAGTAGGAGTACTATGCGTTAAGTTGGCATCCGTGCTTCGGAACACAATCATGATCTGAGATGCTGTGTTCTGTATCAGAGACAGATTACATGCGTCGCCATCATTACAGTCCATCATACGAACATTTCCTAGATGGAGGACCGGGAAGGGTGGCAAAAGCTGACAATCAGCGTCATTCATGTAACCCGGGATTCATCACGGCGACCTAACGGTAGCGTAGCACAGTAGACCTGGCATTGTTTTGAAGCTGCTGGCAGGCTATTTCGGTTCCTTGGCATTCCTATGACGAATGTTGCCCTCTTTATTATACGCTCGAGTCGAGGACCGACACCCACCAGCACAACGGCACCTACCAAAAACACACTCGGCCGTGTCTCAAAGTCCACGGCATGGCAAAGAGCTAGGTAGGTAAGGTAGGTAAGGTAGGTAACATCATGCGATGCGCACTTGGGTTATTTACCCAACATGATAGGAAATGAACCGTGGGCGATTTCTGTCCATACAACTACTACTGTATGTATTCTGTAGACAGTTCAACAAATAGCCTGTATAGACAATACCTGCATTTGAGAAGCTTCTCAAAAAGGGTCAGCAGGCTGAAAGGAAATGAAATACAATTATTTTATCCCCTTGGCCCCCATCTCTTCTAGGACGGCTAGACCCGATCAAGTAAATGGTCTAAGTGCAAACAAGCCGTGCTGATGCTCAGGTGGCTTGGAAAGGTACCGGTACTTGGTGCCGCTGGGGTAGGATTGGACAGGGATGATGTGTAGCCCTGTTCTCGCTAATGTACCGGGTACTGCACCAATGACGTAGGTACGGCTCCAGCATCGCAAACCCCTCCCTAAGTTGGGTTTTGCTTTAGCCTGCCTTGTCCATAGCGTGGCTTTTATCTTGACGCGGATTAGTGCGCAATAGAGTGACCATGCCCACCAACTTGGCACTTAGTATGCCACTTGGATCACTTGATGACTGTAGTTATCGTCATGACTAGAACAGCTGCTCTCGCCGATATGGACCAGAAATACGGCTTGGGCAAAGAAGCGAGGAGAAGAGGGCGAAAGACTCTAAATATGTATCCGGTGGTTTGGCCGTATCTGGCCGTACTTGGACCTGCCATGACAAGGAATGGAGAGGGCGAACACACGACACACGCACATACGGGGAGGAGAGAAAGAGGGGACCCTGCATGATGGTATAATGGCCCATCCTCCGCATCAGTGGCGTCAGCTAGGCCGACCAGCCTTATCCAGAGACCCGCTGGGTAAAAGAAAGTGCTTTGCTAAAATCAGTCTTTTTTTCTTCCATAGGTATATAATAGTCAACACGAACTCTGTGCCTACCAGACCACACTACACTGCTTATACATCATATTACACCCACCGCACTAGATAATCCTATGTAAGCCCGCCAGTCATAATTCTGAATAGTGAAACCAGGGTTCGCGAGCCAAGAGGCGAGGACTCGAAGGGTACGTAAGTATTCAGCACTTAGATAGATAGGTACATGTAAGCATAAGCCATATTTCTACCTGCTCCCCACGTAGGTACTGGTAAACAAGATTAGAAGAAATATCGTAGGCGGCGAGCTTTGGCAGGTTGTTACCTTAGTATATAAGATGCATGTTGCCGTCCCTATCACTTCCTCTCCTTACGAGTCCCTAACTCAGTACACACTACTATGTATGCAGGAACTGACATCCAGAGTCGAGCAATGGGATGCCATTGAGCTTCGTGTACCGGAACATGAGTACCGTGAGTGTTTATGCTCTAGGTACACCACACTATTATACTACCTACCTAGGTACTTACTAGCGTAGTGAACCCCTGATCAGCTACGCACGCAGGGCTCTGGTATTATACCGGCGCCATACCGCGCATTCCATGTACCTAGTGTACACCTGGGCAGTAACGTTGATGATGGGGCCCCTCTGCTTCTTTTCTACATATGTACATAGAACCTACTTACCTACCTATGTAGGTAGTAGGTAGGTAGTAAATAGGGTTGCCCAGCTTGTACGGCAGTTAGGATAGGGGAGAGATTTGTTGTAGATTACACCGCAGCCGGGCACGTGGATACACCAGATCTACGAATACCAGACAGGAAAACTTGAATCTAAATAAAATAAAACATCATAGCCATACAGGCACTTGACTCTAACTGGGTGGTATACCTACATGTATGTGCAGGTAGGTACCGTAGACGAGTAGAATAGAATACATAACACATCCACATTACTAGGCAAGGTAAGAGAGTAAGTATACTAATAAGTACCCACTACATATGAGTAGTCGAATGGAGTGCCGGTACACACAGCTTTACCAAGGTAGGTACTGTACAAGCTGGCACCGTGCGGAACGATACTGTACAGCCCACCACCCCAACGACACCATACCGTCTGCCTCATCTCATTTTGACTGTCCTTTTTTGCTTTTGGCTCCCTATCTGCACCGCACCGTAAGACAGAACAGATACGGTCGACTCTACCCTTACTACGCGATGACCTGGATGGGTACGGTAGTGCATTATGGTGGATTGGGCCCTTGTTTACCTGTACATGAATTCGCCTCCATGCTAACTCCATGTAGGTATGGAAATAGCTAATTCCATGTCGGCAATTTAGCTTCGTCAATTCCCATCTGGGTTAACAAGACCCTAGACCTCACTCGCACCCTTCCCGGCCCTATTAGACTGACACGCCTTTCCTAACCTTGCAGCGCTGCCCACTTTGGGAGTCTTGGACTTGGAGTCTCTGGGCCATGGGCCATGGGCCATGGATGGGGGCAAGAGCTCTGACAAAAACTAACGAATCTGTCAGTTGACGTATCGACCGTTCATTCCATCATAGGGATACATACGTAGTACATGGCATGGTAGCAAGACCCGCGTCTGTCCCATTGCTGTCTTGCATTTTATCTGAAGCCTGCCGCCGCCCCCCCTGGACACTCTGGTTTCTGTTTGTTTCCCTTATTTCAACTGCCATTGCCTTGAAATCATTCTCAGCCTCAATATATTAACGAGCGTCGTCGGTTTCATGGGCCATCATACGTGAACGACAAACCCTTAGCCATCATATCAACCACGACCTGACAAAACACCCCCAAGAATAACGCCAACGACAAGGGGGAGATCCCAAAAAAACCCACACCAGCTTCGTCGTTGTCCCGTTTTTCAAAAGATACATAAATACGCACATACACTACAACGCAGCCTAACTACCGCGTTTCTATACAATCTGCAAGTCTTAGTTCACTGTACAGTGTCCGCTCGAGACGGCACGGACGCACACGCCGACCTCCCAGATATCTGGCAGAACTTGCTGATCTCTGACTCTTCTGTCTTGAAACGAGCCAGTCCACTCCACATTCTCATGATCGGTCGACATCTAGTGTAGTGTCTAAAACGGCTGCTATCAAATTGGATACCACCATTTCCCTCTCCTCCTTCTGCCTCCCTCCGCCCCGGAGCAAGTCTACTAAGTGCGCTCGGTACGCTACTTGCTGTACAATATCAATTTTGGCCTCCAACCCTGCCACTACCGCTGAACCCTGCTGTCCCAGGACTGTTCTCTCTCCCACAGGGTATTGGGACTGCCGATCCGTCTCTCGACCTTCGTCACTGGACTAACTTTCTCTCTCCCTCTCTCTCTCTCTTGCTTTAAAAACTACCCAAGCAGGGCAAGCTTATAGCCCCACCGTTTCCTAATCATTGGAGTCAGTCCCCTATATTCGTCGATTAGACCTACCAAGGTGCTGAGTAGCGTATCTGCTAGCCTCCTGGTGGTACCTGGTAAAGGTATTCAACTGTCCGGGGGTTCCTAGTCGTGTCCCTTGTGAGCCTTCCTACGGGCACACACACATACACCGCAACACAAACACACTTAAGACTTGTTGATCCCCCTCGACACTTCGCGACAGCCCTCTTGTTCACTGGACCTTGTTAAGTGAAGTCACCATCTCGGCTAGGTGACACGAATCTGTTACCATCGGGATCTTGCATCTGATCAGCGCGAACTATTTGGGGCTTGATATCCTGAGCGCACGAGTGCATCTTTGTGCTGTTGCCGTTTTTGTTCATTTCTTTTGATGGTCTCGTTGAGCGCCTCACGTCTCGATAACCTTTACGCCTCTCCTTCTGGCCGACGATGACTATGACTCTCGACAACCAGTCACGACTCGGAGCTCTTCACTTCGGCCACATGTCTTCTTACCAGAATTCACCCCAGTTCACGAATCCGTGGAACTCGGGCTCAGCCAGCCACCATGGTCATCATGGCATGTATTCGCAAGGCAGCATGAGCCACAACCTCAGCGCCCTCGACTCTATGGCGAAGCACCATCCCGCCAACAGGCCAAGTGCCAATACTAGTGTCTCAATGGCATCGTCGTACGGCGGAAGCATTCCCGTTACGTCTTCAGCAGCAGGTAGCACTCACATGGCGGACGTATATGAACAACCAGACTTACTCAATATGCCCCAAGATCTCCTCAGCCTCAACCGAATGCAGACCACATCTGCTGCGTATGGAGAACCCTCGTATGCTACGGCAACGCCCTCTCCCGTTCACGCGACATACTCGGCATCACCTAGCTCTTATGATAGCGTATCTGGCTATGCGCCAGCTCCAATGCGCTCGACATTCGCTCTCGCGCCGGAAGCTGACAGCCGAAGGTATTCACAATCGTCAGTTTCCTCTGTACCGTCAATCAGTTCTAGCCCAGCCAGTTTCATTGGGTCTCATCGGGGCTCGATAGTTGACACAGCTCACAGAGGCATTCCGCCTACCGACGATCGAAGAAGTTTCGCCGATGCCATTGACGCGAGTCAAGGGATGCTCGCCATGAGCCAGGAAACTCCCCGGGCCATCTACCCGCCTAACCGTGGTAGGGGGTCTGCCGATTCGTATGGCTTTCCGTCAACGCATTCTACAAACTCGTCTATTTCCTCGGCAAGCAATTATGGTGGCGGCTATTATGCCGCATCTGTCACAGATTCGTCCGTCAGTGACTATTCAACAGCAGGATCAGACATAGAATCTGTAACTTCGCGAACGCTGCCTCGGCCGAACTTAATGACCCAGCCGCCCCCTGCCCCTCAGTCAATGATGGGCCAATTTAGCTCTAAAGTTTCGTCGAGCACGCAAAAGAAACACAAATGCAAAGTATGCGATAAACGATTCACAAGGCCAAGCTCTCTACAAACACATATGTATAGTCACACAGGAGAAAAGCGTAAGTTGAAGGCGAAGATCTTCGAGGTGCGTCTACCAAGACTAATATGAATGGTGTTAGCATTTTCCTGTGAAGTAGAAGGATGCGGACGCCACTTCTCTGTCGTATCAAATCTACGCCGACATAGAAAGGTTCACAAAAACGATACCAGGTCTGAGGCTGGCTCGGAAGACCATCAAGACGATCAATCCGATTAAGCCGTAACGACCATATTATAAATAATCCTACATTGGGCGTTGCAACTTAGCCGCCCTTCTACAATTCCTTGTTAACGGATATCTTACTCAGCATTTCAGCCATTCCTGACACTTTAGAGATATTAGCAACCAACTTCCTGTTTACTTCATATACTGGCGATGATTGGAATGAAAAAGGCATGCTATTGTCAACATGGCGGAGTCGGTTTCCGTTGCATTCGGAAGTACCGTGTTATGATCTTGATAGTGTCCCAGGTGGCATTGATGACCTTAGATTCTGGGTGCAAAGACTCTTTTTTGGCATTTACGCTTTTTTCGCTCATCTCTATGATTATCGCAACACGGGGGCGATTTTTTGGGTTCGGACTTCTGCGAGGAAATACCCTTCACCGATGTGGCGTTCGGGAGTTCTACGCCATGGGGTCACATTTAAACGATTTTTGCATTGATGTGGGTTTGATGAGGATACTGCCACCGGCGATATTACTTTGAAGGGGCAAGCGAATGGGGATGATGAAGGTGAATGAGGCAGGCAATTTTGTATCAATAGTCGTACGAAGCGTATACCCAGCAAGGGAGTGAAGCTCTATGGACAGCTACTAATGCTGTCCCTCCTAGCGGACACTAAGAGAAAGTGTACTCAGGAGAGAGAACTCACACTCGCTATGCCTATGTAATCTAATAGCAATAAGGATATTACAAGAGACTGAAGGAACGAATCAACTTGATGATACTTGGTTTTCCTAACCGATGACTTTAAGCTTTGAGAACCTGTTCAGATGGTCCCTAACTTAGCGCTTAGGTCTAAACAGTCACGAGAGGACTAGTGCACAACTACGGGCGATGATCGACAAAGCTTCAGTTCTCCAAACTTGCTCTCTGAGGACGAATTGTTCATCATAAGGACACCGCCAACCAAGCAACAAGGCTTTAATATTAGCCCTGGTTCCGTTAATTTTTCTTTCCTCCTTTCTTTCCCCGCTCCCTGTTTCCCTTAGCTATCTGAATTTGCAACCCCTAATGCTCTTATCATGGCTATAGGTAGGTAGGTAGGTAGGTAGGTAGATGTTTCAAAAAGAAACCTCGGCGGAATTTGGACGATCTTGGTCGAGGATCGACGCTGTCAACCCCCACACTCAAAACCTCCTCCTCTTTGTTTCTGAGACGTCTTTACCACCAATCACGAGGGGAAAAAACATGAGGTGGTCTCACCACATTGGATTGGGTGTCATTTCGAGATAGGGCATGCAGTGCTGATCTGGGGTACTATATTGAACTGACCAGGTTTGCGCAAGTTATATAATTTGGATTTTGATTTGATTTGATTACAGCTGGCAACCAAAGGCTCATATTCCCCCCTTCCCCCCTTTTCCCACTTCCTGGTGATTTATGTGCAAGTCCGTGATCCATATCCTGCTTCCTGTTCTGTTCAGGGCCGGAGGAAGAAGAAGGAGAAGAAGGAAGAAATGCACAGCTCAGCGGCTACTGATTGTACAGTGGGTGCCATCTATCTATCATACGATGTTCTTGGTTAACCGGGCTTACGTGTTAACAGAGGATACCGTGCGTGGTTAGAAGCATGTGGTGAGTCGTATCAGTCAGCCGTCAGAGCACCAAAGCCATTCCGCCAAGATGCTACTGTAAGTACCTAATCTAGGTATGCTTACTTATACACTGACTTATGTCACCCATCCCTACCTATAAGGAGAGAGGCAGTAGTGTATTGGAGAAATGTCCTCTAGTGGAGAGTGCTGCGAATGGAGGTGCAGACATGAGCACGGTAGGTAGGTAGTAGATATCACGAACAGCGGCAGTTGTCGTGACCGGTATAGGAGACTTTCCCGTACAAGGAAGGACCGGGGATAGCAAATCATATGTACATGTGAGTAAGAAAAGACACGCTAGAAGCAATCAAAGAACACAGAGTGGGTTCGTATGTAATAGAGTAAGAGGACCTTCCGTCTGACTCGCGGGGATCTGAAATAACCGTCACTTGATCCTTGAACCTTGATAGACTTGGGCGGACGCACTTAAGTAAATATATATACCTACATTAAGTACACATGGGCGCGTAAAACAGAAAGATGGGGAGATGGCACAAAGGGGCAAACCTTCACATGTAGTGTCCAAAAAACAAACTGTAGCATCAGCACGGACTCGCTACATATCTACAAAAGTGTACGCAATAACGCTCGGCGATAGTATGACACTACTCGTTGGTGATCAAATGGGGAAAGACAACCCAAAACGTTGTGAATTAGAAAGATGCCTGTTTGGGACGCGGGATCGGCGCTCGCTAAGCCCCGAAATCGACAACGGCTTCGAAAAGGTGAAACACGCTTTGTGCGGATACTGGCGAGGACTGGCTGGTACCAACCCAGTCAGATGCTAGGTCTGTTCTGCTTGACATAGACTAGCATCACAGTCATCTGTGTACTGTGACACTGCCATGAGTCTGCATGAGATTTGGGATTTGGCTTTCGAGATCGTAGGTCGGTGATCGTCACGCGCTACTCGGCGCTACTCCACGCCACTCATAGCTTCTTTTCTCTATTTCTGTCTGGCAGTTTGTACTATGCTACGTACTTATGCATGTACGTAGGAGAGCACTCAGTAAGTATGTAATAGAGGTATCTAGTGCTTACGTGTTTCCAGCGTACTAGAGAGACCGAGCATGCGCTGTCCTCCGCCGCCATCACCGCCGCCTCCTGTTCCGCGTCCGGCGCAATGACAACACGGCGTCAAAGACGTACTAGTATCATGCCACTGTGTATAAAATCAGATACCGGGGAACACAACTAGTCAGCCGGAGACGGATGGTCTACTTACTTAGAGAGAGCCACCCCAGGTAATAGTACCGCTTTGGGCGTCGACGTGCAGCGTCACACACCTTGGCACGACCTCGTTTATTCGTTTATTAGCTACGACCATCGACACACTACACCTCATTGACGAGGCTACGATGAAAGGGCGAATACCTGACGAGCGCTACGTCGCCATGACTTCCGCTGGGCATCCATAGCTACCTACCGTATGTAAGCAAACAGGCCAATAACGAACAAGAACATGGGCCGTATCCAATTATGTGTCTCGGACCACCTTTCCACAAACGTATCTCGAAGCCGGCTTTTCGTCTCGTCACGCTTGTCATATAAACCTATTCTCAATCAGAATAGTGGCCCACCAAGTTAAGACCCATCGCACCCCCCATCTGGACTTGATGCTGGTCATAAAAGCGCAGTAAGTCATGGGGCTTCAGCAAGTCCTGGTGGGATGGTTTCTTGCAATGGTCAATACTCAAACCCCGCCCGAAAAACGAACAGACGGGGGTCAACAGACGGAGACGAACCCTATTCGATATCTACGTTGAAAGATAGGGCGAGAGACGTCAAGGTGGGAAAGCACGTACATAGCAAGTGGCCTTCTTCAGTTCAAGGGGGCCGAATCAGATGGCAGAATCAAGTAACCCCATCTGGCAAAGCCTGGGTTTGCAGGTTCGTTGCGATTTACTTGGATACTGGGGCCAAATGGAGGTTGCTAGGGGCTAATTCCTTACTTGCCGCCTTGGCTTGATCATACTATGTATGTACTGTACATTAACCACCGAGGTTTGCGTAGACGATTTAGTTACAGCTGGCGCGGAGAAGTGAGAACATTGGCGAGTGCGCGTGCGTACATGGAACCGAAGAAATGGGAGGAATATTGTCGAGGCGACAGTTCTTTCTGTTCGCTTAGCTGTTCAGGCTAGGAAGTTCTCCACGCACACAGCTTGGGTAATGTGGACAGCCAGCGTCTCATAGATTGATGGGTGTCCCTCGGTCGTCGTCGTAACAGTGGCTCCTTCGGTGGCGATTGTTCCCGGGACACAACCCCCATCTCTGCCCCATCCCAATGACGACACGGCCTCATCTCGCCTATTGCTTGTTGACGGGCCGATGACGTTGAGTTGCCGCGACTCGGGTATGTCCTGGTCTGGTCCTGGCTAATAGTAGAGCCAACTGGGAGGGAGCGAACAACTGGTCATTGATCATTTTCTTACCGACGGGGGTGATTGGCCCCAGACAATTTGCTGGGTTCCATGGCTGAGATCTCTCACATGGTACGGACAACTTCCGTCAAAGATCTTCAGGGTCCTCCTCGACGGCGCATACATCTTATCCAGAGCAGACTAGAGGCACTGAAACGTTCCGAAACGGTGCATATTGGCTTCCTTCATGACGAGGGGTTTTGCTACGCGTGAGTGAATTCTTGGTAGGCTCTGCGTGCTGGACATAGATTCGTGCTTTTGCTGGAAATGTAGTAGGTAGGTGTGGACGTCTACGCAGTCAGATGAAAACACCACGGGCTTTTGCCACTGTAGAACGAATAATCTGTATCCCCGAATACTGTCTCTTCGCCTCGCCAAGCTCTCTCTCGAAATACAATGTATTGATTATCCATCTTTGGGTTCATTTGTGTATCCCATCTGTGACAAGTTCGGCGCGGAACTTCACCAGCCGATTTGGGATTCATGCCACCTCTTGTCAGAATCCTATGTAGGAGGTGGCAGTGTGCGCATTTCCGTCATGCAACAACAACAACGATAACAACAACAGGACCATGGCTGTACTATCGATTGTAGCCCCTACAGCTGGAGGCCTTACTAAGATCTTTGTCTTTCGTCGAGTCGCCTGCACAGATTTTCTTCTACCTACGAAGTAGATATTTGCTGTCGGCGCTGATGTACGAAGCAGTTACACTACGGGCACCTAGGAAGGGTGGGATGATGTCGTGCAGTGTTACATAATCATCCTTCTCCTCCTTCTCCTTCTCAGTACCTGGTCAGACGCCAATGGTTAGGATTTACCCATAAGATTCAACTGATCCCGTACTCTGCCCGTACATTACCGAACTTACGTGTGCACTCACCCTCACATACACATGCGCGTCCGTGTACAGTAGTGTACAGGCTCGACAGGTAGTGTGATGTAGCTAATGGAACGCTATGTTAGCGTATAGTCAGGCACTGAGGCCTTGGAGTTATCCACCTCTCCAGCTTAGCGGTCAAAGTAGTGTGCTGTAGAGACAACGAATTGGATGAAGAGGTGATCGCGCAACCTTCATACTTGAATATTGGTTGTGGCCCCTTGCTAAGTGGAGGCTACAGACTCAGCTTCTACTCTACTGTACATACTTACACGTAGCATCCAACATCCAACGCCCGACATCAGATGTGTCTATAGTGTGTATGAGCCATCAGCCCTCGTGATCTCGAATTCCCTGTCGTCAAGAGGTAAAGGAGAGGGACGTCACTCAGCACCAGGCACATACGAAGGCATAGGCATAGATATAGGGCATAGGCGGAGGCGGAGGCGGTGACAAAAACTAGGCTGCCGACCAGATTAGGTCAAAGTACGTGAAGCAGAAGAAAGGAAGAAGGAAGCAAAGTGGAACATTGGTTGACATTTTCAAGGGACAGATATGATGTCATGGTGCTTAGGATTGGGCTTCCCTCCGCTATCTGATTCGCTATCTGATTTGCTGCCCGTATCCACTGGCGCTGCAGTCTCTGCCATCCCTGCCTCGCCTGCACTTCTTGTAATCCCTGCCACCTTCCCTTGGCACGAGGGCGGTAGCGCAGAGTTAGCGGTAGGAAGGAAGGTTCGTCTGCAGCCGCCTGCACTCGCATTCGGAGGTGGGTCTGTCTTGCCCAAGTCCCGGAGGACTCGAAACAAGGTCTGAAGTAGCGGTACAAGGTGATGTCAGATATACCCTAGTAAATACATGCGTACCTCCTACTTACTTACCTAAGTACAGTGGCGAGTGGGTAGGATTCCGCCGTTGCACAGTACCTATTCAGATACCACATACATGTACCTATCTTACTGACACACTACCTACCTAAGTAAAGGCATGTCCATATTGGGTACTTCTGAATCACCTCCAACGTCTGTGAATTTCACAGTAAATTGCCCGGCTTACCTTAATGATGATAGCATATAGGCACCTCCTTGCTCCTACTTGTACATACATACCTCTTTTATGGAGTACCTACTTTCAGATAACTACTACTGGCTGTCCTGTATACCTTACTCAGGCAATGGCTACATATACTGCTACGGAAGCATTCCAAGCAGGTAGGTAGCTACGAAGTCGAGAATCGTATCAAACAGAATCCATATCTAATATAGGTGTGCGTGTGTGCATAACAAAGCTCCTGGTTATCGCTACAGTAACTCCAGCGAGAATACGAATAAGTACATATGTAGTTCGGGTCCTACAGCATTCAGGGTCCTTCTACGCGCACCAGATGAGCCGGATGGCACACTTCAACTGCGTCAAGTGCAGTGTGCTTAATTAATTAATGTAAGGTCGGCCGTTTCGAGAAGACAGAGTTAGAGATCCATGTAGTAATATAATGAGGTGGCCATGGGGTTTTGGTGTAAATGCCATCGGAGTTGACGATGGGAAAGCTGATCTTCTCCATCGGCGCCCCCCTCTTTCTCCCTCACCACACACCCCCTCCCCGGCCACAGGCCCCATCACTGTTGATGCATGAGCTCTACCGTTTTGATCACGGTGCTGTAGCGTACTGCACTGCATCGATGTCAGATCAAACATCAAGGAGATGGCTGGCTACATATATACGGTAGTGTGTACGTGAAGCACGATAGCAATCTGTATCTATACAGTGCAGAAGATGCATACCGCTGCTATATGCAAAACCTCCAAGCCACGACAGCGTCCTTATGCTGAGGACTTTGCAGTACAAGATACATATCTATTGATTACTATGGTGCTTCTCTTTTTGTTATTTTCTGATAATGGTGCTCTAGGTGTGTTCTGATGTGCGGTGCCCCGAATTGTTTTATATCATTCTAGCTTCAGAGGCCAACATAACAGATAGGGAAGCCTTCATCAGGGAACACTGTGCCCAGTACGCAACGACGGGTAGGATAAGTAGGTACTTACTGTGGTAGTCTTCGGTCCTACCTATCTCACCGCCACTTGATCACATTGTTACCTCTGCAAGCATATACGGAAAGTAGGAGATAGTCAAGGACAAATCAAGGACTCTTCATGTTGGCCGTTGTTGTCGACTGTTAGGCTAACTACGGTAGAACCACACCACGGTATCCTTCGGGGTGATAGGTACCTAGGTAATCACTCAGCTGCGTTAGCTGGAGCTGAAGTGTAGGTACACACGATGCTAGTGCAGTGTTTCGTGAGATACATATCAGATCTGTAGACTTACTTTATCATCGTGCACTATCACTGATCCTTGCTGGTAGCGGTAAGTGTCACATGTCCTCCACGGAACATAGCCGCGATGCAGTGCCAGTACGGCACGTGGATTTAGTGTGAATCTAGTGTTAGGTCTGTTTAACGCGTAATCATAACTACATATTCCGTACTCAGTAGTCGGTGATGGCATCGTCCAAGCTTGTTATCGTTAGTATGAGCTGAACTAAACTCAACCTTCACGTAGTGAGGTGGAGGCAGCCGCACTACCGCACCTACAAGATCTAGTATGCTAGAGCAAGTTCACGTCATCCTCGGAGGCGGTTAGCCTTCTCTTTACTAGTATTTGCCTTTTCTCATCCATTCATTCGTATGTTTCTTTTCTCTCTCTTTTTGTTTTACGTACTTAGTTTACTAAAATAGCTCACTGATATCTCTGAAACGCGAAGGGCGGAATAGAGGAAGGCCGGTTAACCCAGTACCCAAGTTTAGTGCTTAGGTATCACTTTGGCTTCCACGAACGCTCCAATACCTGCCAAGATAGTAAATATCCAATTAGATGTCTTGGACTTGTATCCTACTTAAATATATAACCATAGGTACCAATCGCTACATCACTTTTAGCACTAATTTAAAGCAGATTTAAGTATAAGATAAGTAAATCAACTAAGAGGGGCTGGACGAGACAAAGCACGTGATTAAAAATGGGCCAGTAAAGTATTGGAGCGTTCGTGGAAGCCAAAGTGATACATTGTATGTTTTTGAAAATACCACATTAGACCTTCCTAGAAGAACATGTTTTGCTAGCACGCAACTAGAAGTTGTAGAACCACCATAAACACACGTCTGCTTACTGGCTGATGGGGAGGCATCTCTCACGCCACTGGCGCGACTGCTAACAAGGTCGTTCTACCAAGTAGAATCTGTAAAGGCACTTCAAAGTATAGTCTGCGACTTCAAGTTGATCTTGAAAAATCAACATGTGACAGTGTTGATGCCAGAGAATGGCGGGACGTCGATGACAGGCCTAGTCCTTCAGGGAATAACTGTGTGCCTGTTTAGGCGGCCAATCATAGGTAACTAGGGAGAAGATAGGCGTTTACTCCTAAGTCGATCAATCGTGGGTGAAACCTTAGTTCTCCGGCCTAGGCAGTAGCCTAACGTGCAGAATCACTTGCTGTATGTGGATTGGTTGTATCTACAGGATTTCCGGAATAGTGTGCTCGGAGATCCAACGTAATCCATATGAACTCGTTCGAACAATTGGTTCATAAGCAGCGAGAGCATGACCTTCACGGCATATCTCTCTTGGAATTGACCCATTGAGAACTATCTATTATATTCCTACACTGGCGCACATGTGTCGTAGCTTGATGTTCTTGTCTGAGGGCCAAATTGGAATGAAGCAGTGATAGGAAACACCTTAGTTAAGGAGTGAGATGTGTACACTACATAGACTTCAATTTCCAGGACTATTTCTCTGACTACATGTGAGTGTTTCACAGGTTGTATTACCGTTTCCAGACTGGAATTACGATGTCCGAGTCTTGTCGATTAAGAACAGCTGATTGCCGATTACAAATAAAGGCAAGTAAATAGATGAGCCCTGTTAACCGCGAAAATTGACCAAGGGAGAAAAGTATGCTGTATTCCTTCGTGACGCTGCAGATAACATCGTGACCATTACTTGGCAATCTTCAGTGCTAAGAAGGGAGGTGACAAGAAACGCCTCACTAGCCCAGATACTAACTCGCCTTTAGGAGTTGCAAGAGCACGAATGATAGACAACACTCCAGTCTTGGTACGCTTTACCTTCAATAGGCAGGCAATGAAACAAGTACGGTTATGATGTTTTGTTCACATGGTTTTTTCGAATCAAGGATACATCTACCTATCAACTGCCTTAATCGCTACAATAGAGTGAAATGAACGACCGTAAGCTATATTTCTCAAGATGTAATCTAACGTCGAAGCGACACATCAAGCCATAGGACAAGCAATAGGCATGAGTTTAAACAACCAGGTGTCACCCACACCTCGGAGAGTACACATATATACATACATCAACAGTCCCCTGAACGAACAACACAAGAAGGCATAGGCAGGAAACCAACATCATGGAAAAGCTCTCCTTTTTTTATTATTCGAAATGGATATAATTAGATACTATACAGTACAAGACTCCATGACGCCGTATTTCCCTATTGCTAAGGCCCAGTGAGAAGCGAAAAAAATGATATATCTTTTCTACAACACAATCGCTAACTCTGGTCTGTCAATGCCATCCTCTTTGAGATTTGGGTAATAGGGAACTAGGGCATCAGCCTGGTATACATAAGCATCATTGTACAGTCGCCAGTATGGTTGTCTGACTTTGCGAGCTGGGTGGAAGAGGCCGGCCCAGACATAGTTCATGACGAGACCAGGGCCAACCGCCACGCGAATGGCTTCGATAGCTTCCACGATACGGTCAATGACGTGCGGGCTTGTCTCAAAGATATTGGGAAAGATTACGTTTAAAAGATGCACCATGGCATCTTCACAACCCAAGCCGACAACGCCTAGCGCAATATGTTTGACTACAGATGCGGCTGTTTGCCGATGTACTTGGTCTCGGTCGATCAAAGCATCCTCGAGCAGAGGCGTGACGGCGTAGACGTAGTCCTTAGCCATCTCTCCAATATACTCAAAAAGGAAAGAGAGTGATTTGAGCACACCGTTTTGCACATTGAGCTCAGGAACCCTATACTCGTTCATAAGGGCTGGCAGAACGGTAAAGGGGGCGCAAGTCTCTGCAACGATACCGATAGCAACAGCCGTGCACACTCGTGATTGTCGTTCTTGAACGCGAAGATTGTTGAGCAGGGTGGCTAATACATCTTGAGGTCCAATCGCCTTGGCGATGAAGCCAAACGTATTGTTGGCAGCTCGACGAATACCCTTTTTGTGGGCTTTGAGCATGTCCAGTAGTTCAAAGCAGATTCGCATCCACTCTCTAGCATTAACGCTCTCAGGACCTCGATCGGCGATACGTCCAACTAAATCAATGGTATTTTCTTGTACCTTTTCGTGGCGGTTACGGAGAATCGGGGTGAGGCGGGGGAGGAGATCCTTGATAGGAGGTTGCATTTGACTGATACCGACGACTGTAACAATCGCACGAAGAGCCGAGAGAATGGAACCCAAAACCTCTGGATATTCCTCACCAAGATATTCGTATAAAACAACACCTAGCTTTCCCATTAGCGCATCCTCACCGCATTGTTTCATGACCATGGCGATGCGGCTGATGAGGTCAGCGGCCTGCTGGCGAATAGTTGCAGATTTGTTGTTGAGGCGCCACAGAATAGTCGACACTATTTGTGGTATATAGGGTTTGCAACGTGTACCTAGTGCGTTCACAACGGTTCCAAAGCCGTTTAGCATGATGACATCCTCTACACTTTGTTCCTGGAAGGAATGAAGAATGCCGTCAATGAGTCGTTCTTCAAGCCGCTCACCAATGTCGGCAGCGCCAAGACTAGCAACAACCTTCTCGACAGTCTCAACTGTCATTTTGCGGTAAGCTTCGCTCTCGTCTTTGAGATTTCCAACTATTCGCTCTAGAATTTCGCTGACGCCAACCTTCTGGCCGATGTCGACAGTTGTTTCAACGACTTGGCGGTAGTTCCTTTTATCAAGAGCCATCCTGCGAACCCAGAAACTCTTGAAGAACTCATCAAGAACATGTTCTTTCAGGTAGCCGGCTGTGACGCCTTCAGTTCCGGCACATTGAGATACCACCTTTAGAACTACCTTTTTCATTTCCTCATCCGGTGAAGAGAATTCTCGAAGGAGGATGTCCATGACTTGAGAAGTGTAATAATTGGCATACTCCTCGTCCATGAGTGGAATGATGTAGCCAACGGCTTTGAGGAACCCTGCGAGACCTTTGCCACGCTGCTTTCGTGCGCCTGTCCACAAGGGGTTGAGGATGTCATCGAAACTTTCAATACCATAAGGGTTAGAAGCCTCGGCTAGAGCAGCTATCGCTAAACTAGTAACGGTTCGTACTTTTGTTTGCTCATCGTTTAGGTTGGGTCCTATACAATCCACAAGGCCTTTAAGGTGAGGTAGGACTGCACAACCCATTAAGATTGGGATTTGTTGTACGATTTTTACGCCAGTATGCCGAGCCTGCCAAGATTTCTTGCTGCGACATACGGCACGCAGAAAGGGGAGGAGGGCTGGGATGCCGAGAGCAGAAGCAACAACAGCAAATGCTCTAGCTGTCGTGTTTCGGACATACTCGTCAACGTGATCGATATCTGGTCTCATCACACTAATCATGGTAGCCAAGCCAGCTGCCTTACTTAGGTTGGAGATAATCTCGCGACCTTCCACACGCGCATAGTAGTCTTGATCGATGAGCAACGGTTCAATGACAACCAGAATTTTATGAACATAGGGGCGAACAAGATCATCTAGCTTCCACAGAATTCGATCGATGACCTTGACCAGGAGATGGCGCTCCTGGTCCTCTAATGTTTTCTCCATGAGGAGGGGTAATATTTGGTTGAAAAGAGGGCCAGCACCAAATTGCCTAGCATTGTCTGTGAGTTGTCGCAGTGCTGTTTTCCGCATGGGGGGTGTACCGTTCTTGATCTTAAGGAGGAGCCTCATAATCTTACGCTCCTTCAACTCATCTACTGTAAGACTGTTCTCATCGGAGCCATCTGCAAGCTTGCCAAAGTATGCCATGTCTTCCTGTTTGAAAAATTGAAGCTCACCCACTCCAGGAATTTCTTTGGGCATCTGGCTCCCGCTTAACCTGTTGCTTTCGGGGTCTTGCATCATGAAACCGCCATAGTTGGCGGGCAGGGGCGTCGCAGAGATCCGGTGTAATGGCGCGTGGCCAGTTGGATAGTTTGGTGGAGGTTGAGAAATGGCAAAGCCTTGTGCTTCACCGGGAAGCAGCGCATCAAGGTCATCATCGCTGAGAACACCGCTGGGGCCGGATATGTCCGTTCCAAACGACGGTACAGCACCAGCACCAATCTGAGAGGTATGCATTGGTGTAGCCAGGCCACTGCCCCCCATGGGTGTTGCGGATGGCGCTTGATCCCAACGTGAACGTTTCTTGGGGGCTTCTGCTTCGCCCAGGGTAGGGAGCGCCGGTGCCTGGTCCCACCGTGAACGTTTGCTCTTAGCCTCAGCCTCCGCGGCCGCGGGGGTAAGCTCGTCAACGGCTGTTGAAGACACATCCCATCTCTTCTTTCGTTTCCGGCCAGCTGTTACAGCTTCAGTCGACCCAGCATCATTGTTCTCCTTGTCGCCGTCTCGGAGAGTCGCCTGATGCTCTCCATCGACCAGCTGCTCTTCTTTCTGCTTGGCTTGAATGACACGCTTTACTCTCTCCTCTTCTCGTTCAAGCTCCCGAAGCTCCATCACATCACGATAGGTGCGGCCTTCTTCGATGGCGCCAGCCTGACGATTTGCGGCGAAGGCATCGGCGCGTGTTGGGGTAAGGACGCGGTCAAAGCGACGCTTTTGGTAATCGGTCTCGCGATCAACGATTCTTGTACTATGCTCACCACGGCCAGCAAATGGATCATCTTCTTCTACTCCATTCCCATGAGCAAACTCGTCGATCTGAGCACGGGTCGCCGTGTACTGGCCAACTAGGCGACGGGAGCTATCAGCATCCTCCATTTCCTCATCTTCTCCATCACCAGAGGGAATGGACGTGAGGTAGCCGGCATATCTGTCGCCTCCATTTCGATCGTATAAGTCGGTGTCGAAAGATTCGGTCAGTTTGGCCTTGGTTGGGTGATCGATCTGCTGACCAGACGATCGCGCTCCCTTTTTCGCAGCAACAGCAGCGTTGCGCTCAGCCTGAAGTTTTCGAACCGTTTCGAAATCATCGTCCGACATGACGGGCTACTGTTATGGTCTCAGAGGGACCATGTCTCGCAAGCAGGATTGTTAAGAGATAACCGCCGGTTGACGAGATCAAGATTGAATGGCTTATGCGACAAAGATTGAAGGTGCGTACAGTAGGTAGGTTGGCCGCGTGAGTGGATCAAGTGACTGGGGGTGAGCCGGAAAATGAAAGCTGATTGATAACTAATCAGCGCGCAACCTTGGAAGTTTCGTCCATTGTGGCGAATATGGTGTGGCTGGGGTATTCGACCCGTCTGGAAGCCAGCCGGCCTTAGCCACCATCTCATTCCCCAAGTCTGCCCAAGGCACCTAGGTATCTTAAGTACATATTTAAGGCACTTGCTAAGGTAACCCTTAGGTAGGTACATACCTAAGTAGGTACTGTTCGATCTTTTGGATATAATGCAAAGGTTCAGAAATATTCGTAGAAAAAGTTTGGTAAAGATACACAGCAACCTTGTGTACCAGCCAGCTATAATATCTCGTTGATGACGCGGTGACAATAGTCACTCTGCTACTCGACAATACGACAGCTCTACCACTGCAGCCAATATTCTCTCTCAAAGTACGCAAGACATTTATTTCTCGCCATCAATAGAAAAAACGAGGCACAGCTTAAATTGGCGGGATATCCACCTACTTATACAGCATAGTCACACAAGATAAACAAGTTCAGCTCTGGTTGGGGCGAGTAGTCAATTCGTAGTTCAACTACCTCATTCTGACTAGAGCCGTGAGCAACTGTACAAGTTGGTTTGACTGAGGAGCAGCTTTTGTCTCCCAGATATAATTCATTACATAGATCCACCACCTGACCCCTCAAATAAAAAACGATCCTGGGGCGGCTAATCCAGTCACAGAAATCGTGATCTAGTTCTTCCTCAAATACTCATCGTGGAGATCGAGTCCTGCCGCGCCGAGGACGAGACGCGCGAGTCTAGTTAAATGTACAGGTAGCGGTAGTGAGTGCCATTTTAGTACAGTGTGGGGTCGAAAATAAACATGTAAACATTAAGGAAGCTGATCGCTATCATAATCGAACGTCAAGTGTTTGGTTGCTGGTGTCTTTCCTCTCCGCCTCGGTAAATTAACAGCACCTACAAATTGACGAAGTTTGTGGGTATCTTTCTTGCTGAGTCCGTAATACTTTTGCTACTGTTCGACTTTCTGTCGTGGGGGTATCACCTGGCATTGATTGAAGAGCTGTATTTGCAGATCATAAAGCCGTCATATCCAAGCAGAGTCCGTCGAACAGTCATCTAGTTTGCCGAAGTGTGAGATGACTCCTCTCACACTTGTGGTACCCCAGGTCGGCCGCGACCGAGTGAATCTAAAAGCTCGTGAGGAGGTACGCGTTGCATGCCACTGCCACGATCAATCATTGATGTAGGCGCAGGCACGTAGCCATCACGCTTCTTGCGGTACCTGTCAAGCGCAAGACCGGCGGCCACAATGAGTAGCATCAAGCCAAGCGAAATTGCCAGGCCAATAAGCACGATATACCCAAGGGCCAAGCCACGTTCTACAATTAAAATTAGTATGAAGGAAAATAACGTAGGGACAACTACTTACTAGATGAGCTCTTGAAGAAGTTCTCCTTCTCGACGAAAATCTTAGACAAGGACCCAGGTCCCGCTGTTGTATTCGCGTCTGAAGTGAGCACATAGGGTTGAAGCGTTGTGCCGTTGTAGATAGCGCCAGACGCTGTACCGAAACCAGGGATGGCGATTGAGCCGGTCAATAGAAGTGCCTGTTTTTCGTCGATCAGGTCTGATTTGTCGTGTGCTTCAGTTAGGCTGAACATTTGAAGACTTGTGATGACGGAATTAGGCTCCAGCGTGATGCCAGCAGACGCCCAACCGCCATCATACTTCATCAAGTACATTGTCCCGTCAGGTCGAGTGCCAGCCGCCCAGATCTTGTCTCGCTTCTCGTCTGCCGGCGTTAATGCGTTCACTGGGCCAGGAAGACCTGAGGCGCCATCAAACAAAGACCAGCTATTATGAGAGACATCATAAGATACCAGATAGACATCGGCGTCATTTATCCGTAACTGTCCGCCAACGAAGAGTGTAGAGCTGCTTGACCAAAGCATTGTGCTGACAGTCCCAGATAGTTCGAAGCCTGGACGAGTCCACTGGTTCTTACTGGTATCAAGCATACAGACGCCCGGGCAAGGAAGAGAACCGGCAGTCTCGAAAGACCCACCCACATAAAGGTCCGAAGAGTCAGGTCGAACGGCAATGGATGACACTACAACGTCACTCCCCGCTAAAACAGGAGGTTGGGTGTTTAGAGAACCGCTGGCAACGTCGTAAGAGATAAGGCCATTTACAGGGGACTCTTGAATGGTGCCGTTCAAGTGACCTCCTGCAAATACAGTGTCGCCTTGAATTGCTAAAGCTAGGAAGAGGGATTCGGGGGGTAGCTCTGTTCCAAGGCCAGTGACAGAATCGGCATTCTTCCTATCAATAAATGCGAGGTTGTAGATTGGGGAGCCATCGGTTGCTCTTGTAGCGAAGTGACCAGCAAGCACTGTAACATTTCTTCCATTGTTTGTGTCGAAAACTCCAGTTACAACACCAGAAACCGAGCCCGTGTTGTTGACAGGCAATTCACGCACGGATAGTTTGGTTGTAGAGTTCCCAGATGACGTGGGGGGTGTAACCTTGATGGGAAAAGTCCCCAGCATACCGTTAGTTGATGCCACGCCATAGGCTCTAAGAGATTGTGAAGAGATAGAACCAGCATAGAGCTCAGCATCGTCGGGTGCGTTTAGTAGCGAGGTGGCTAAATGTCCATCCAAGAGTGGAACTGGCATTTTCAGATTCTGAAGCCAGTTTTTCCGAGATTTCACCCAGACCGCAAAACCAGCAACATCGACCCTATCGTTAGATTCAAATGGAAGTATTTGTAAGAAGTCGCCCGTTAAAGCAATCGCTTCCTCTGTGGCATTACCTGTTAGGTTAAGTGTCATTGGAACAATGTCCGTGACAGGTCCATCAACACCAGCACCGAGGGGCGTCCATTCATTCCGTTGTTCATCGTACACAGCTACGTTCGATAGACCAGTGGCCCCTCCTGTTTGAGTGTCGTCAAAGGAACCGCCAACAAAGAGCTGTCCATTGCTATTGTACATAGTGGTGATTTGCCCATTGAGGCCCCCGTCAAGAGGCTGTGTCTGGCCTTCATTATCAAGAGCGACAACATTGTTGACAGTTGATGTTGTGAAGTTGCCACCGATATAGGTGCGGCTTTCGGTAGCAACTAGGGACAAAACAGCAGATTGAGAGTCGAATGTCGAGCCAAGCTTGTTGAATGCTGAGCTGTCAAAATCGGATGTATCTACGGTGGCCTTGGCTGGATCGAATTCGAATAATCCGTTTAGACCACCAGTGCTATTCATTCGCTCGACACCGATTTTCTGGGCTACAATTACCATATCGTCCGAAGAAAGTGATTGTCCTGCCACCGGAGATAGCGTGATGCTTGGACGAAAGGAGCTAGACGCAACATCGACGTGGCCAAAATAGATTTGGTCATATTTGTCAAATTGATTAGTTTGATATATGGATCGGCCATCGTTTAGATGTTGGTTTCCACTGGTAGTATTCAAAGTGCCGAACACGTTAACCTGACCACGTCTTTCACAGGTCTCATCCTGAAGACAGCCTGGCGTATAAATCTTGATAACATAATCGCCAGATTCTCTGATATCCGGGCGAAAAACGACGGATGCCGCATCAGAACTGATGGGCTTAGATAACACTGCCGATAAGTATTGAGAATTGCTTTGCCCCGCAGGGGTGACTGTCCAAGGTCCAGTTTGTGTTGATGTAGAAGGTGTACTTGAATTAGAGCAGGGTGGCTCGTTGAAGGTGTTGATGGCGAACGTATATATGTCGTCCTGATACAGTTCAATGCTGTCTAGACCGCCACCCTGACCATACCAATCTGTGATGTCAATTCTAAACGCGTTCATGCCGATAGTGTTGACGAAGCGAAAGTCCTGGTATTCAATACTAGAGTCGTTGCTGAGGGGGCAGCGATTGGTACAACTCGTATTCTTTCCAGTTTCAGGGTCGATGTAGGTAAAATTCATAATCCCGTTATTTGGTTGCGCGGTGAACATCCAGGTTCGAGTTCCTCGGCCATCTTGATGTGTATTTCTAAGTCGAAGCTTGGTAGGCACAAATCCGAAGTCGAACGAGGCTGCCCAATTTCCTGGAACGTTATCCTCAAGAAGCCAGGTCTTGCCTTCGCCGTCTGCTCCTTGCGTATTACAAATGACATTCTTAGGATCGCTGAAGCCCGACGCCGTCGACCCTTGATATGTAGTAAGCCTCGCGGAGTTGAGATTGATAGTCTGTGCATCTGGTGTACTTGGTGCGCTAGTATTTCCGAGGCCAGTAAAGGTACCCCCAAATATTATATGTCCACTAGATGCTTTCGCGATAGAGGTAACTGGCCCATTGAACCCCGCAAAGGGCAGGCTGGACCAGTTCGAGGAGGAACGCCACGTTATCGCATTGAACGAATCTTCTGCTCGGAAACTGCCGCCAATATAAACCATACCACTATCTTTGTCGCATAGTAAGCTGCTAACTTGTCCAGAGAGCCCGGGCAAAGGGGTGACTTCGGAAGTAGTTGGGTTGAACAGAGCTATACCAATTGACTCCTTGCCACCAACACTAGTGAAATTACCTCCTAGAATGACAGTGTCTTGAAGTGCACACATATCTTCAATCGACGCATCGGCACTAAGAAGGTCGATAAATACACCATTAGGCAGACGTGTCATAAGCTGTTCCGATCCATTAGAACTGAACGCCTTTTCAGTCTGGCCTTCGAATTCATAAAATGAAATGCCATTGAAATCGCCCGCAAAGCCCACTTGCCCAAGGTTGCTAAAATCGAAATTTGGGTTCGGGACCGGATTGAATGTGAAGGCTCGAGCAAAAGCTGCAAACCACGTTGTCGTGAGGAGCCATGGAGAAGCGGACCGAGCATTGCTACGTGCCGCATGGCGGCTTCGTGAGCACGCTCTCATGGCTCCCTAAAGCGACTAACGACCGGAACACCTTCAATTGCGACGGGAATATCCGCCACCGTTTAACGAAATCGGCGATCACACCCAAAATCACACGTGGTCCATAGCCTCGAGTAATACTGTGTGCTGTTTCGTTCGTTGGTTCGGCAAGCGGCCTACGTATATTGTTGGAGATTGGTTGGGCGTCGGTAATTGTGATTTTCAAATTCGACGACAATAGAATCCTGTTTTGGAGCGATTGGGACACGCTGTGGTGGCGCTCGTTGTTTTGCAATATCGCGGGATATCACAATTTGCTATCACGATACAGGGGAAACTTGGAGGTTGGTCCGGGTTTGTCTAGGTATTGAAAAGGAAATTAGAATTGAAAATAAGGAAATTCGCGTGAGTCAATACTGCTAGCAAATATTATGGCTATGATGAAATGTGCAGCTTGACCGGCGGGTTGTCATCAATCACTATCATCATAAAGAGGCGAGATATGAGTCGGAGAGAAACAGTAAGATCAGACGGGAAGTGATTGAATTGGGTGGGTCGTGGGTCGGAAGGAAAGGTGAGCTGAGGTACCTAGACAAGATGGAAGTACACGTGTATGGGCTATGTTCCAGCGAACCAGCGCTGTATCGCCGCTGTGAAGAGCTGATGGGGAGGCGGGCAGGTAGGTAAGTACTTAGGTACCTAGTAGCAGACTGATAGGAAGTACCTAGTGGCACGGTAGCCAGGTACAAGTCAGGCACACTGCAGAACACTAACGGCGTCTGGCTAGGGGGCTGCACTAGGTTTCCTCTCCCTAGATTAGCGCCTAGACTCGGGTTGTAACTCTTCCACGCCCTTACTTATGGGCCTAGATTGAACTGAGTGACGCTGCCTCCATCGTGGATAGGGACAAAAGATAGTTGGAGAGGTTACAAGAAATCATCTGGCCCAAGAGTGAAGGGTTGGGACTTTTGGGCCGGGAACAAGAAATTATCTGTTTTCTACTCACCGTAGTGTCGAAGTCAGGGTGGTTTCTATTTAGAGCTGATTAATGAGCGATGTCAGATGGATACTTGCAATCTGGATTGTCGTAGCGGCGAGGTCTGAGCCGTCAAGCAGACAATGAACGAGCGACGAGGGTCTTTTAAAGAGCGAGGCTGGTAAGATGGAGAGCGGTGCGTCTAGTACCGGCTATAAGGAATGACTTTTGCGAGCAGCGAATACTACCAACAATTGATGTCGGCGTGGTTTTTCTAACCACTGTAGGAAATATTGTCAAGAGATATGAGATGTGCCTTGCTGGTTTCCGTTCCCTCAGATCAGGGGATGTGTATAGGGGTCGAGAAAAAGACAAACGAATGACGGAGGTCGGGTCTGAAAATGGAAATAGAAGAAAATAGCGAAAATGGGCGTATCGCTGATGTAGGTAGGTAGACGACAATAAAGAGCGATAATATCAAGCAGACTTCTCCCCGCTGCCCGACAATGCAAAATGATGGTCGAGAGGAAGAGTCGGCAACGTCTATGTTGCAAAGAATCTACTAGGTGTGAGGTGTCGGACAAAACGAAATGATCAATGGGGGGCTATCTTGGAATGTCTACCAACACGAGCCAGGATTGGTGCAAATTCTAATTGTGGACAAGAGAAACAGGGGCAAGTGTTTGACCGGGGTCTAAGATCGTGCCCCATACCGTCTCCTGTTTCTGCACTGTGAATCTGTGATTGAGCGTGCTCGTGTCTGCCCATGCTCTGCCCGTGTCACTACCTACCTACGGACCGTAACGGTAATTGGCTCATCATCATCTCGTGTTAACTTTGTACACACCCATGTACATGTGAGTAACCCTATTGGCCCCGGCGTGCCATCAACGATGTCTATTATGTGAATATATTTACACTACTCCGTACATGAAATGGAGATTAGGTAAATAAAGGGCAAGACAAACAGCATTTAATGGACCTTTCCGAATGACCGGGTACATACCTATGAAGATAGGTACGTAGTATACGCAAATAGATTGTGGTGTTTAACCCTACCTTTCATACTTACATATACCTACTTAAATAGTAATCAGTACTACTTACCTGCTTTACCAGATATACGGTATGTCGAGCAAGATGCGATGTTTGACCCGAAATAAATCTCCTTTGTGCTATGTCATACCTCTCTCAATATGATCTACCAGTATGATGTAGGGTACCCAATACCTACCTCACGTAGGAGGAGACAGACATATCTAGTACCGTCCGTCATTCATTCACCGTGAGTACAGCGCTGGGGCTCCAAACTTCCCTTGATTCTGCCTTGATCCTACAGAGACTTCACGCGTGACTCGAGAATCTAAATATCTACGTGGGCTCGTCCAGCAACATATTCTTTTCTAGATACAGCCCAACAGGATAGAATCAGTTTTCTAAGCAAGATATTACATCATTGCCTACCCGGGCATTTAGAGCACTTGCTATAATGATACACAATATAGTCAAGATATTAGAGATTGAGTCTCCGAGCCTGCTCGATATTTGTGAAATCTATGGAATAGGTGGTAGTATCATCACAATTGACAATACATACATGTGTAGGTAGGCACCTCAGGTTAGACATTGATATGGCTATATTTTCTTGTTGTTCCCCAACATTGCCTAGATTTTATGCATTATCCAAATCAGGTGTGGTACGTAGCTGTGGCGTGTTGTGATTACTTTACCGATGCCACATATCATTATGGCAACAAGAGCCCATGACAATGCGTATGGTTATTTGGTTTATGTTATCGTTCCTTGTCGGCGAAGCTTCAGAATCCCACCGCGTTCCAATAACTCCCTACAACATCTCGCCCTGGTAAAATAGGGATATAACTGCGATACAAACACTCATGGTTTTGATTCATTTAACTACTCTTACGGAGTATTCATCCTGCTCTTGTATTCACGAGGGCTTTCGAAACGTTCCGGTTTTCCGCTCCATATTCCGAGTTTCTTTGCCTTCGCCCCAGCTTCGGCAGCTTTGTACTTCTCTTCCAGACCGCCGAACTCAGCCCCCGTCTTTGCTTCATATGTTGTGGCAAGGCCACTTTTAAGCATCTCCAGACCGACATCCCTACGAAAAAAAAATCGTCTTGTGTACACAGTAGCCACGATGCGGTCGTATTGGTCTCGTCTATAGATCTTGGCATATACTCTTTTTCCGAGTATGTAGTTGGTCAGCCATGCTAGGGCATCTGTCGAGAAAGGTTGGGCAGGTTTGCCGAAATGGCTACCTTCTGGTGCGTCGATACCAGCGAGACGGATAGGGATCTTCAGACATCAAAGTTAGCCATTTCAAACCCTAAGATTAAGCACCACTACCAGCGGCATGCTGTAGTGTTGCTGTCGCGTACCGTCCTGCTTTTGAGTGCAGATCTCTTAGTAGGAACCTTGCGTAACCATCCCCAGCCAGCTAATCGGCCGCCCGGAGTGTGAAAGAGGTGAAAGTTGTCACCATCCCCAACGCTTGTGACCTTGCCGAACAAGCTCCTTCTTCGAAAGAAACTCGGCTGAACGTAGACAGCCCCCGGTATGCGGCGTAGGTAGGAGCGGTAGATTTGCAGCGACGCTACGACGGTTGTTGTTACTAGTAGTGTTGGGATCCAGTTGCTGGGGCTCTTATAGTGCTCCCAGTCTGTGCTGTTGAGGCTGTCAGCCCATGAGACAGGCTGTCTTGAGGAGGTATTCTCTTTGCTTGAACCGGACGCCTGGCTCGAGCTAGAGGACGACCATGGCATGGTCGTGAGTCACCGGACTTGACTCTACTGCGCGGCGTGGTCCACAAGAAAGCGAGGCTGCGGGATATCACCGTTCGAATAAAGCCTAAGGGTCCAGGATGCAATAGTATCGATCTGATAACGTTATCTAAGCATGTATTTCCAGAGGAACCCTACATGCGGTACCTACTGTGAGGGGTGCAAACGGCTGCAAGGGTATAAAAGGATAGGTACCTACACCTTCATTTCTAGCTAGCTACATACAGCACTCGCTGGTTCGAGATATTCAATAAAGCGTATTGGCTGCGGCCGTCCACTCCCTGTACCTACCTACATTAGGTAGGTAGGTTAGGTACCGACATGCGAGTTTTTACAGTGGAGTGCAGGCCTACGACCACCATCTACAGTACCTAGGTAGGGATTCAAATGTACCACAGAGCTTCCAAGTTACTCAATGGTTTTGCTAGAATGAAGCAGCCTTGATATTGGCTATCTATCTACTCTCAAAATAGCCTTTGGTGATCATCTAGGTACCTGGTCTTTAGGTAGATTACCCGTCGATTAAATGTATGGGGTCAATCTCTGCGAAGCGTGAGACTTTCGGTACGATCAGCCGTTTTCTTGATACCTACCTTGGCTACTCTCAGTCGATCTCTCGAGACACTGATAGAGAGAAAAGATGGCCTCATCTTGACTACCGGATACCACCTATCTAGGCAGATGATGAGAAAGATCCCTACATGACAGGATATGTCGCCAGTAGATACTGCGATGCTGCTCAAGGCGGCACGGTGCGCTCGGTCTTGCCATGACTTCTCATGAGATTCACAGGGTTACAACGCAACTCATATAGATAAATTTAGATACGTATACTTCAAAGCTAGCCTTCGATATCATTGATCCTAAGGCTCACTGACCGTATGAAAATGAGCAAAGAAGGATTTTGCCAGCAATAGCTCGAGTCAACACTGCAGAAAGCGGGGGCTTTGGAGAACTCAAGTTACCTGGTAAATAAATATACCAGCTAGGTCATTATAATACAAGTAGTCTGGTTCACGTATCGCAGTGAGGTTATAGCAACAAGATGTACCGTGCTGCCTGAAATCGAATAATGACCAGGTCGGGCCAATAGCGACATTGCTCATTTGTCCTCCCCTTTGAAGGGTTGGGCCTCGGTCTGGAGCCTCTGTAATAAGATCGACGTCATTACTAGCACAGTCTCAATCGTTAATCTAAAACATTTGATACCTACAGATACAGGGTACTTGCCTACCCTTTAGATTCTCCCAACCTGCGCGGTTGGGTCGCAAAAAAGAGCACATTAAAATTCTTTTCTCGACACTGATTAAGTACATACCTTCCCAGCCCGTTCGCCCAATTGCTTCTAGCGCAGAGGTGGCTTAATCCGCGTAACCAACTGCGCTTGTTTCAAGGCCCACCTTATTTGCTTCTCCTGCCCAGGCATCGAAGAGTTGAGTTGAACCTCATTGGCGATATACAAGTACATCTACCTAACTGGAGCGCTGAGATCTGAACCAAGCAGCCAGCTCTTAAGTGTGAGCTGTATTTGAGATGGTCGCACAGACCCTTGGCAATATCTAACTACACTAGAACGATCGACTTTGAGCCACTGGACCATCTATAACTAACCCGGTTTGCTTTTTTTGTTCTCTTGCACGACAGCTTGGGTCAGGAACCCCCCTCGTTGTTTACATTCCAGCCATTCTATTCTTTACTCTGCTGGCAGAGCTCGAAAGGTCCCATACACTATCTTCCAGCACCTATAGCACCGGATACGACAGGTTACTAAGCAATTGTGTTCAAAATGGCAACAGAGGCGACGACTCAACTTCTAAGAGCACAAGATCCCGAGCAGAGGCCACTCCTGAATCGTTCCATGTACAGTTATGGCGTGGAAGACGGTCCTTTTTTCAGCTGTACTCCCAATCCCCATAGTCATTTACCCGTGTACACGACTATTCACAGAATACGAAGGGATGTCATGAGCATAGTTGAAGACTACCTGACCTTCGAGCAATTGGGGGATCTTCGGCTTAATGTGTCTGTTGTGCGACCGCTAGTTGACAAGCTATACGAATTAGATGATATATCGATTGGTAAGGCCCTTTGCTCTGCATCAACGGCGCCTCCGTTCTTGACTGTTGATATTGGTTAGTGTATTGCTTGCTTGTAAACCGCTCGCAATTTTTACACGAACAGGAACATATGAGCAACCGACAAAATGTTCACTACACGCGGGCGATGCTTTGTGAAGTTGTCGCAACCCGTATTCTGAGGCGTTTCGGCGACGATAACCCAGGCTCTGAGGGACTATTGCTTCTTGCAAATCTGCTTGTCGCCGGATTTGAGCCCTTCCAGAATGCCCCCGAAGAGATTCGCCGCGAAGCATCTTTAGACTCCAGAATTAATTATCATAGAACTTTGCCTGCTCTGGAAATCGCCATTCTTACGGGAAGCAGGTATTTCCTAAGCTCTACGTACTGCAAAACAGTGTAAGTCCTCTGACCTGGGCTCTAATTGATAACTCGCGGACTAAATATAAACTAGAGTTGATGCTATCTATATTGGTCAAATTGTTTATACGCCATCAACTTTCCTTGACCTGATTCCAGATCGATATAAACGGAAACCTATTTCACTTTACCAGCCGCATAAGGAAGCACTACTAAATCAGTATCGGTTGATAGTGCCGCGAACCAGAAATATGCTCGAAATAATGCAATTCATCATTCTATTAATGTTATACGTTTTATTCATGCTTGAACGAGATCCAACCTATCTAAGCGTTTTTGAGTTGGCCTTTGCAGTATATGCTTTTGGCTGGGCACTCGATCAGTTTGCAACAATTCTAGAGCATGGATTGTCCGTCTATGCGCAAAATCTATGGTCGTTCTTAGACGTTATATTCATCATTGTGTACTGGATGTATCTCATTCTACGTGTTCATGGCTGGAGAATGGGTGTTTCTGGGCAACCAGCCCTGGATGTTCTCGCAATGGGGGCGCCGGTCCTCATCCCACGGCTGGCTTTCAACCTTCTCTCCGAGAACATCGTCTTCCTTTCACTGCGAGCAATGATGGCGGATTTTGCCGTGTTAACCTTTCTAGCTGCCTGGTGAGTGAAGCCAATCTTGCCTTGTAGATATTCTCATTCCTTTCGTCTGTGCTCTGCTAATAAGGACTGTCACTCAGGTGTTTCTTTGGCTTCTTGTTGTCTATGGTATGGCTAGCTGAAGGCCGTCACGATCCCATGTGAGTGTTGCATCAATTTGTGGGATTGTCATCTAATTTTTGATAGCACCATCAGTAAATGGATGTTATGGATCTGGTTTGGTTTAGATGGCAGCGGAGTATCTGAGTCGGTAAGTTTGCATATCGAAGCCAGACCGAGTTTGACAGAAATCTGCTACTTACCAATCTCCTCTAGGCGGACTTCCACTGGCTGCTTGGTCCCGTACTAATGATAACATTTGCCTTTCTCGGCAATACACTCTTTCTGACAATTCTCGTGTCAATGTTGACCAATACTTTTGCCAATGTGGTCACTAATGCAACCGCCGAGATCCATTTTCGCAAAGCCGTTTTGACGCTTGAGGGCGTCAAAAGCGACGCTATCTTCGCATATCAACCACCGTTCAACATAATAGCTTTGTTCATTCTAGTGCCAATGAAATTTCTAGTTAGCCCGCGATGGTTTCACAAGATTCACGTGGCCTTTGTTCGGGCTATCAATTTTCCAATACTTCTACTCATTGCCATCCTAGAGCGACGTCTCCTGTGGTCGAAATACACAGGAGAGACACAGCAACAACAGAAGAAAAAATACCGTGGCAAGGGCCGGTTCTGGGAGAAGTGGCGGATTACCAGCCACAGCGATATTCAGACAGTATTCGATATTCCGCCCCCCGATTCAGTAGAGGAGGATATCGCAGTGGATGATGAGTTGACTCACCACATGATCCGACGGCAGTTACTACGTCACCAAAGTTCTTCACAGCCTCGGGGTTCAAGCACCACTCGTGATATAAATAAAGAGCCACCCCCCAAGGCACCTAGTCGGCGAGACTCGTTAGCTCCATTGTAAGTATTCACCAACGCCATTGCCTTCCCGTTTCAGCCCCGTTGAATGCATAGAGCTCTAGTTGGGGCTAGTATCATCTATTGGAAACCGAACACTTGTGAAGTACCCAATGATCTCATATAGGGTGTCAATAAACTGATACAATACATTGTAGGGGAGTGCCAACCGATCAGGTCCGTAGCCTATTGGGCGAGTCAGGCCATGCTGTAGAGTTATCAGCAAGATTAGCCAGCCTTGAGCGCACCTCGTCGCGTATTGAAGCAGTTTTGGAAAAGATGTTCGCTAGGATTTCGCATGATGATGATGGCTCCTTGGAAGAAGACGAGCGGAAAGAAAGCGAGGTAGATATATTGTAACGAAAAAACACAGAGCAAGGGTACCGCCTATATTCATAGCAATATGTGACACTGTGTGAGCACATGAGCATTGCGTGAATAGCCCATTATCAGTATGTTTGCTCAGTGCGCCGATTACAAGGAGACAAACATTTTGCTGTCATACAGCATGGTAACTTGCACTATATCCATCCACATACCAAGTAGGGCCCATCTATTAACTACTGGCGACGCTATATACAGAGATATGAAGGTCGTTGTAAGATACCGAAGGGCTCGTAGAACTATAGAGTCTGTAAATTGACAGTTGATCCGGCAAGTCCCATTACAGTCCGCTATAAAGGAACCTTGAGGCCCTTCCTTCCTTGTGACAGAGATACGTTAGCCAACTACGTTTCGAAACACTTTCCTTAGGTACGTGTACACATGTATATATTTTGTCGCCTACACAGGCAGTCATTTGGGTAACAATGATTCAATTGACACAATCTCTCCGTTCTGCATATGCCCACTGATTTACTGGGTACTTCTGATCATTTCACATCCTGCATGACAAACTGCCTTTCATTATTATTCACCACTCGTGACACGCGCCGAATACTTACAACGACATATACGGCGGCAGTGCTGGAAAAGCCTCCCCGGTCCTCGTCAAGCCTACCTAGTCAAAGGCATCACGGAGCAGGCAGAAGGGAAAATCAGATGCGACGACCCTGAGTCAGTCATTCTTCAAGCAACATATCAGGTCGACGAGCACCTGCAGCACTAGTTACCCGAAGCATCTCGTATATTTACTCCCTCGTCTCTGAATTTCATGGTCAGAACCGGAGACCCAGAACTCCCAGAACTGCAGCTCAGACAACCGGGACACATCTAGGCGCAGAAGAAGGGAGCTGGGGGGGTGATCAAGGACTGAAGAGAAATGTGCCTCACAACGCACTACATTAGCCGTAACTGCGGTCACCACTGGCTGGCAATCCGCCAGCCGTGCTGGCCAGGCTACGGGTTCAACTACTGCGGCGTATTCGGGGACGGGGTGGCGCGGGAGCCGGCACCCGAACTCGAGATCGTGGGCCTGTGTCCCGCTTGCGCGAATCCCGGTTGCTACGACCACAATCTCGTGCGCCTGATCACGAACATTCGAAGCCACTGCCGGTGGGGCATCGGGCCTTCAAGGGATGATCCGGGGGTTGATTGTGTGATTATGTGAGAGATTTAGGGGAGGAGGACAGTGGCAGTAGATTGGACGAGTCGTGATTCTGGTTTTATGAAGCTCTAAGCTGGGATATCGGGCCTGATAATGGGCAGCCGGAGACAATTGTGGTCAGACATGCCAGGAAATCATTTCTTTGACAACGAGAGGCTTGGGAGTGCATCTATATTCATTACAATAGGCGACGGGGCCTATTGTATGAAAAAGATTGCCCCTCAAAAGAGGGCGGACAGTGGTTTATGGTCATGCAACTTTCGGTGGCCATTTAAATAGAGGTACATAGATAGTCAACGCTAAACGTCCTCTGGACCGTTCATTTACCACTTGTCATAAATATCACAAACCTCCTGCCTTCGTGTTCAGAAATGCTTCATGCATACACATGACACACTCTCATCGATTTCTTAACGACACCGTGCACCCCACTTTAATGTATATTACGGACGAGCCAAAATCCACCACAAAATTGAAAAAAGCAGGCTCTCGCTATCATCTTACAAAAAGTTTGACTCACCTATAAGCGATAATGCTACCAACGCCAGATACATCACACGTGGCTTACGAGCGAGTCTACGAACCAGCCGAGGATTCCTTCCTGTTTCTCGACACGCTCTCGTCAGCATCCGAGACGGCATTCCTACAAACCCGTTTCCATGGCTCAGCGACATCTAGTCCTCCCCCCTTGGTGGTAGAGATAGGCCCAGGCTCAGGTGTCGTGATAGCTTTCATAACGGCCCACGCGTCAACGCTCTTTGGAACCCGCCACATAGTGACAGGTGCGGTGGACATGAACGCACATGCCTGCATAGCAACAACAGAGACAGTCCGTAAGGCCGTGTCCTCAAGCCCCAGCACAGCGGGCATGGAATTCCTGGGTGCCGCACAGGGGGATCTTGTGGGCCCGCTGCGCGATCACAGCGTCGACGTGCTGGTTTTCAACCCCCCCTATGTGCCGACGCCTGAAATGCCTTCTTGGGAGGGCCCACGGGATGACCGAGGGAAAGATAGCAGAAGAATGGACACTGCGGGATCTTCATTCGAGGAAGACTCATATTTACTGGCGCTCTCATACGCTGGCGGGCGAGACGGCATGGAGACCACAGATCGGCTGCTCGATAGCCTACCGCGTGTGTTGTCGGCTAGAGGTTGTGCGTACGTGCTGCTTTGCGCGCAGAACAAGCCGGAAGAAGTCAAAGAGCGAGTCCGTCGTCTTGGAGGCGGGAGCTGGATGGCCCAGACTGTGGGATCGAGTGGGAAGCAGGCTGGCTGGGAGAAATTACAGATTATTCGGATATGGAGGGACGTGGAAGCCTCTATCTCCTGATAGGAAATAATAAGTAAAATTATAAGGAACGTGTGCGTGACAATCCAGCTCGACCAGCGGAAGGTATGAGTAAAGGAATAGTTGGTTCACGCTTTGCTATTTTTATTCACTTGTATTGGCATGTTCATTGGGCGTTGGATGTGGGTTTACCTCACACATACATGTACATATAGGGAACACATTACCGATGGTAAAGTAACGAAGCAACGGCTTACTGATTCGCAAGATTTCGGCCCTTGTTTGTCATTGCGATTTGCTAGCTTGTAATGCAGCTAATACATCAAATAGTGCATTCTAATTCCCCTCCAGCGTAATACAATGATATGGTACTTTCTAAGCAAGCCCAACAGCTGCTGATTCGAGACATATTCAGGCCACGCTGTCTCAGTATTACCCAACATGGAGTGGGAAGTGTCGGCGCTCAAGCAGCATCGCGAAATGCTCTATGCCATTGTTCGTTCGTTCGTCTTGTCCCTCGGTATTCGTGTTTGTATCCAGCACACAATGATGATTCATGACGATGTCGTATTTCGCCTTTACCGTCCACGACCACGACCCCTTCCACGTCCTCTGCCGCGCCCACGTCCAGGACCACCCCGGCCACCGCGATCGGCGGCCTCTTTACGCGCCTTATTTTTGGGCTTGACGGAATCGTCGATGAGCAGCGTATCGAGGGGAAGTGAGTCAGGAAGTATGAAGTAGCGGATAGTAGAGCCGCGTATGTTCATAGTGTCGAGGGAGAGAGGATCCTGGCCACGCGCTGTCATCTTCACCATGCGTAGAGCTGTGTTCATCTGCGGCGAGACTGATGTGATGGTGCCGTGTATAATTGTGCCTAATAACGCGATGTGTTAGGGTCCTGTTTTTGTATAATGCCGGTACAATACTAGACGGAGGGAGGGCGGCAAGCCTTACCATTTTTCAACTCAATCGTCACCGTCTCGTTAGCGCATTTCATCAAGAATCTAGAGAGACATCATCAGCATCGGCGAGGTGGGCGGAGGAGCTTGGCGGCATTGGTTTCAGCACTTCGGTGCATAGAGCGAGATGGGGTAGAGCTTACCTGACGAGCTTCATGTTGACCAGCTGGAAGAGGTTTGGCTGTCAGGGAGTGTATCAATGTGCGCTCAGTTGTCGGCAGCTCGTGTGTTTGAAGGCTGGTATCGATTCTGCTCCAGGGTAGGTCAGAAGGCTCGTCTAGGCTCGGTAGGTGTTGGGCCAAGATGAATGCAACTGGTTGGAAGTATAGTGCAGTGTTGAAAAAGCTCTAGTTAGGTAGAGCTTTACACCCGCCTACGCGCAGGTCCTCTTAGCGCAGGTAACATGCACAACGTTACCGATACTTACAAGCTCATCACGTGATGCATGTTACAAACACGTATCCTGCCACGGGTATCTGGTACTTATGAACACAATCAGCCTCTGGTTTAGGCACATTAGGTATCTACTACATACAGTAGGATGGAGGTACGAGAAACAGCTGCGAAGATAAAAATAATTTTGGTGGGTGTAGGGTGGTTAAAAAGACTTTGACAATGTGGGATAAACACTTAAAAGCTTAAGGTACCCAGATAATAGACCTGCCTGTCTGTACCAGGCTTAAAGTTGCTACTAGACATGAAAACCACAACCCGCCCGTCCAAGGGTATCTACAATCATACGCTACAACTAGCAAGCCATTCGCCAGTCCGGGACGTGCACCTTCTCCTGGCCTTTCACCTTCACTTGTCCTTCTCATTCTCGGACACCTTTTCCCATTCATCCTCGGTACTGGCGGCAGACTTTGACTCAAATGAATGCTCTGCAGAGCGGTGCTTAAGGTCTCCTGTTTGTGCCGCTGGTTCAACTGCCTTGCTGCCCGTTTTCGGGTTGCTGTCAGAGACGATTGTTTCGACTTCTGTTTCGCTATCGTCACTTCCTTGCTGAGTAGACCTTTGCTCGACCCGCGTCTTTTCAGCCTCTTCATGTGCCTTCGCGGCATTCAATTCAGCTGCGAACCAGTTGATAGCCCACCATAGACCCCCCGATATGAGCGACAATGCAACAAAATGCACACTATACGTGGCTATGAGGAGCGCAAGTAGAACCAGCTGAAGAGACGCAAATGTGACGTTTGTTGCCAACAGAAGAGTCGGCGTTGGACCCGGCGTAAAGATCGACTCCCAGAGCTGCTCAACAAAGCCCGCCATGGTGTATAAGGGGGTGGAAAAGGCCGTAGACGCGAAGTGGGATCGTATTAGGTCGCAAATAGTGGCATGCGACGATACACGATAGTAATCTATTTAAGCAGGGCACGCGGCCACGGGAAGTAGAACGTGGTGTATGATTTGCGCGGCTATAGGTTCGGCGCGATGAAGAGGTTCGAGAACAGAAATCGTGGTTGGGGCGGTCGACTTATTTCTAGAGAACTGGCTTGGAGAAAAGGCCAGAGTGCGGTTTAGGCAGTAACAATTGGTCCAGCCTTGGACGCGAAAGGACAGACAACACCAGCAACGGTAGGCAACTCTAGCGTGGATCGCGACGGTTGCAAGTCGTTGAGGGACCCTACCTCAAGTTGATCTAGGTAAGGTGTTCAGGGAGGCACCCGAGACATTCGTAGGCAAGGAGGGATGTATCAAACTTTGCGACGGCTACGACGACGACCGCTTGTTCTAAAAACCCAAGTGCGCTCCCAAAGTGTTGAATCAGACGAAGCAACAAATGGCAGTAGTAGGACAAAAACTATTTCTCGCCTCGGGTTGATTACCCCTCTATTTTGCAGAATCAGGCTACTACCTACATATGTCTACCATAGGTACCTAACCTACAGTATAATAACATGCCGCCGGCTAAGTCCAAGCTACTCGGTACTTACTAGGTATCAACCCATGTAGCTGCCTGACCTCAAAGCACATGGGGTAGAGGGGCTGAGGTGGAGGTGGAGGGGCATCTGGCATCCAGACAAAGCAAAGTCAGGCTTAAATTGTCTCCCTACATTCTTACTTTAATAAATACACATATTCCATACATATGCATGTACCCAGTAGCCAGCAACATAGCAGTTTTCCCCTATTCATTTATTGTACTACATAGTAAGTGAAGGCGGCCTCATATTAATTCGAATCTCTTAAGGTAAGAGGAATTCACTTTAGAGCTTATATCAATAATACTAACTATAGCAATATACTTATACATGTATGAAACATGATATACGGAAACCCTACCTAGGTAGTTCATGAAAGTGCTTGAGGTTTATACTATGGTTCTACTGGAGTGCTTGAGTGAGATTGATATTAGAGCCAAGAGTTAAGCTGATGTGGAAAGGCACTCTCAAATACCTATTCAGCTCTGCAAAATAGAATCAGGATGGTCCCAATCTCACATCTCGACATGTAATCAATATCGATGAAATACCTTCTTTCCTACAATGTTTGGGCTTACCTAATAGCACCCAATTCCGGGATCGCTATGCTGGATTGCTACATACTGTAGTACATAAGTATACATAGCACCCAGGTACTCCCCACTGAATTAGATTCAACAGCGGGCAGAGAGCGGGGTCGTGGACCCTCTAGACAGCTACCTACCTACTACATAGTAGACAACTTTAAGGCACTTACTTGTAGGTACATGGATACAGCCCTGTGATAGGTATTAGGTATTTGCTAGGTCCCTACAACTTGTGAAGTTCCTCTCTCCGGTGCATATCTCCAAGTCGACATCATACCGAATATCAATTTATTCATGTTGATGGGAAGCTAGGAAATCTTTACTTAGCATCTCGCATCTTTCTGTCGTCTATCGCCATCTTCATGTACTTAGTACCATCATAGAATACCACCTCCTTCCCAGCCGCTTTATGCACTTGGTTGCTTTGTTCAGCCCCCAATCCAGCAGCCCACAGCACCTTATTCACAAGCTTCTGTCAAGGAAGCCCCTGTTTGCCGATACATCGTCCGAGCTTTCACTGTAGCACTCACTGCACCACACGCGGCAACTTGTGCATCTCTCTTTGAATTACATAGCAGGACGTCAAAGCAAACATCTGGGCCAGTCGCTCTCTTGAAAAGCGCTCGGTGCCTTCTACGTCTACTCGTCTACTAGGCCGACCTGTTCTATCTTGGCCGTTATCTTGGCGCTTCATCGCGCCGCGCTGGCGAGAGGTCGACATCCCAGTCCCACTGTCTCGCTCGTAGCCCATAGCATAGTATGCTACCCAGACGCTCGACACTGCACCGCTATTGAGCAGCAAACAGGTTAACGAGACAAATCTAAGGAGTCTCAGTATGGCAAACAATACCGATATCACTTCTTTACATGTCAAGCCCGATGATGACCAATTACCATACGAGCTTGCGGCCGGCGATGTCAACCTTTCGAATACCATATCACCGACTGTAATGAAGGACAAGAATCATGAACGGGAAGATGCCAGGGTTAAAGGAGCACCACTTGCATTGTTGGACCTTCCAATCGACGTGTTAAGATTGATAGTAAACGAGGCAAGCGCTAATTGAGAACTCCGAGATATAACCTACTAACACAATAACTACAAATCATACAGATCACATACACGAATGATTTGATCGCGTTGGCCTTGACCCACTCGGCGCTTTACGATTTAGCTGTGCCTAACATCTACTCTCGCTTTGATATTGTCTGGCCTGATAATTCTACTTCAGCCCAGAACTCCAAAAGCGTTGACGCACTCTCCTATGGCTTGGCAACACTTTGTTTCCCAAGCAGGTTCGCCGACACAGCAAGACGCTCACGCCGAGTTGATTCCGCGCGGTCACACGCTGCGTACCGACTGGTGAACAACAACTATGCCAAATATACCCGGAAGTTCTCAATTGGCGACGGACCCTCGGATTGGACTTCGGAATATCTCATTACTAAAGAGAGTGGGAAGATGCTGGGGACATTGGTTGCTATTGCTGTCTCAAAGATGGTGAACCTTGAGACTTTCATATGGGATATGCCCACTGGAGTTCTGTCGGATGTTTTCATGGCGCTCGCCTCTCTTCAAGACGATAGAGGCCATTCCAAGCTCGAGAGGCTATGGATCCGGTGGCATGATAGCTCGGCAACATCTCCTACTTCTTCATCTGCTTCAAGCCCTACCACTACACTTCCACCTATCAACCCTCCCCCTCCTCCACCACAAACCTTTCCTGCTCTGCTGCCCGGCGGTCACATTGCCTCCAGCGGCAGCTATATGGCAGCTCCTGCGGATGATGCCATAGCGCAGGCCAAAAGTTATGCCCAAAGCTCTGTCGAGTACCCAACCTTCAGTATTCTACCTCCTCTGAGGAGTTTAACTGTTTTAGACATAGATGACCTCTCTTATCTTGATGAGATGTCCGTCTTAATTGAACGCTCCACATCTCATCTCAGGGAACTTCAGGTCGGAATTTCTAAAAAGGCTTCCAGTCTCCACGAGTTCACACAGCCTTGGGATGGGGCCAATTTGCAACAGGTTGATCATGATGCGAAGTGGCCAGGTGAAAGCCGAATCCCTACAACCAGGCTAGGAGGCGTTTTAGGGGTGCTGGTGGGGCGAATATACGATAGTAAGTTTGACTTGAAGCTAATAAGTGCTCTTTTACAATGCCTTGATGCTGCCTTTTCAAACCTTCTTTTTCTACCGCTTTCATTCGTGCGTTTTGAGTTGGTGTCCGGGCTACTTTGCGACGCCAGCCAATAAAGTGTTTCTTTTTTATCTGGAGCAAAACTCACTGACACAAATATGGTAGTACGGAGAAAACCTTACCCAAAAAGCCATCAGAAATCGGAACCCGAAGAGACCGTTGACCTGCCTGGCGAAATTAAGAATTTAGGGCCAGTGAAGGAGACGAATAAAGCTTCCAAGGCGCAAATCACGGCAAATTATGATATTTCTGAGTCCTCTCTTGGTAGGAAGAGACTAGATGGAAAGCTAAAACTTGAAAAGCTGGCACTAGAGAGAGTAACCCTCTCGATTATCGTCTGTTCCAGAGCCATTGACTGGAGTAATTTGACTAACCTGACAATTCTGGGCTGTCGACACCACGAATCTTTATGGAAGGCCCTAAAGAGGCAATTCCAACCTACTCCCCCAGCCCATGGCTCTCCTCAGGGTACCTCAACACGTTATCATTTATCCCTGAAACATCTTTCAGTAGATTTGGCGTCGCCAGAGCTTCTTAGCTTTATGAAAGAGGCCATCGCACAGAATACCATGGAAACCATCTTTTTGCAAGACCGAGGGCGTGGATCCAAGCCCTCGATCACATTGGAACAGATTTTCAAGTGTGTCGTCAAACGCCAACGAAACAGTCTAAGGAAGCTGCTTATCGATAGCTCATCAGAGAAAAGGGCGTCAAATCCCATCATGCCACCAGGCGTACCTGGGCGTTGGAAGCATTGGGCAGTAAGAGATGAGCATTTATCTTATATCACTAGCGGCAGGATGGCAAACTTAAAGGAATTGGGCATGGTGATTGATTTCAAAGACTGGGTAAGTACAGAGCATATAGGAGCCATTACGAGTTTGTCGTGGTACAATCCACTAACACGATGGAACACAGCATATGTTTCTTCAACGATTACCTCAATTGGCCAATCTGCGTTCTCTGTACATTCCGCAAATGCTTGATCGCCGTTCGACCCCACCAGCGCCGAAGGAGCTGGCACTCCAGATTGTAGATATCATTAGCCTGAGAAGGGAGATACGCCTCGCCTACATGGGGCTCTGGGATAAGTGCTTTGAGATTACGGAGCACAGCGATAGTGTTAACAGTCGCTTCGGAGATTATGATGATCACGCCATATCTGTGGGCGATACAGATCACATCGACGGCACCAGCGACGGCGACGATGACACCGAGGACGATGACAACGATGATGGGAACGGCTCTTTTATGGACGGAGACTCTGATTTCATGGCAGATACGTCTGAGGATGGTGAATCAGAGACAGAGTCGTTTGCGGAAGGGGCGGCGAATAGGCCACAGCCACGGTTGCGTCTGCGTGAAATTCTCTATTACGACGACAAGGTGGAACTCTTTCGCGCGCGACACGGCAAGTTATAGGCAGGCGGCAATTTGCGGTCTAGAAAACCGCCAGAAAACATCTAGCGCTAGACTACGTGTTGAGGGATTCTCTTGGCGGCGTGGTCTGAACTTATCTGGGCTATCCTGGCTAGCCGGTAGCTTGGATTGGATCTACATGTACATACTTAATTAAGTACATAGTAGCACCCAGTTACCGGGACAAGTTTGGGGTGGATACGAAGCACACTTAAGTATACTTAAGTAGGTACCCAGAGGGCTGATGAAGTGTCTAAGGTAACCTGAGTAATTCAGGATGTCTGGGTATGTGGTGTTGGCTGTCCCTCCTGTACGATGATACCTCTTTCAACTTTTCCTCTCTCATGAACACCTGCCTACGCTACTTGCGCGTACTCAACAGAGCTGGACATGTGACGTGACTGCGTGAAGTTATCTTGTTGTCCCACCTTCTGGTCCTTGTTAGGTCAGCAATCCTTCGTCCTTACTGTTGGGTAGCAACCTGGTAGCAACTCAGCGACTCGGGGGGCCGCCCGAGCTAACCCAGCCAACCTGCTACTAACCTACTGCGCAGTGGCTACAGCACCTACTTAGTACATATTCACAGGCTGCACGTCCTAGCGAGCCCACGAACGACCGGGCACCCTGGACGGCCCAGCATGACGCAGGCGAATCATAGCGATCGACTGGAGTGTGTTGCATCTTTCGTCCCAGAGCTCACCGAGACGTCACAGTGTCAAGCTGCCCCTCGTGGAATCTAATGCAGGTACTCATTCTGTTCATTCAAAGTAAGTCAAGCGTGATGGCGAGTGTCAGGCCACAGTAGAAAGGCCGGGCTGGGGGGACTGTGCTGTGTGCAGCGCTGCCTCTCACCGTAACGTCTGCTTCCAGTTAGGCAGAGGCATGGGATTTCTGCAGGTGTGACACCACGCGCACTCCCGCCTTACCGCTACTATACCGCTACTTTGGCGATTGCATCTCGTTTTCCAGTTCGTGGTCGTCTGTTGTCAGGCTCAGGCTGGATAGTCAGATCTATCCGACAAGGGCCCCGTCAGGCCAGTGTCGCCCACCAGTCATTCCACGAGAAAACTTCGATGCTGCCGCTCCCCGTCAGATACCAGTCTGTGCCTACGTGTGTCTCACTCTCACCGATACTTCTGGTCGCTTTTGGCCCTTTGTCCTAAATCGGAGAGGCTCGCTGCAGAGACGCACAAATGAACCTCTCTCCGCCTCTTCGTCAACCACACTGCACTACCAACCCCTTTTGCCTTTTGCTCGGCCCCTGGTATATATCTTTCCTGCTGGTATTTTTTTGCGTCTTTCTTATCGTTTTGTTTACTCGGCCAATAAAAAAATTTTTTAAATAAAAGAGGTTCGGACTCTTTTTCTCATATTGTACGTGGACCCGCGACGAATTTAAGTGCTGGCGTTCTTCGTTTATTCAAGCCTGCGTCTTCAGTCTTCATCTGCCGGAGTTTAGCGGGTTTTCAGGTCACTTATTCTTATAATCCTATCCCATCCCGCCGCCATTCACCCGCTGCAGCTTGCACGTCAGCAAAAACCTTCACTTCCGCTCTCCCATGGATGCTCTACCAGTTGAGCTCCTTAGGCTCATTTACTCTTACTGTGATCACGAATCAATCCCCAATTTACGAGCCACAAGCACGACTCTTGCAGAGGTTGGCTATGAGTATCTATTGTCGCCCCATTTCACCTCGCTTAATTGGCGGAATGATATTGATCGGCTACATTGCATCGCACTCCATGAACGCTTGAGAGGGAGTATCAGGTCAATCAACATCTTCCTCGGAGATTTATCCCAGGGCGATGCGTGGACTACTTCATGGTAGGAAGACCCGAATCTCTCCATTCTCGTGCAGCTCTAAGCCGCATGTTGCCTCTGGGACTCTGCTCAAACCCCCGATTCCAGGGATGAAAAGAGTCCAGTCTTCAGCAATATCCTATGCCATTGATCGCGTCTAACTAACATGAATCCAAGCAGGGCACAGCACTTCGTGGCACCGCCGGTAGAGCGTGCCGAGCTGATGGCACAGGCCAAAGCGGAATTTGACAAGATTTCGTCGGGACGTAAGCAAGTCGGACCCCTTCATCTAAGGGCTGACGATCTCCGCGAGGCCTGCTCAGCTTTGCCGAATCTTCGTGATCTTGAGGTTTCCTTTGCACGATACCCTTCCACGCTTAACAATACGTGTATCCAAGAGGCTTTTTTCTACCCCAACTGTAGGAAGATGGACCGACAGGAAGCATATCAGAACCTCGATGCAATCATGCTTGCTCTGCACGGAATCAAGCTCTCTTCGTTCAAAGTGGATCGCCTTCCGCTTGAAGTCTTTCGCATGCCAAATCATCGCTCACAGTGGTTTGCACACGCGCAATCTTTCCACAGTCTGTCTAGCCTCAACTTGACTCTGGATCCTTCTGGCCTCCAGGGCCCTACGTCAGCATTCAGGGCTGTGAATGGTTTGGGGCGTATCCTTCAGCTTGCCACTAACATCAAGCACTTGAAACTTGCGTTCCATCCATATTCCAGTGAACATTCGAAGTTCGCACTCTCCTTCAGAGAACTATTCTTTGGTTTCACGTATACGCAGCTCACTGACCTGATGTTGGAAGGTGTCTCGTGTGACGAAGAGGATCTCAAGGAATTTTTGGGTCGACACGGTGCCACCCTTGTTCGACTGCGACTAGGTGGTCGTGGACTTGCCAAACCGTTCGAGGCATCGCATGGTGGTATCCATCTTTACGAGGGAACATTCCGATCGCTATTCACCGGCCTTCGTAAAAGGTTACCGAATCTGGAGCGCATGCACCTCGAGGGCATATTCGATTGCGAGCATCAGGATCTCCCTACGCACGAGAGCTATAATTTCTATCCTCTTAATGACGAAAATTGGGAGGAAGTTCCAAAACCCGGGTGGGTTCGATCATCACGCAACACCATCAGCTGCCTGCCTTTCGAGCAATATGTTCTCTACGGCGGTGTGTACCCGGGCAAGAATGCATTGATGCAACAAGATTAACTATTTCAACTCTTAACGACTACTGTTTCTTTACCTACCCCCGACCACTCCATTGGCAGCTAAGGCTATCTGCAATCAAAATGGGTTACAGACTAATTCAATCATCAGCGCGACCTACCAACCTTGCTTTCTCGACATCTTTGTACCATGAGTCACTCTTGCATCATGGGTCATTTATTCAGTGGCCAGATGACCGGCGTTTAGGGTGCCTTTTCCTTCCTTTCTACATCCATCTTATTTTTATTTGGGTGAAATGGCGACATGTTAGCACTTTGACTACGTAAACGCCTTGTCTCCACGCGGGACGTAACGGAGGCAAAATTTTCTCAATGATTCATGATCACCCATCTCCATCTTATAGACAAATTTGCACAACATTCCTCAGGGAGTGACGAGTATCTGGGGCATACGGCGTTCGCAAAGGGAATTACAGTTCTATCAGAATGCACATTTGACTCCACTGGGGGAGGAAAGAATTACCAAAAGGGTCAAAACATTTTCTGTCATTTTTACTTTTATTTTTATTTTTCTCTAGCATTTCCTTCAAGGATACTACGACCATATTTACGCGAACATGTTGACGAACAACACGGTACACCAGAAACCAAAAGGGCATGCAGACTGACCACATTCTTATTCTTTTTCTGTAAGGGGGTGAGATGATGGGCAATTGTGAGATTAATCTCTTGACTTTCAGGTCGTTGCATTACGTATCTAACATATACTCTCAGTATCATTAAACAGCTACTTTTTTTTGCCTCTCTAGTTAATTACTCACTTCTGCTTCCGTGATGTAGCTCTTGTGGTCTGATATGATTCCACTGTCCCAGACAAATATCACCGCTGGACTGCGAGAAAAACTTAGACGAGTGATGATGAAGCTCTACGGATTCGCCGATAACAAAATTCTTGGGGAACTCTGGTGTGGATTTTCTAGTCACCTGGGTCACCTCTTGACCCGCCGACTTGCTAGTTGAACAAGGCAGTGAACTCCAGGATTGGGTGAGATGATGCTGATGCTGACCCTAGAAATGTGTCGAGTTTCAAACCCCGCCGGAACCCGGCAGCAACGTTGCCAGGTGATCCGATAGGCTTCAATGAATGTATGTAATGGCCTTCGAGGGGTCCCCTCCCCCTTGGTGCCCGTCGAAAGCGCATATAGGCGAAAGCGACGGGCCAGGAGACCTATGCCGCTTGCTTACTGGCGGGGCCCAAGCGTGCTTGATTAAAAGTCATACTATACATACTGATACGTGTATCTGTATACCTACCCTACCGTTGGAACCAGGTCCCACTGCCAAAGGTTGAGCCTTAGTAACACGCTGTACCCATGTACTCACGACCAGACCGCGATGTCTTTGTCATTTTTCAGTATACGCTATCGAATAGCCTCTCGTTGAAGAACTAGAAACGGGCAACGCGGACGAGGCGTCATCATATTCTGCAGTTGTCGATCATTCATCATCTCTGAGACATCGAAGACGAGATTAGAATGTTAGGCAAGGGATATCCGACGGAGCGGGCTTGAATCTGACGTATATTTTGTCTCTATCCCAATTGCAACATTGGCGACTGAACAACAATTGATGCTTGATCGACAAGGTATTGAAATGTATGTGAGAGATAAGTCGGTAAACAATGCATCATACGGGTCTCTCAGCCCCAAAGCTGCGCCGGTCCAGTGCAGATTCATTCCAGAACCCGGCGTTATGGTAGCAAATACCTATTGGGTGCAGTAGAATGAAGAGGCGTGCGATCCACCACAATGAGGCTGAGGTTAGATGAAACTGTAAACAAGATCAACAAGCTGGTACGTGTTTGTTCCAGATATGCTGCTAGCAAGTCATTGTTCCAATGTCTGTCGACCAGATATTCCGCTTACTTAAGGCATTTCATACAACCTAGGTAACCTAGGTAGGTACTGTGCCGCCTATACTATCTAGGTATCTCCAGTGACTGTGCACGTGTTTACCGTGTCCAAGCAATGGTACGGCCAGCAGGGGCCAGAGTATATTTGGACGAAGGAGACCAGGCGTCCGATCGCCCGAATCGGGGTGAGACAAAAAGATGTCATGTGCCTTTTGGACGATCTACTTACTGCCTAGGGTGACACTGTGAAAAGCACCTGGCGTCGCACCACGAATAGGGTTTATTGGGAGGCGTGTCATCCGTAGATACACAGCATCTAGCAAGGGGATCAGATTACTGTGAAATAGTTCCAAGAAGAAAGAAGGCGAACAATAGTGAGCATACTAATAAAGTCGGTGAGGTAGGTATTAGGACCGTATGAGCTTCTTCTTCTCCCACGATGGCAATTGCCTACCAATCGAGCGAATGGGACGGCGCAGGTTGGCTGAGTTTAGACCTCGTCACATCGACGGGTTTGGATTGATAGGGAATGTTCATTTGCTAGTGTGCCCGAGGCATGCAGTAGTATTTTCGTGTGCAATAAGCAACGCTGAACATATACCAACGAGTTTAGCTGTATTATTAGTCAGTATGTCCTCTTTTTTTTTCGTTGTGACATAAGAACGACCATTACACGCAGGAAAAGCAAAAGAAAGGAAGACTCGATTCCCAACAGCGTGGGTAGCTGGTGAGACAAAAGCGCAGAGCTGAGGGCTTTAGTGGGCCCCAAAGTCCCTCGACGTCGACGTCAATTCGGCGATGCATCATGCGGTCACGATTTTGCTCTTGTTCCTGTGTTTGTCGCGTTTGGAGTACAGTCCTTCTGCCCGTTATTGACTAGATGTAGGGAGAATACACAGTAGAGTACAGAGTCATGTCTCCTGCGTAAACCATGATATGCGGTACACCTCAATCTGACCTCAACTACCTACCTATTTACTGAGTGGGATAACTAGCGGTATGATGAACAGCTTCACACTTGCATATGAGTAATCAATCCAGGCGTAAATGTGACAGATCTAAATATCACGTCACCGAAGTGACAAGTGCCAGGCAATCAGTCAGTCATTTAATCAATCGCTCGATCTGGGTTGCACTTGAAGAGACGAAAAAGAGACAGACACGGCTGATAGCTCTATCTATCTTCGCCCAGTACTCGAAAGTATCATTATATCAAGACAATGACCGGACCAGCAGGATCTGAAGCGAGCTGACTGTGCCAATGTGAGATGTGAGTAGCAACACCGTAGAGCATTGCAACCATACTACACTACCGTAGGTACTTGAGTAGATAGCGCTATGCTGTCGTTGTTATTGTCATTATCGTAACACCAACCTAAGCACAAGGCTTTCTTCCTGATTCATCACCGCCGTGCACCTGAACGGTTGGCCCCCAGATCAGAGGCGGGCTACGACCATAGATGTAGTATGAGTGTGTGTGCGTGTGTCGTATCAGTCCCCAGGTGGGTGGCATCAGAGCTCGTGTTGCAGCGCAGGTGAGTATTTACCTAGATACCTATATCGGGTACCTCCTCTAGCCTCAGCACCGTCAAGCATTACTCTTCCCTTTCATCGCTTCATTTCATGTAGCCTTACTGCATCTGCCACTGACGTTGGAAGTATTATTGAATGAGATAGGTAGGTATCATATATAGGTATGCAGTAAGTATATAGCCCAATCTTGATGGGACCACGATTCACACTACACGACACTTATAAGTAGAGTCCCGTCTCACTCTAGTTTAAAGTGTCGATCTGGGCGTTTCGGATCCATAATATTGGTACCATATTTTTTCTTCCTGATTTTTCCTTTGCACTACCTATCACCCATTCCTCATGACAGCTTCGGTCATGACAGCAGTGCCAGTGCCAGATGCACACACACGGACAAATGGGATACATGGGCCCCCACCAATGTCATGGCAATGTCATGGCGACGTCGTAACGAGACGCAACTGACATGGCCATTGTAGGTTTAGGTAAGCCACTGTGTATGTTTGTGCTTGCCAACCGCCTTGGCAGGGGCACCCATAGCGAATGATACGGTTTAAAGGTCGAGCTTCCGTGCGTGTATGTACATATCTTGAGGGATGGCTGCATTTGGAGAAGCACATTGTCTAAGGCTGCGAGTCGAGAAGATGCATATTTTCGAATCGAAAGGATAGCAGCTGTTCTGGCGCACCTGGGCTTGTTTCTAGTGGACAAGGTTTGCCTTGCTAGGCCATCTTACCATACCTGTGTACCGGTAGACTAGACATCTGAATGATGAAATGATGTTAGCTCGACCACCGGTCGCAGTCGCAGTCTTTTATTTTTTATTATTTTTTAGCTACGTATTCATAAGTATTTTCTTTGCGTTAGATATTCCGGTCGACAGGCTTCTCCGGTCTGGGCAGGTACCTATATGTACATGTGAATCAAAGTTGGAGCCGAGGTTTGAGACGGTCAAGTTTTACCTCTCTGAACCATGTTCTCATCACGAACACCAAGCAAGCGCATGACGAAACAGCCTGGTTTTGAACTCCCCACCAAGAAAAGGCAAGATATACTTAAGTTCAGGATCTCAGTTCCTACTACCTCTCAAAGAGTTCGGTGACAAGCCATAGATAGTTCTATTCGCCCAGCTTCCAAAGAAGAAGGCCAGCGGAGAATTACCACCAAACCCGCCGAACAAAAAGGTTAAAAACTACCTAGTGTCATCTAACACGGTAAGCGGGAGCAACGGAAATTACCAAGAAGTGATACATAGTATGGTCTCACCTTACGCCTCAGACGCGCTGCTCTTCAACAGGGTCTAGGTGTCTGTCTATATCTCTATCCGGGTATTTCATTTCTATTTATTTATCTTCACGATCCGCGGCCTCTTTCGCACAACATCATCAGATATTCCTGGGTTTCCCAGGAATGGCTGCGCCCCTCTCCCTCTCCGCACGCCACCCCCGAAGAGGCAAAAGGGGGATTCATTCTACCAAACATGTACATACCTACCTAGGTAGTATACTACTGGGCACTAGAGAAACTGAACCATCCAACATGGCCCCTGGCTAAATCGTGCAGGCAGTACCTACATACTTACTTATACCTAGTGTAAATATCTCCGTAGGGAAACAGCCTTACCTCTGGAAGTACATACATTGCTAAGTGGTGTAATGGTAGTACACAGTGTCTTACCACCAGCACCTACACAGCCTGTGATAGGTACTACACTACTCGCCGTCATTTATCGTAAAAAGAATCAGACTGTAATGAGATCTTCGCCATATACAAAGGTAACAATTGTGGTAGTGCTCGCAATCCTGAGTACCTACATAGAGGTAGGCAGGTAGACACCGCATAGTAAGCTTTTACCTATGCAGGTACTATAAGAAGTAACATAGTAGGTAGGTACTTCGTATGTCTATGATACTCTCATTGTAAGTACTGATGCGCAGCATCTGAGTAGACTGAAGCATGTACTGTAGACACCACATACCTATTGCGCATGTGCACTCCGAGTTTCTTTCGTTTCTTGGAGATATATGTACCTACCCATGTAGGTTAGGTAGGTAGGTACATCTCTCAGCGTAGCTGTATACGTACATAAGTATGTAGGTCATGGTAGTAGTTACCTTAGTAGGAAGATACTTATAGGTACATACTACATAGGTAAACCCCCCAAGAATCTACAGGGATGTCATGCGCCTGGACCGTCACTTTGACCAGCAGCCACCAGCATCTACGATCTGCGGGCCATCCCTACTTCGCATCCCTCTCCCATCCTGACTATTCCCCCCTCTGGCCAAGGCCTATGGTCAATGGTTCTCGTCTCATGATCTTGAGGTCGCCGGATCATAAGCGAAGCGTCGCTATAGCCAGTTCCCTCCCACAACACTTACGAGACCGTCGATCCGAGACCACCGACTTGGTAGACCTGCTGTTAGACGGGTCCTCACCTAGTTAATTCAACTCGCCCTTCCCATTCCAGTCACTCCGACCACAAATAAGCCTCTGTATGGAAAACCCGGGATTTAGGACCAACCAGCGACTTTCGGACATCGCCAACAAACCCGCAAGTGATTCGGACACTGGATAGCTTTCCGTCGCAAAGAGAGCGCGACCGGCCGCCGCTCACCTTGTTTGCACTGGTGAATCGGTTCCATAGCGATGCAGCGAGTCTCGTCCTTGCTCCCAAGCTGGGATCGTAACAGGTCCAGCGCCAGCAGTATCACCAACGGCCATGCCCGCAAGAACAGTGTCGACAAGGTACGCGGCTGGGCTGATAGGATCCCATCTCGTTCCTCCCGACTAGCCAAGGAAGCGTTCTGGCCTACGACGCTTGATAAAGAATGTGAAAAGGCGGCTCGCATATTGAAGTCGTTTTGCAGTACGTTCGCCACCCTGCCCTACCGAGAATAGACACGGCCCAGTGGTCGCAACTTTAGTTGATATATTGCTGACACTCGGCACAGATGATGGTTTCTCAACACCTGATGACCGACCTGGGAGTCCCTTGACGTCGTCTAGTATGCAGTCGTCGAGTAGAATATTGAAAAAAATCCCCCCGCGGTTAATACAAAATGCCGTTGGATTAGCTGTTTTCACATCGATGCGATCGGGGCTGTGGACCTCGGGCTCAGGCGGTAGCGGGATCCTAGTCGCGCGGAAGACCGATGGCTCATGGTCTCCGCCCTCCGGTCTGGTGCTTCAGACGCCGAGCCTAGGTTTTGTCATTGGGGTAGACATTTACGACTGCGTTCTTATTATCAACAATTTCAATGTACTTGAAGCCTTTGCACGGCCGAAGCTGACCCTCGGGACAGACGTAACGTTGACCACTGGTCCGTTGGTATCATTAGGCCTACTTGAAAACGATGTTACATGGACTGATTTGAGTGATGCGGCTATCACATACGTGAAGGCGAAGGGCCAATTTTCCGAAGTCAAATTGGAGGGCACAGTCATTCAAGAGCGGAGGGAGGAGAACGAAAGATTTTATGGCATGACGTTGGGTGTTGCAAAGATATTGTCAGGGGATATCAACCAAAGCCTACCGCAGGTACGACCTCTGACGGAGGTTTTGAAAGCTGCAGAGGGGCGGGTTGACTACGATACAACCTTGGTCGAGTCCCTTTCTTCCCAGCCTGCTCCAAGTGACGCTACTATTGAACACTCGGTCGCAACGCACTTATCGCATAGCTTTGGAGTCCCTACTCTCGAAGACCCGGACCCCTTCGGTGTTATGGCTTTGGAGATGGCTGGAGTGGGTATTCGCGAAGCAGGAACACATCTACGCCCTGAGAGTAGCCAGTTTGAGTATCACCCAAGCCCGACCAGCCCAGCCTTCCCCAGAGGCAAGCGAGGGAGTGTTGATACAGCTATGTCGCGTAGTAATCGAGGTAGCTACATGTCCAACAAGACTGTCGGTACCGAGAAGAGCCAGACTACCGATGCCTATACTCAAACCTTCTCAGCGACTCCAGAAACAACACCGTCTCATAGTCAAAGTCAGAGTGAAGATGGTCATCAGCGGCACTCGACTGATGAAGTTCAGGAACGCAAGGATCCCGTAGAAGTTGATTATACTAAGATTGACATTAGCTCCCTGCGTAAACTCTCTAGTTTTCCTGACTTGGAAGAGACGACACCCGTGGCGACACAAGATAGTACCAGCACGATGACGATAGGCATTGATGCAAGGGAGAATAACAAGAACTTCGAGGAAAATGAATCAAAAAAGGACCAGGCCGAAGATCGCAGTCCCACCCCCGCAATTAATAACGATAATGAAAGTTATGCGGATGACGAAGAGGATGAAGACAGTAGCGTCCACGGCACAGATGACAATGACATTGAAAATGATGGGGATTACGATTGCGATGACGAATCAGACGAGGAGGAGGAAGCAGTTGTCTTTGAGGTTGCCACAGCACAAGCTCCAACTCGGGTGGCTATGGTCGGCACTCCAGTGTTACAAGCTAAAGGGGCCGTAGTCAACATTCCAAAAAGAATACCGCCACCGCTCCCAACCAGGAGTCCTGCGCGCGCTTCGCGGAGGCGGAGTCAGATGGTCGACGTCGGTAGCATGGCGGGCAGCCCTTTGAGGAAGGAATTCGACCCCATTGAGGTTTCAGGTGGTGCTACGCCCAGGGCATCCAAGATCTTAGAACCTACAAGCGACACTAAAAGTCACGACATGACGGAAAATGATGATATGGCTGAGATTAAAATTCTCGAGAATTCCACAGATTCAGAATCAACTTTGGCCCATGAGATTCAGGAGCGGTCCGTAAAACGATCTAGCCATATTGTGCAGGGCTCCATGACGAAAGAGCAGCGCGATCTACGTGCTGTCCATAAAGCGACAGCCTCAATTGCTTAACATGAGTGGCATCTTTGCTAACTCCGCACCCAGTTTATGTACGAAAGGAAAACGGTCTTCTTCAGTCACTAGCAGGTTATGGGGTCTCGGGCAAACATCGATCGGCGCAATTTGGAAGGCTATTTGTATCATCAGGGAAAGGGTTACACCAGGTGCCTCCGGCTTTGAGGTATGGGTCTTGACAAAAGGGTTTATTTCATTAACAAGCAGGGAGCGACAGCATCATATCAATACCCTGAACAGCATTGTTTATTTACCATTGTTTACATGATTGTACATATTCTACCTAATCTTAAACAGGACATTACTTGCGAGCGCTGGATGAGGGGAGGCCTGTGTTTATGTGTCATTGAAATGGTTCTCGCAAGGTACTTGTTCGTACCCTGTTTTCGAAGCTAGGTTGGAAGCATGACGACGGGGAGCGCAGTAAAGGTACCATTGGGGATGAAGTGAAAATTTCATAGAGATAGTAGGTAGACTAGATCAACCTGTGCCTGTTGCTGTGGTACCTCGGTACCAGCTGTTCATCCGTTGTCGCTGATTATACACCAGTGTCAATTTTGGAATAAACACGATGTCAATCAATAATGCACGTCTGCTTCCTCTATGTCGTTCTCCCTCCCTCCCTCCCCTCCCTCTCTCTCCAACCCTGTTTGTATTTGCTAACCTGTCTCCTACATTCGCAATTCCCAGTGGACTGCCCACACCTGTATTCATTCTTCGAACGTCACTTGCAATCGTGCTCTTGTCGGTCTATGATCACACTTGTCGACAATAACCTGACTCACAATTTCCGACTCATTGGCAATGCTCCGGCATCTCAATAGCAGCCCGGGTGGGTCTCCCCCGTCAGCACTGCCGCCCATCGGAAAGTTCAAGCTGACACACCGGCCGGCGCAACGTAATGGCCAATCATTGTAAGCCACCTCCAGCTTCCTTGCCCAGTCGAGCCAGCGCAGCGGACCGACCGTGACCCATCCAGCGCGGGCGAGCCAGCCACAGGTAAACGTGGGGCGCCACAGTTGCGGGCCTTGGTACTAACCTTGGACGAACTCTAGGACTGCCGCCCAGCCACAGCATCTCGATCCTGCAAGCAGCACCTGTACCCGCCCCTAGAAGCGCGTTGGTTCACGCGAGCTTGTAGCTATTCGACTGCCTCACTGGGCCGACGATTCCTCATCTTCAGACGCAACCTTGTCCGACGACGGCGAGTCAGCCGAATCCTTGCCAACAGCCCAGGACCATTGTATACCCGGACCGCCTCCCCAGACACCCGTCAAGAGGTATTCGCTCCAGAAACCCGAAGTCACACCGCGCCAAGAGCGAGCCAAGCGCAGAGACTTCCTGCGCCAGCGCAACGAGGTCGGCGAAGGGTACGCCAGCGATAGTGGCAACAGACAACCTCACGCACTCGACGATTCCCTCAATATGTCTAGCCAGCAGGGCAAATGGCGCGAGGACCAGGTTCTTGTCATCTGCCCTGGCAGCCAGACCACCATGGCTCAGCTGGGCTGTAGCGAGCTTACACCACCGGCGCATCGCATTCCTACGAGGATGTTCAAAGACGAGGAGGGCGATGAGTATTTGCCTCACCGCACCTACAAGCGTAAAAAGAGTGTGAAGATGGACAAGGCAGAGACGATAGAGAAAACAGACAAAATGGAACCAACAGCGTCTGCCGATAGCGCAAATGAGGAGGATGGATGGGAATATGTCGAGGACCGCGACAGTGTCGAAGGTGCCATCTATCCAATCCAAGGTGCGTTGATGCCGCCCACAAGGGCCTAGTTGCTGCGTCATACTGCCATTAGCATCAGTAACGCAGGGTCGTTTAATCGAAGCAGCAACAATAACTAACACTTTGCTCTAGGTGGGCGTATAGTCAACATGCCAGCTTTCCTGGCTTTTCTTGATCACGTACACGGTCTCCTCACATCCTCATCAATGTACCACATCACCCCAATCGTGCTGATGGCTTCACCGCAATGGACTCGTCCCGACTGCGAAGCGATAGCCCGCTACATATTTGAGAAAACCAAGACTCCATCGCTCTGTCTCTTGCATAGCGCCGTGGCGTCGCAGTATGGCCTTAAATGGCCAACTATGACAGTCGTGGACATTGGGTTTGAAAAGGTCGATGTAACTTGCATCTACGACAGCAACATTGTCAGTCATAAGGACCTGGGATTCCCATCACCTGTGCGAGAAATTTCTGGCGGGGAGGTTTTTACACAAAAGCTCTTGTCTTTATTGAGAGACAAAGGTTTCACGTATGAAATGGCCGAACAGCTGAAAAAGAGCTCAATATGCGAGGTTCTCCCATATGCGCCCGAGTTAGCAGAGCTAATGGAGCTTCCCACGGAGTCGCAGGTGCCTCCTAGCCAAGGAGCTGCCCCGGCCCCGGCAAGCGTGGAACCACCAAAGATTATGGAGCCAATAAAGCCAGTCTTTAACACAGACACTGACACCGAGAATGGTGATCCTAAGGAGGCAGACGAAGGCGTTCTAGACGTGGCTAATATCGTTACGAGCGGGAACACGCGCGAATTCCTCGCTAAGCGAGAAAAAGAGAAGGCGGAGAAGGCCAAAACGAAGAAGCAGGGCAAAGGTCTAGAGCCCGAGTCCACAGCTGCGAAGCCTGTCCGATTACCCAACTCGAAACGGAAGACTAACATATTTCATTACGAGGATTTGGAGCATGAAGACGTGCAAGTACCGGTTTCAAGCAATGGAGTTAAACCTCCTCCTGCAGTTGCAGTAGGTACTGAAGCACCAGTCGCAACCGAAAATGGGTCAACGAATGAACAGATTAAGCCCGAGGGCAATTCTGCCGAAGAAAGCCAGACAAATGGTGATTCATCCACCGAGCCCGTTAAGACAGTAACGGAACGTCGAACAAAGCGTGTGCGGAAAGACATCGAAGTTGGTCTCGAGAGGTTCTACTTTGCGGATCGTGGTGAGATAAATCGGATTACGGATACAATCTACCACGCAGTTCAGAGCATCGACGATATCTACAAGCGATCTGCTTGTTGGGATAACATCGTCTTTGTTGGCAATGGCAGTCGCCTTCGTGGATTGAAAGAAAACGTTATGCAAACTCTGACTTCTCGCCATCTAATCTCGCCCAGTACTGCTACCATTTTCACCTCAGAGCTTCCATCTAACATGGCGACGCCTAGTGGAACTGGTTCGCAGACTCCGACTGGCTCTTTTACGGGCCAAATACCTACCACAAGCTCTGTTAACCCCTTATTACAAGCGGCAACAACGGCCTCGCTTGGCGTACCTGGCCAAGCACACGCCCCTAGTTCTAACGCCGGGGATAGCACTAGTCACCATTCTCATGGACAGACGCCCATGAGCATCAAACAAGCTACCCAGCCGACATATCTTGCCGATTGGACTAAAAATGGCTTTGAAGAAGCTATGTTTCTAGGGTCACTCGTCGCTGCTCGTTTGGCCTACTGCATTCACAATTTAGATGCAGCTACCACAGAGTCTCAACGCTACATGAGCCTTAACCGTGTAGATTACAAGTAAGTTGGCGATCGATTTACTCTCAAAATATTCCTATGCTAATTGCGTTGACAGCGAGAACGGTCCCAAGGCCATCCGGACTCACTCAATGCTGGGTTCATAAATCACAAATGATGTGCTCAAATGCTTCTCTTTCGGCGGGATATCACGGAGTTGATGGGTGTAAAAAGTTGAAGGCGTCTTGTAAGCAATGTCACAGCTTATGCGGCTTCAAATGTTATTCATTCCCCCCCCTAATAGCTACCTTTAGCTGTTTACTGTAGAGTATCTGTTGTAATTCACAGATCTTATAGCCAATGCGGAATGTTGGTTGGTCGAGGCTAAGGTTGACAAGGGGCAATTCCCATTACATGCTGGAATTTCTCACCGTCGGACGCAATAGAAATATAGCTAGATATAGCATCGGCGGTACAATAACAGCATGCATGAAACATGGTTAAAACAAGAGGAATCTGCAGTATCGAACTTCGTGTTTAAATCATACCTACTATCATACTGACTAATTTTACACTCCTTTTGGGATGAAGTGAATATGTAAAGGAACAGGGGTTGATCTGTGATATATCTTTGTCATTGGAACTTCCCACCTACAACCCGTAAGTTTGTAGCTTGACTCTAGTTACACTCACGGTTTACTCAAATCTGCTTCTGCTGCGGCCTAGGAGAGAGAGAGAGAGAGAGAGAGAGAAATCGATGACTCTTGTTTCTTGTACTCGTGGAATCACCCTTATACGCAATCTATTCACATGTTCTCGGTCTTCTATCTGCCACAAGCTAACTCGACTTGGACACATTAGAAGTCCACTTACAAGCCATACGTCATCTACAGTCTCTTAAAATATCCCACATTATATCGTTAACGGCGCATCATCATATCGTCTTGCGGTGGTATCTTCTATTAAATTATGTTGGCATTCTGGCATACTTGAGTCTTACTAGCCTCCCTTTTGCTCCTACACATGGAACAACAGCAAGCTTACCTGATCCAAATCAGGATCATGAAATCCAACATGCTCCGAAAAACTTCAAGATGTTATTTCAGCTAGTGATTCAATCTGATCCATGTAGTGAAACAATCATATAGATATTCTGCCATGTTAAGTTAGGAGCTTTCAATATTCAAAGGACACAAAGACGCATATAAGTCATACTACTACAGCAGCACTCGAACATGATCGGATGATAGGTTCACAGGTTTCGTGGTGTAGTTGGTTATCACGTCAGTCTAACACACTGAAGGTCTCCGGTTCAAGTCCGGGCGAAATCAAATTATTCTTTTGTCCTCGGTTCACTCTGTGGATTTTTTTTTAGTACCTATAAGTGTGTCTGTCTTGTAAGGTATTGGAGTTTGAGATATCGCGTTGCGTTGTATACGAGACTCAGGCAGCAATATGAAGTGAGACAATTTGACGGTGTTCATCACTACTAAAAACGTGATGTTCTTATGCGTTGGGCGAGAAGAGTTCAACAAGATGCCACCTAATGACGGAGATCGCCGAAACCAGGTGTGTCTCAACCTTGAAGCTGGTATTATTGCGTGGCGGGGTTGTAGGGCTATTTAGCCTTATGTCCTTGCACATGTGTGTTACCAACTACCCTTCTGTGTATTCTTAGGTTTGGCTGATGAGTATTAAGAGTGTCAAATATTCCATAGTCCTCGAGTTGTGCGTCACAAGTCATAGATAGAAATGGCTTCCGCCAGCGTTGATACAGTTCAAACCCCTGGGACAACCCAGCTGCGGCTCTCCTCCGGCAACGGTCCTATCTCAAGGACTATATTGAAGACGCCCCTGCGCGACGCCCACCCATCGGAAATTCCCATCATTGACATCTCGGGGGCTTTCAGCGACTCCAGTGATGCCCGGGTGGACGTGGCTCGCCAGATCCGTGACGCCGCGACGAACAATGGATTCTTCTATATCAAGAACCATGGCATACCGCCTGAGATACCTGAATCGGCCTGCGAGGAGCTCCTCGGGTTCTTCCGGCAGCCGCGGGAGGTCAAAGATCGCGCCCACGTCAGTCAGTCAAAGTACTTCAACGGCTACAAGCCACCGAGGTCGCAGCGCATCAATCCCTTTGAGTCGGTCGACGTGCGCGAGACCTTCTCCTGGACTTACGACCCGAGATATGACCCCTCAGTACCAGATCCGGATGCCGTACCACTTCACATCGCGCAGTACCTGCGGTGCGAGAGTTTTCACTGGGACGCCACCGCGAACCTGCCTCATTTCAAAGAGGCCATTGTGCGCTACTGGCGCTCGTGTCTCGCCGTGGCGCGGGCCCTCGTACGGTGCTTCGCGCTGTCGCTCGATCTGCCTGAGGATTTCTTCGCGGACAAGTTCACGCACCCCGACGCCGCCCTCGGGCTGAACTACTACCCGCCGTTACCCGGCGTGCCGCAGAAGGCACCAGCAGAGCAGGGCGAGACGGAGGTCTCCATCGGCTCACACACAGATTTCCAGCTCTTCACGATCCTGTGGCAGGACAACAACGGCGGCTTGCAGGTATTGAATCGCCAGGGCCAATGGATCAATGCGAAGCCCATCCCAGGCACCTTCGTCGTCAATATAGCGGATTACATGCAGCGCATCACCAACGACCGCTACGTGAGCACCGTCCACCGCGCGCAGAACTACAGCGGCCACGAGCGGATAAGCATGCCGTTCTTTTTCGGATTCAATCTGAATGAGAGCTGTGGCGTGCTCGATAGTTGCGTCGCCGAGGGCGAGGAGAAGAAATACGGAGAGATTAGCTGCGAGGAATGGGTCCAGAGACGCGTGAGGGCGATGCACAGGCAAGGCGAGTCGTCGGGTAAATGAACGGATATAAGGTGGTGCAGTAGCTGCGAGGAGCATCAGCTGCTTGTGGGATTGCTTCTCTGACACTCTTCAGAACGCTACAAAATCGTTCCGATAACATCGTGTCAGTTAGATGTTTTGTGTGTATACGAGATTATTACTCATAATAGCGTGCCACCACGTTGGAAGCGCCTTCTTATTGAATGGCACTTCTATTCATCTGGCTTGGTGGATCGTTCAACTAATTTTGTTATATATCTAGGCAAACAATTGATAGGAAAAGATAATGTTAGTAGGTTTGAATCAGAGACGTTTAGAGCTGGTGAAGCAACGTTGGTGATGGGATATTTTTTCGTTTCCTAGAAACGGGCCTTGATAATTGTGACTGTAAGTTTTAGCTGTTAATCGGCTGTATTATGACATGTATTTAGATATAATCGTTAGCATAGGTATCCAAGCCAACAGACTACATCCAAAACAGTTCAAACTGACAAGCACTTATACGCCAATACCAACACCTAACAGGTGTCAGGTACAATTTACCCTGGTCGGTATATCCAAGTAAAATGTCACCAGACTCAGCGACCTTGAGGCACATACCGAAGAGATTATATTAATAAGAAGAGTAAAGCAGTCACAACACTTCATGGAGTCAACCAGTCAGACGAGCTAAAACAAGGGTGAACAGGGCGGATGACGAAACGATAGATTTTTAAGTTTTTGCAGGTCATGTAAGTGTGCCTAGAAAAGGACAAAATTGTTATATTAATAATGCATATACCGAATAAATTATTTCGGGAAGTATATACGCTCGAGCCAGCTCAGATATTGCACATATTGTATCGTCATCTCGTCATTATACATTTGTAGCCGCCCATTTGACATTTAAATACACATTCACTGCCAAGACCCGGCCTGTGTAGGGTCCGGCATTACCTGTGACATGCCAAAGCTGTGCATGCTTGGTTGAGGCATGAACCCACCATACTCTTGTATCAGGTAGTTCCAATCCATTTCGCCCCCGAAATTGACATCAGGAAAAGCTAAAGAAAATTGCCTGGAGAGATGAGCTGGCTGCATATTGCTGAACATGTCGTTAGGGTGATACATTGCCGTGCTAGGCACAACATTGGTTGTTGGTGCTGATGATGGTGCTGGTGCTGGTGCGGCAGAGAACCTAGCACTCGCAACAGGAATCTTTGGCGATGGTGTTGCCAAGGGTGTTTTGTCCTTGGCCTTTTTAGGCATACGAGCATCAATCTGTCTCATGACCGTTATAAGTCTCGGCGGAGCCAGCGTACGGCCGTTTGCAGCTTCAGCAGCCTCTCTGGCATCCCATGCCTTCACGAAGAGAGAACTAAACGCGAGGTGCAATGGCGTCTGTGTCACGGTAGTCATTTTCCTCCTCTCAGCATGCTCGAAGATCGTCTCCCAAGCACGCTCACAGAGATCACCTGTCGTACGCTGGCGGAGCTCGCCCAAAAGACAGACGTATGCAGGGAAAGGAAAGTACATTCTTGTATACCAGAGGAATCCTTTAAGTCTTTCATGAGCCTGTATCATGCTGTCGTATTCGATCATGCGGATAGCCTCGATGAGGAGGCTTTCGCTCTCGGCAGCGGGTAAGGGCAAAGGAGCTGTTATCACAACTCGAAAGAATCCCGAGACGACCTTCAATTTGCAGATGCTAGCTCGTGTCATGAGAAGAGTCATATAATGAACAGGGATCTTTGGGTCGCAATACTTCAAGTATGTTTCCTCCATGTAGTGTGCAAATTGGTCGAGGTAGCTCGATAGACGGTGATCGGCCAAGTTTGTAACCGCTTGTGGATTAGCAGCAGATAGCTGAGCCTTCATCTTATCGTTGCCTGGCGCTTTCGCAAATTCGAGCCGTGTCAAAGTAAATATCATTTCCGTGGCACCGGTATGAGGAGGGGGAGAATCTTTGGCATGGGTATTAAGATCGGCGTCGTTGATATTTAGTGGCAATTTGCAATTGCCGCCAGTAGAGATGGCTGTGATGGTCGATCCACACATCTCCCCTATGCGTCTGTCGAAGCCAGCTAAATTCCACCAAAGCCTCCTTCTCTCTTCTACTTCGAATGGGGAGAAGCCAAATTCGGCACCATCTCGCTGTAGACCAAGACGTTGGGCTAAACGAACACCCATACCCGTGTAACAAAACAGAGTCCGAGGATCTGTATATTGTCTGACACCGATCTGGTACTGGTTAGGATTAGAAGAAGACCAAGCACTGAAGGTGAACTCTTACACAATATAACAAGTATGCCTGTAATACTGTCAGATCTGGCATACGCATGAAGCCTGCGTTGATAAGAGCTTGTTGAGTGCCGTGTTGGTATTTTGCTAATAAGTTCGACCTTGTCCCATTGAAAGACTGTTCTACCTCGTCATCGTTAAGACTAGTAATCGCCATGAGGTAGATAGCGAACATTAAGGCTTCGAGGCTTTTTGATACCCTCGTCAGGTTTGTCGAGGCCTCGATTATTTGGGCTTGTAGGGTGGGTGTGTGAGTGAGTTTGAGTAGAGGATTGACATTGTCTAAATAGATCTGCCATAGTTGAAATATTTGGATACCTGACGGGTGTAGCTCAGTGACGCTTTGAGACTGGCCGCCGATCGCGAAGGGGAAGCCATCTGTGTTGCCAAACATTTGGTCGTAAGCGTGATTGATAGTTGATCCGACGTCTTCCTCCTCGGAAGAATCTGGAGGTGGATCGTTTTGGGGTCGGAACTAGACACTGATTAGGACAGAGTTCCAGGCAACATGGGAAATATGGACATACTTCTTTCTGGAATGGGAACCATCTAAAGGTGCTGTCGACATGTTTCATTTAGCACGTGCAAGGTCGAGACAAGTGGCATGGGGACGTTCAGGGATACTACCTACCGTGGTCTGTGGAGCTTTTCGCCAGCAGACGAGATGACATCGGAATCTGCACCAGCGGGAGAGGCCTTGGCTCTGGGTCTGTTGAAGTCGGGGTCGAGCTCGTCGCCCTCCTCGACTGAGCCAGGGTCGGTGATCTTTATGTCCGGGCCAAGGGACTCGAACTCAATGCCGTTCTGAGACAGCAGTGCCTCGTACTTTCTGAGGCGGTCCACCAGATCGCGCTCGGGGATACGCTTTTTCCTTCGCCTCGGTGGTTGGGGTGGCACAACGCGGCAGTCGACGCCGGCCTTGACGCAATTGGAACATGGCTTCTTCTTGTCACATCGCACCTTGCGCTGCTGGCACAGGACGCAGCTGTGACCGCGAGTGACCTTGACAAAGGAAGAAGAATCCGGGTCCGGTGGGGTATTGGCAACCGAAGCGCCGATCGGAGTGGACTGGTTGTAGGTTGAGCTGCCATCGCCGGAGTGATGAGACTCTGGGGTGGCAGGCATCCTCAAGACACAGTCGGTCCCGAGTCGACGAGCACAGACGAGACGGGCAGAATTTTGAAGCAAAGGGGATGGTACACGCTGGACACTGGACGGACACTGGATGGACACTGGCAACTTAGCGCGCAGGCGCTCAGAGGCAACAACGGGCGACGGGCAAACGGGCAACGGTATGCGACACTGATAAAGCTTAAACGAACTGGCGGAGACCTGCACTACCAGTAATGGATTTGATAAGGTCAAGGATAGCGCAACGTCAGGTCAGGTAGGTATGATGAAATGGACCTGCGTTACATGCGCGGATGCTGGCGGCGAGGCTCTCCCATTGGCAAGGACGGCATGGGGCGTGTTGAATCTCGAGATGCGGGGGGGTGGGCGTGGGTTTCTCGGGACCGACCAAGAGCCCGCTTGTCACTCTGTTGCAGGTTTAGCTGCAACCTTGCACCAGACTAGTATCTGGTAAAGTACACGACGCTAGCAGCCCGGGGGGTTAGGGGGGGTGTGCGGTGGCGGCGACGGCATCAGCTGCAGGAAGTGCGCCTAGACCACGACAGGACGTGTACCTACCTACTACCTCCTACCTGTCAGTACCTATTAGTACCTACCTAGGCAGGTAGGTAGACCAGGAGGAGGCCGGGACCTGTTTATTCGAAGGGGGAAAGGAGCGGCGGTTGATGGATGGAGGAGAACACGGGGCTTAAAGAGGATGGAGAAGAGGAGGAGGAGGAGGAGGTTGGATGAGGAGGTGAAGGAAGAGAGGAGGAGAGAGGGAGTATAGTAAGAAGTGTGCGAGGATCGAGATGGACGAGTGAAAGCAACGCCGCCTACCTACCTACCTATACTATACCTACCTACACCTGCATACATACATCCTTACTTCGTAGTATCTACTGTACCTACCTACCTTTCCTAGGTACCTACTTACATATCAACCAACTTATATAAGTACATACCTACCTTTTTTACCTTAGATACCGTATATCATGGATGTATGTGCCGTGTAGGTGGGTAGGCTGCTTTTACCTACATACCGGTACTGTAGGTGTGCCCGTGTACATAACAGCAACTGGTAGTACATGTACGACTACTACTGCCAGTACTTTGTAGGCATATCTCGTTCTGGTCACTGTAAGGAAGGTAACGACAGAATTCCTTAAGTAATGTAATTGCAGGTGGCAATAGATACTTAAATTAGACAGGCAGTAGACCGAATCGACTACGGTAGAAGTAAGGAGGGAAAAAAAACTCTAAAAAAATCTTAGCTAGATTGCGCTATCTATCTTCTATGTACGATACGTGTAATAGGCTGCTGCAAGGAACTTAGCAAACCGACTGTAGTTTGTGATGGAGAAACTATTCCGGCGTACAGTTATACCTACTACCTTCCTAATAGTAATATGCATGGGCAGACATGGGACAGTATTGCCGCCCACTTGGAAATTATATAGGAGCCAACATTCTTTCCATTGGAAATCAGTATAACCCATCGCTAGGTATTACAAGTAGTATCTACGTACTTAGGCAAGATAGATGATACCTTGTAAAATTAATCATCGAACATCGCATGTCGCAGCTTATAACCACCGAACAATGACCATGATGACGGTAGTCGCCCACAGCACTTGCCGATGGCCGGCATTGCCTAGTGAGCGCCAAGTACAAGGTAGCCCACAATCGCCCACGATCTACCCACGATACAGGCGATGCAGGTAGTGAGGGTCAATGTGGGCGGGTTAGGCCAAGGGGGGCGGCGGGTCGGGCAGTACGATCCTTCTCGGGACCGAGAGTCTTTCACATATCCGACTCTCTGTGTATGTAGTAAGTAGGTAGGTATTTGCTTCGCTTCTCATCCAACGACCTGTAGCACAACCCCATGCCGTCGTTGTCTGTTGTCTGTACTCGAAGTCACGAGACAGGTCAACGTACTACGACATGTGCCTGATCAGTGCCTGGTGGTCAATATGTGTGCAACGACTGAAAATAGTCGTTGGCATTTGACATTGAACTACTATCTATCTACCGATACGTTTGAGTTGGATTGCAGGTAGGAGGCATTCTGTCCTGTCTGCCAAACACTCACTCACATGTAGTCTGGACCGGATAAGCTGTGTGAGCCGAGGGTCCGGCTCAGCAAATGCAAAGATTTGCTCTGGAAGAATTAAAATAACAATAAAAAATAAAAAAGAAGAACGGGTGTAGTCAAAATGCACTCAGATAAGCAAAGCTAGCCATGTGTCACGCAACTACTGCACAGCTCTTCGGCATCTCTCCCGCTGTCCAACATATCCTGCCCGTAAACCGTCAATCAGCTTCTTGAAGCCCCTTGTCCCTGGTCGTGCCCGGATCTTCCCCAACCTTTCTACCACAGCCTCAGCTCTGCTATTATCGGTAGACCCTGTACCCATACTCACAACCACGTGTGCGCCACGCAGATGCCTATATCTCTGTGGTAGGTAAGACTCAAGCAGATGGCCTGGGTGTCTATTTCCAGGTCGAGAATGGACAGAAAACGGTGTGCGGGCTTTTCTCTGTCCGGTATACATCTTATACTGCCTATGTACGCATACCCATAGGACTCGACCGTGTACCGTTTAACGTGTACCGTGGTCTCGTGCTGGCGTTGGTTATCCCCCGGGACTATGAGATTCGATAGTCCGCGCCATCATTGAGTCCTTGTCTTATTAGTATTATTATCTCGTTGCGGACGGACAGCCATGCGAACCGTTGCCGGAAGTCGGGTCACACCAAAAAAATGAGAAGCTGCAGGATAATAAACTCCACGCTTGCCGTCTTGCCCTTGCAATCCTCACCCTAATTACTACTCTTCTCTGTATCCTGCTTTGTTTAGATCTAACACGGCCGACTCTCTGTAGAGACGCTCTGTAGAGGAGCCTTGAGACAGCAGCGAAACATACAGGTCCGCACCCGCCCATCATGGCCAGAGATACTGAGAAGCTGGATAGGGCAGCTCTGGCACCCTCTGGGCCCATGCGCCCACCTCACGATGATTCCGAACAGCGTTTCCAGCCTAAGAGCTTTAGGTTCTGGTCCGTTATCATCAGTATATTCCTGGCCTTATTCCTCGTGGCTCTCGACAGAACGATCCTCGGAACGGCTACGCCGCAAATCACCGAGGAATTCCACAGTCTGGGAGATATTGGGTGGTATGGATCGGCCTATCAGCTTACCACTGCTGCATCTCAGCTGTTATTTGGTCGAGTCTACAAATTCTACGAGATAAAGAGGTACGTGCTGGTGGTTCTAAGAGGTCTACCATATGTGTGTCCCCCTAACCACCGACCAGGACCTTTTTGATAACTGTCGCCCTGTTTGAGATTGGGTCCGTCATTTGTGGAGCAGCCCCGAATTCTATAGTTTTCATCGTTGGCCGTGCTATCGCAGGTCTGGGTGGCGCTGGTATCTTCTCAGGCGTCACCATTATCATGATCACCATGGTACCCCTTCGAAAGCGACCCATGTTTCAGGGCTTGTTTGGAACAATATTTGGGCTCGCATCTGTCCTTGGTCCCCTAGTTGGTGGCGCTCTGACTGATGCAATCACGTGGAGGTATGTAATTCTTCCCATCTGCACTTAAGACTGGTCACCTAATGGCTCAATGCAAGGTGGTGCTTCTATATAAATCTCCCTATAGGGGCTGTGGCGGCCCTGTGTCTCATCTTCATCCTAGAGCCATCGAGACCTTCGCATCCACCAGCTACCATATGGGAACAGATTCGACGCCTCGATCCCCTGGGGACCTTCTTTTTCATTCCTAGTATTGTCACCCTCCTCATAGCCCTACAATGGGGTGGTTCGACTTATGCTTGGAGCAATTGGCGAATCATTCTGCTCTTCGTCCTATTTGGGGTCCTTCTCTTTGCTTTCGGTGCCGTGCAGGTATATCTGCCAAAGACAGCCACCGTGCCTGTCCGTATAATTCGTAGGCGCAGTATACTGGCTGCGACTATCTTCATGTTTGCATTGGCAGGGTCGTTTCTGATGGCCATTTATTACTTGCCTTTATGGTGTAGGTATATGTGTCATATGTTCAAGACAAGCCTTGCCTCCCTAGCGCCCCGGCATTCTATCTACCTTCGAACGCAACGATAAGCTGACATGGTGATTCAGTTCAGGTTGTTAAAGGCGCTACCGCGACACAATCGGGAGTCTATACTCTTCCCTTCGTCCTCAGCTTAGTAGTGGGCAGTACATTGTCAGGCATATTCACGCAGAAGGTCGGCTATTACGTACCAGCAATGATTGCTTCTCCAAGTCTTCTGGCTGTAGGGCAGGGCCTCATGAGCACTTTCAGAGTGAATGAGTCGTCATCTCATTGGATCGGATTTCAGGTCATCGCTGGGTTCGGCCTTGGTCTTGGCATGCAAGCAGCTAGTCTTGCTGCTCAAGCTGTCCTACCGATGCCTGACGTTCCAATAGGCATTGCAATTATGTTTTTCGCCCAGCAATTGGGCGGCGGTATCTTCACCTCTGTCGGCCAGAATCTTCTAAGCACGTACCTCGTCTCAAATCTTCACATTCCAGGTCTCTCTCCAGATCAGATTACGAGTGAGGGTGCTACGGACTTGGTGACATCGGTGGCGCCTGAATACCAGTTGACCGTGAAGACCGTCTACAACCAAGCTATATCTCAAATATTCCGGTGTGCCATGGGTGTAGCACTTGTAGCTACCGCAGCAGCGCTGTTTATGGAATGGAAAAATGTTAAGAAGACGGGACCTCCTCCGGGAGCCGGACCAGGTGCACGAACTCAGCCTGTCGACGACCTACCGAGTGAAGAATCGTCTGCGCTTTTTATTGAGTCGTCTCCAAAGTTATCTTTAGACAACAACTCAGACGCTGGTAGGAAAGGAGGGAATATGAGAATGAACGGTGCCATAACTAACAGCGAGGAATCTCCTACGTTCTTGGTCCCGAAAACTGGTTGCGAGCATTGTGAGCATTGTCGGCTTTCACGCGCGCTCACGTTGTCTCCTGAGCGACAAAGCACGTCCCAGCCTCTTCAAGCCCCTTCTAACCGCAACTCACGCTCACAAGCGCTGGCCCATCAGATGAACGCACCGGCCCCCGGAGCCCTCGAAGAAGCAGCTCGCCTCGCAGCAATTGCTCGTGAAGCTGTAGCCCAGCTTGAAGAGCTAACACGGCCGTTTTCCACCATTGGCGCCTCGATAGACCATCATCCAGTCCAAAGTGTATCCCGCCCTGAGCGCGCATATGTTCCACACAATGTATCGAGGCACAGATCTCTCACAGCGCCTGAAATACCACCGCGTAAGCTGAGAAGGGAGCCTACAACAGAAGAGCTTGTGGAGAACGCGCGACGTGTTTCGGCCCAGCTTGAGCGCGAAGAGAAGGAGGAAAGAACACGAGAAATAGAAAGGCGGAAAGAAAGAGATGAAACAGAGGGTAGACGTTCAGACCGGTCCTCTCGCCAATTCTCAGCGACGATATTCATGTCGTCGCCTCCACACAGCCCTACATTCTCACCAAGAGGTGGAAGGTTCCCACCAATCTCATGAGGCCCTTTCACCCTTGCTTTTTCTCTGTCTTATATATAAGCGCTCTTCCGGCCTCCGGTATTCCTGTTTTGGGTTTTCAGGAGTTTGTATTATGCATTTATCTTTCACACCAACACTCCTTCTGTGACAAGGGCTCTTATAGAGGGCTTGGAACTTAGTCATATTCATTAATAATCTACTAGGGGTCTCTAGGGCCTTGATCTCTCTTTCTCTTTCTTTCCTGGAGTGGGAGATTTTTTAGCTATTTATGCTCATTTAGGCTTTATACAATCTATGACTCCCTTCCTTCTGTTGGGCATTTATGCTTTAACTGTTAGTCTTCCTACAATTAATAGATTACTTTTATCCAATCGCTTATAACCTTACTTTTCTTTAAGGGTAGTATTGGTTATCTTTAGTTTTAAAGTTTTAGCTATATAATACTATTTCCCTCCTTTTTAATGTTTAACTTTAAGTATAACTTAACTTTTTAAATGGATTATAAGTTTAGGGTTATAGTAATTTAAAGGTCTGCCGGTTTATTTAGGTTTTATTAATGGAACTGTTTAATAAAAGCCTTTACATTAATGCTATTTATATATTTATATAGCTTTTAAATCTAATACCTTTTAACTAATTAACCTTTTTACTTAATTAAGTATTTTATATTCTTTTAAGTTTTTAAAAAGTCCTTAATTTCTTTTATTTAATAGTTTTTAAATTTTATTAGAAGTACTTTTTATAAAACTTAATTAAAGTTAAGCAATGCCTGATTATTAATATAGTAAGGCTTAATAAATAAAACGTAAAATAAATTATAAATTCTTTATCCTTTAGGTAATATAAATTTAATAGCGGTAGGCGAAATTACTTTATAAATCTTAAAAGGATTAAATATCTTTTTATTTAACTTTTTAATAGGTTTCTTTATTTTAATATTCTTTATATTTAATATTATTAATTAGTTTTTAATATATTAGGGCAGAGCTCTTTATTTTTTATTTATTTATTCCTTTATATATTATTAGGCCTTTTTTAACTATTTCTTAACTTCTTTATATACCTATATTATTTAATAGGTATATAGCCTATTAGTTGGGTTATAGGGTTATATTATTAAAAGGTTATATATAGTTAAATAATAACTATAGTTTATATAAAAGGGGAATATATATATTATAGCTAATATAATATTATTATATATAAATTTAATAATTAATAAAAGGTTTTCCTAATTAAATATTTTATAATTAATAAATATTTATAAATAAATTTTAAAGATTTAATTAAATTATTTTATTTATTTATTAGTTTAGGGATAGAAGGCTATATTTATATAAGGTTTAATATTAATAAGCTTTAAAAAGTCCTTTTATAAATAGCTTATAAATTTAAAGTCTTTATTAAAAATTATATTAAGGGGTATACTGTGTAATTTTTAATAATACTTAACGAAGATTTTAATAAGATTTTTAGTTTTCTTTTCCTTAATTTTTAAGGGTATAAAATATCCTATTTTTATAAAGGGATTTATTATTATTTAAATAAAGTTATAGCTATTAAATAAAAGTAGGTTAATAATAAAGTTTATTATAACTAATTGCTATAGGGTATAGTATAACTTTATAGGTTAAAGTAATCCATAGGGGGTATATTATAGGGCTTTATTCTATTAGTAAGTATAGCAACCTTATATAAAGTCCCTTATAGTTACCTTAATGTTAGGCCATTAAAAGTTTTTTATAATAAGCTCCAATATCTTATCCATTCTTATATACCCTATTATTTATATATTATATTTTATTTTTATTACTTTTTATTATATAGCTATAAATACTTATAAGTATCCCTTTTTATATAATAGGTTATTTATAAGTTTTATATCTTTAAAGGGCTTATCCTTCTATAAATAATATTCTAAGTCATCCTTTATTACTTCCTTAATAAGCTTAATAAATTTTAATAGCTATTTAGGTATAAAAAGGCTATAAAGTTGTTTAAAGGTTAATAGTATAAATGCTATTAAATCGAACATTAATCCTTTAAAATGTAAAAAATGTTTATTTTATAAAACTAATTTAACTGGTTAATCTTTATTCCCCCCTTTTTTAAAGTAATATTAAACTAATTTTAATATAATATTAACCTTTTTATTTAATTTACTAGGTTAATAATTTATTATAAACTAGTACGTTAATAATTACTACGTTTAATAGGCCTATTATTTATTTAATACTTTAGCTATTATAAAGTATAATAGGTTTTAATAATTAAAATAAATCTTAATTTAATATTAAATACCTTTTAGGTATTAATGCTATTAATTAAGTCCGTTTATTATTATAAATAGTTCTTTATTATATATTTCGTAATTTATTTCTACCAATATTAACTTCCAGAAGTAAAAGACAACGGGGTAAAGTTTACCATTATTATCTTTTTATAATAGTATAGCTTTAAAGGCAAAGTTAAAGGTATTAGTTTTAATATAAACCACTTTAAAAGGGTTAAAATAAATAAGTATAGGGGCTATAGTAAAATAGTATTTAAGTTTAAAAAAGGCTTTATTTATAACTTCTATCTATTTTTATTATTATTAATTTATTTTATTTATATCTATTAATAGTTTTATAATTAATAAAAATTTTTTAATAAATCTTTAATAAAAGTTTACAAATTTAATAAATTATTATAATTTATATAGGGTAATTAATACTTTCTATTTAATAATATAATTAATTTTATTTTAAGCTATTAAAATATTATTAATATTAATAATATATTTAAAAAACTTAACTTTATATATATATTACTTGCATTTTTAAGGTACTATTACTAAATTATACTTATTAAAGCATTATAATACCTTTTTAACTATTTTATTATATTTTTCCTTTATTTTTATATAAATTAAAAGGTTATTAAAGTATATAAATAACCTTATATTAATAAGGTTTTAAAAAATATAGTTTATTATAAATTAAAATATTATAAAAGTATTAATAAATCTTATAAGTATAATTATATATTTAAAGAGTTTATATTTATAATGGAATGCTATTTTTTATTTATAACCCTTTTTAATTTTAATTAAATAAAATCTGGATTTTAGGTCGATTTTGGTAAATTATTTAGCCTTCCGAAATCTAGCTTAAAATTTTACAATAAAGGGAATAAAATACCTTACCAGTATTATAATAATATTAAGGCTTTAATAATTTATAATAGGGCGTAGTAGATTATTTAGGTTTTTTTTTTCTATAAATATAAGAGGAGCCCTATATAATATAATAGATTTTTAAATATAATTGGTTTTAAGTATTTTATTTAACTAAAGTTTAAGTATATTTAATTTATAATCGTTTATAGTATAAAGGGGTTCCTAAAGTAAAGTCTTTCTATTTATAAGGTTAATTGCGTAATTTTAAAGTTAATAATTGGATAATTGTTATACTGCCGCTTTAGTTATAATGGAAAGGAATTCCTTAAATTCTTTAAAGATTTATTCTATCGTTGCTTTAATTATAGCTTAAAGTATAATTATTATAACCTTAACGGTCCCTAACTTAAGAATAGCTTAATTAGTACAATTTTTATAACAATACTTAAAGGTAAATATAATTTTTCCTATATCTTTAAAAAAATAAATAGATTAATATTCCTTTATTTATTATTAAAGTAGGATAATATTATAATCCCTATTAAAGGTATTTAACTTAAAGCTAAGCCTTATAAAGTAATCTTTTTAATATTAAAAAACAATTTATTTTATATAATATTATTTTACCTTTTATATATATATTATATTAAAGGCTAATATAAGTTTAAGATGTACTCTTTTAATAAAAGGCAACTTTTATTATTTAACTTTTAAAAAGGATATTATAGGAATAATATTACTTATATTTAAAAGCACCTTAATTAGGTATTCCTGGTTATTATATAATAGGGTTATAAGAATAATAGGCTTATAACTTATTTTAGGTTTTAAATTAGCCTTCTTTTAAGCTAATTTAAAAAGCTTATTTCTTATTCGCTTAGTTATATTAATATAAAAGAAGTTACCTTTTTAAGGGCTTAAATTTCTATATAATACTTTATAAAGCTTAATTAAAAATTTAAATCTAATTCTTTTAACTTTATATACTATATAGGGTTAATTATATTTATAATAATAGTATTAATTTTAATTCTTTTTACTATAAAAGGTAGTTTAATTCCTTTATTAAGCTTCTTTTTAATAGAAAAGGTTTTTTTAAAGGCTAAAGGAAGTTTTTTCCTATCGATATCCTTTTTAATATAATAAATAAGGGTATAATAATTATTCCTACTATATTATTAATAGTTAACCTTATTTTATTTCTATTTATTAATAGTAACCTAATTAATTTCCTTTAAAGTAGCTATAATGCTAAGCTAATAATTATCTTTTAAATTAATCTTAGGTTTATTTAGCTTCTTATTAATAACTTTCCTTTCTTTATCCTTTTTTAAGGATTGGTTTTAGTTTAAATTAAAGCAATTCTTTTTACTTTAATTTTAATAGCCTAATTTTAATTACTCCTTTGTTAAATTAAGTATACCTTTTAAAAATAGCCTAAGGTACATTAGTATATTTTTATAAATAACGCCAGCTTTTTAAATTGCGTTAAAAAATTTATTATTATTTTTAAGGATATAATTTTAACTATAATAAATTATTTTTATAAGTTTAAATAATAGGCGTTTAATAATAAAGGTTTGGAATATTAAGCTAAACTATTTTATTAAATTATTATAATTAAGGATTTCGGTAAAGAATTGGGCAATATTATTGGAATACTTTACCTTTATTAAGGCATTAGCATTTTGGTACATTATTAAAGGATCCTTAAATTAAGCTTTTAAAGCTATTTAATAAACTATTTAAATATTAATAATATTAATATAATAGATTTACTTTTAATAGAATTAATATTATTATAAAGCTTTATTTATTATAAGAAAGCTGATTTAATTAATATAATATTTATTAAGGGGAAAACTTTCTATATATATAGATATATAATCCTTAACTTTAACCTATTATAGGAAAAATTTAAAAGTATTCTTTCCATTATAAATATAAGGCTTATTAAATTAAATAGGATTTAATATTATAATTATAGGATTAATGCTTTTAAGTATAGCTAAAAAGGTATATATTAGTTTATTAATAAAAGGGTTAAGGGGATTATTATTATCCGAATTTCCTTTAGGTCCTTTATTAGGGTTTTGAGGTGGTCCTTAAGGTGGTCCTTTAGGTGGACCGTAGGGAGGTTATCCTTTAAAGGGGTTATTATTATTGTTAAAGCTATTAAGGTTTCCTTTTAGGTTACCTTCTAATAGTAGGGTAACTTTGGCGAAAACTTCCGGGGAAATTTTTATTGCTGTATATTAAGCTTAAAAGGCCTGGGTAATTAATTGGGCCCTTGCTACCTATAATACTTTATTACTGATTTGTTATTATAAAATAACTTCCGATAACGAGTACTTTATAGTAGGATAGTTAATAAAGCTGGTTATAATGCTACGTTTTTTTAACTTATTAATAATCTGGTTTATATTAAGTGCAATTTATTTATTTAATTATTTTTAAATCTTTTAAATTATTATTTAAATATAAATTTATAGCTTATTAATTTAGCTAGGGTTTATAATAGGATAGTTTATAAATTAATTAATTTATTCTTTAGTTATAATAGTTTAGTTATTTATAATTCCTTAGGTTTCTTAATAATTAGCTTTTTGTTTAATAAGTTTACTTTAAAAAGTTTAAAAGGTTTAATAGTAGTAATCCACTACTTCTTTAAGCTAGCTAATAGTATTAGCTTAAGATTAGGTATTTTATATAATATATATAATAGTTTCCTATATATTTTAAAAGAAGGTAATGCTTCTTTATATAATTTTTTATTAAAAATGTTCCATTTACTTTTAAATTGCTTATATATTTATTTTATATAAGTTAATTAAGATATTATATATATTATAAATAGTAATATATACGTTTTAAAATGCTTCCCTTTATTTAGGGAGTATTCTTTACTTATATTTTTATAAAAATTAAGCTACCTAAAAGGTTTTACCTATATAGTTATAAATATTTATAACTTATTATAAAAGGTTTTAAATTATTATATTTATATATTTTATTTCTATATTTTTAATATCTTTATAAATAGTTAAATTATAAAGGGTAAGCTTTATAGCTTTAAATATTAATTTAGGAGCTATAATAAAAGGATTTTATTATAAAGCTAATTAATTAATAGATTTAAATAAGTTTTTTAAAAGAAGTAGTTCTTTAAAAAAAAGGGGATATAATTTAATTAAAATAGGTAAGTTTAAATATAATAGGTAATAATAAAAGGGATATAGCTTATTTAAAGGTAAAAGCTAAACTTTAATTAAGGCTAATAGAATATTTATTTAATACTTTTATACATTTTAATTCTGCCTATAAATTATTAAGGGGTAGGATATCCCTAATTTTAAGCTTTTAGGTTTAATAAAGTAGCAAAAGCAAATAGCTTAGCTATTATTCGTCCTTAAAATAATTTTTATATAATAAGGAAAATCCTAAGGAATTAAAGTTTAAGCTATCTTTATTAGGATAGTAAAAGTTAAAGTTAAAGTTCTATAATTAAAGTACATCTATAATTTTAAAGAAGTTTAGAGCTTTAGGTTAATAAAGTTATTAGCTACTTCCTATTTTTTAAATAGGAATATTAGGATTATAATATATAATGTTTAAATTATTAAATATAAGGTATAAACTTTTTTTAAAATACCTTTATTTAATAAAGGTAGGGAAAGTATTTTATTAAAGTAATCCTATATTTATAGGGATTTGGGCTTAAGATAATATTATATATATAGGGGATTTATTAAAGCTTATTTGTTAAGCGGAAGTTTAGGCTATATTGGAATATTTTAAAGGGGAATAATAGATTATTTATAATAAGGGCTTTTATAAAGGGCTTAGAACTTAGTTATATTTATTAATAATCTATTAGGGGTCTTTAGGGCCTTAATCTTTCTCTTTCTCTTTCTCCTGGAATAGGAAATTTCTTAGCTATTTATGCTTATTTAGGCTTTATATAATCTGTGACTCCCTTCCTTCTATTGGGCATTCATACCTTAACTGTTAGTCTTCCTGTAGCTAACAGATTGCTTTTATCCAATCGCTTATAGCCTTACTTTTCTCTAGGGGTAGTATCGGTTATCTTCGGTTCTAAAGTCTTGGCCGTGTGACACCTTCGGCCCCGCAGCCCCTATTGTCACGAGTATAAGAGAAATCTGTCATCACAGATGCCCTCACTGATGACTAGAAAAGCGAGACCATTTGATGATAAGGATGATAGAAAACGTCAATCGTTAAAACCCCAGACCCCCAGGCCCACCATATATCACGCGCACTTACATATATAAACTTGTACATCAAGACACAGACGCCAAACTTTATTTGACACATATCTATATTTACGCACTTATTTGTATAATCTTTATGACACATATGGGAGGAGACAATACGACGACGAGCAGAATGAATTAGCGAGCACAGGAGAAGAGAATGGAGGGCTGAGTATGGGCACAGGTGGTTACCTACCTCTAGATAGACTTGCATAAAATCGACATTCAACCACTTGCTGGGGTGTGGTGCATCATCGAGTTTGCGTAATTACTAGAGAAAAAAGCCACTTCTAATCTTCTTCGATAATAGAACATGTGTATATTCTTTGGGCATGTTCACTTCGCCCTAGACATGACTAGACGCCTTCCTCTTCTTCATCTTCGTAAGTTTTCTTGGGATAGCTCTTTTCTTGACGCTATCTCTATCTCAACATAAAATTGCCCAGGCAACATATCCAAGAATCCATCTAGAATAAGTTGCTCAGTTAGTGAGACATGGCGCTCGGTCAAACTAGTCAAATACCTGTGGCGATATACATATCATTTACTACAAAACGAGGAGCTCTAAAATCATGAGTGGTATTATCCAGTACTGAGATATCATGTATATATAAATTCATTGATAGAGGTAAGCTGGTTGGCTAACAAATTAAGAAAAATGATCGGATCCTCTAAATGTAGGTTCATGAGTAGGTAGGGATGGATATATTGTCTGAAAAAAAACACTATTGTCCAGCCCAATTGATATTGTACGGCTTTAAGCTTCCCTCCCCCCAAAGAACAAACAATGACTGAAACACGTGCTTCAACTCCCTTGCGCCGGCATGCTCTTCGTTGTTGATCCCTTATTTCTTCCAGACTCAGTCGAAAGGCTTGCTCATCATACAAGTTCCCACGTAACCCAGATAGCCCAACTCATGGAATACCCGCCACTTTTCTTCGCTCTATAATAATCCTCTTTGGTGACACCTCGCGCATCGCGCCCGTTTAATACCGTGAGTGCGAAGAGTTGGGTTTTCATCCCCGGAGCACCCAGGTCTCTAGCAGGCACATCGACCCACCACCAGTACCCATTCGTATCAAGAGGCACGAGGTCCTCCTTTCGTCCATCAACGCCGTGGATTTTGAGGAGTAGTAGATAAGGCGGGCCTTTTCCATTTCGTTCATGTGTCCAGTGCTCGCAGACCTTTGCGAATTGAAACCGCACTACTTCACCGCTTTGGACGGGAATGTGCTTAGCAGCAGGACTATAACCAACCTCATTAGAGATCCCTTCATCACTGGCACCACCGCACCAGTCTGGTTTTTCAGCTCCTGGGACTGGACCCAGCATGTACTCTTCCCATGATAAAACCCTACCATCTTCCCGGTAAAAGTGTTGGTCGTTTCTGGGAAAATGGGAAAGTCCAAATTGCTCGTTACTTAGGGTGAACATTTTAGGATTGAAGCCCTTGTGAAACTTCTCGTCGCCAACAGATCCAGCACCCCAGCACGCATCTATAAGTTTCCATTCGCCGTTGTCGATGCACACAGCGTTCCATGCATGACCTGTAGGGTTCCTAGGTGGTGGCGCTTGGCCCTGTTTCAGTGGTGTATAGCCGTATCCTTTGCCATGTCCGCCGACCACGATGCACTGCAATCCAGCCCTTTGTGCGATTGCTTGATAGACTTCCGCATACCCTTGACATACAGCTTTACCCAGGAATATTGTTTCGTTTACATCACGTCCTTTGACGCACTTTCCAAAGAACTCCTCGACGTTATAGGCAATGTTATGATGGCACCATGTGAAAATTGCACGAGCCTTGTCAGTTGGAGATGGGAAAGGACTGCAAAGGACATTGGCGAGATAGCCAACAGGGTCCTGTCTCGGCAAGGAATGATTCGGATACTGTGCTGCTACATTATCTGGACCAGAGAAATCTCTGCACATCATACACACGGCCGCCCCATTGGTCGTCGCTCGAACTGTAGCAGCACCAATTTCGGCGTGAGTGGGCCGGGAATTGAGCGGGACGGGGGGCGGCGAAACTCGCCCGGGTCGGTTTGCTGGGACTGGCGGTCTCGATGAGCCTTCTAAAAGGGTTTTAGGCCTTACATATGCTGAAGGGGCAGGAGGGAGACGACGAGGCCCCGTGGATTGCACTTCTCGACTCTGTGCAGGAAGTGGTGTCTTGGATGCAGGCCGAGATGGCAGCCGAGGAGGGAGGTTAGGACGACTTGGAGGCTCAGGCTGGGGTGTTGCGCGGGCAGGCAGTGTCGGAGCGACAGAAGGATCGTTAGATTCAACTGCGAGGTCTCTCTCAGCCGCTTCCTTGGCGGCTTGTGCGTCTCTTGCCCGTCTAGAAGGTGGCAGCGGCGGGAGCTTTGCTTGGTCGAAAGTGGGTGCAAGCACTCGTCGGGCGGCTGGAGAGTCGATTGAAGTCGTGCTTGCGCGGGATAACGATAGATTAGAGATGGATGAAATGTGGGACACATCAGACGAGTTAGAGCCGCGCCTGGACATAAGCGGTTGTGTTGGTCTCCGCGGCGGTAACGTCGGGGTGGGCGTGGGCTTTAATTCGGACGTCTTTCGGGAGGGGAGTGGTGGTCGCCCGGGCAAAGCCGGGGGTGTCTCGGCAGGAGATGCCGTAGGAGAAGCAGTCGCGGTATTTGCTCTTTGAGGAACACTTGGGGGTTCTCTCCTGTTTGGGCGAGCAGGTATACTGGGGGCATTCTGAATATTGTCATCGCTGACTTCTTCGGCTGAAACTTTGAAAGACTGTTTGCTGGGCGGTGGCGGAGGCGGCGCTCGTTTTGTTACCGGGGGAGGAGCCGTGAAGTTTTTCTGCTTGTTTAAAGCAGCAATTCGGTCAGCAAGCGAGCCAAACTGTGGCTCCTCGACTTCTGCCATGTCTCCTGGCTATTAACTATTTGCTGTTGGTAAGATGGACCTGTTGGATTGTCAAAACTTCCACGAGCGAGCGAGCGAGCTGGCGAGCTGTATGTGCTAAGCTCCCGAGCGAGAGTGGTAGGTGAGTGTTCTGCTAGGAACATTCAAAGCTTTACAGCTCAATCCATTGTCTGCAAGGTCTGAGTTGCACCGTATTAAAACTCGAAGCAAGTCAAAGCCTTCAGTTCGAGGAATTTAAGATGGTGATGGATTGCGGCGCAGCTCGTCTGACAGGTGATCAGGTTCTCGATCCACATTAAAGTAGGTAGGCGATGAATGCTTCCCCCCGCGCCGTTCCCCCTGCCCAATGCGGGAAACCGGCACCGCAATTAGATGCACAACAGTCGGTAGGTGCTTCGATCTCCACTGGAACATCGCTAAAAACCATTGAGAATTAAGTATCTTAGTGCAACCTAAACTTATCTGTAGATACATATAAGCGCCAGGTCTCGAGGCAGGGCGATACCTAAAGTTTGGTGCCGAGCTAGACACTAGGGAGGGACCAAGCACGAAAGAAAGAGTGCTATTAATCATAAGGCTGTCTGTCATAATCCTTAATCATTACCTACCTAGGTATGCTGTGAAAATCCCACTATTAATCAGTTTCGAGTCTATTCTACCACTCAGCAAGAATGCCCGACATTCGGCCTTGGGATATTTTCCCACTGAGGAATTCCTACCTACTTACCTACTTACCTACCTACTAGTGCAAGCCCCAGCTTGACACCAGGCGATTGCCATATTGGACTGGAGACCGATTTACAGAACTGTAGAGGCCATAGGACAGGTACAGCCTTGTGAGATCGGCTCTTTCTGGGCGTGGTGGGGTGGCGGGGTGGCGGGGATTGACGTGCTGTACATGTACCTAGGTAGGTACTATAAAGTAACCAGGTATATTTACAGTTCGCAATATCGGTAGGTACCTAAGCGGTCAGCTAAGGCTAGGTACTGTTCCAGACCCATTGCGACGGCACAACTGTTTCTAAGAAAAGAACCTCAGGCTCACCCACCGGTCTAAGGACCTAGGTAATGTAGGTACTTACTTAGTACATACAGTAGTACAATGTGTAGACTAGGTAGGTCAGAACACTAGTCCCTGCGCGTTTACATGTTCATTAAAATACACGTAAGTTGATATTGCTATTTCTATAATTCCTGTAAGTCTGTATCTAGCTTGTGAAGGAACGGTCTCTTAACTTAAAGTCTTGAGGGCTAGATATCACATATATATGCGTATCTGAGGGATGCTCCCCAATCGATCAACAACTGCTACAAAAACATGGTACTATAAGTATTGTGAAGAAACCTACTTTGTTTTCAAGTTGAGCCTTAAGGATGTCTTTAATCTCACCGACCTACCTATTCAGGCAGAGCATTAGCAGCATGGAAGAGTCATGGCACAGGAACTTAGTTTCTATCTCGATTAATTATGTTGTTTTGTATTCATTATCCATATTATAACGTGCTAGCAGGAATTTCCATCTATTATCGCACGTTGGGGAGGACATACTATCTGTCCTCACCCGATAGGTAGACGCTTCCGCCTCATTGCTATCTCCCGCCCAAAAACAAATGTAGAAGTATAGGAAGAAAGAAGGGACGTAGGCGAGACGACAGTTCCACTGAGCGCCTCGTGGGTATCATCTGAGATGTGTCTGAATGTCGCGTACATAGCTTTTTTATCCGTTAAAACAAAGTGAGCACCACTGAAGCAGCATATCCCGCCTGCGCCAATGCCAAGCAAAAAGGAGAACGTTTGTAAGCGTGTGCAACCGAAAAGAGGAAATCGTGAAATGGGCAAAGTCAAAAGCAAAGAGATGATGCCATAATAGTTATAGCACTAAGTTGGCCGCTTCTGGTTTGGAGGCGAAGCCGTCTGCTTGGCCGTTGTGGTAAGCCGATGGATGACCATGCGATTCTATACTGGCTGAGCCGCTCGACTGCCTACACGCTCTGAATAGCCAGGCAAGCGGCTACAGAATTCAATATCTGGCATGCACAGTGTTCGAGGTTGCAGGTAGGCGTCAACCTCGAGAGCGGCATCCTCCATAGCAGCCTCAAAAGTTGGTAAACCTGTGGCATCAACTCGTCCACCTCCCCGAGAACCAACACCGATCTGCAGCGGCACGCCCAGGGTGACAACGGAGCTGGTGCCTGCCAGTGCTGATAACGTCACTGTCATCCACAAAACGTACACTCGCGATGATATACACGAGTGAAAAGTTGGAACGAATTGCTTCTTATCATCTGGTAGCTGTACTGGAACCCGGACCTGCATTCCGTAGTAATAGGGGATGGTCTTGTTGTTACGTGTACGGCTGTCCAGGCTTTGTCGCCCACTGGCTGAATGTTCCGAGTCGGAATGAAGATCAGAGCCGTAACCAGAATCCCGCCTCCCCTGTTCCGTAACATGCGGTTTCCAAGAAACTTTCTCAACAGGCGTTGCAGGCAACGCAATAGAGCTCGAATAAGCACCGCGACCATCGGCACTATACGAACGAGCCCAATCTTTGAGATTGGGATATTGGTTGATACCAGCGGCGCTATAGTAAGTTACTGCAGTTACCTTGGAAGTAATGCCTACAACTTTGGGTGGTTGCGATTCGCTGGATGTAGGCTCGAAAACCAAGTTCACCTGTGCAGTCGTCGGGGTGGTAGAGTGTCCATCTGAGCTGATCATGACGGGTGCTGGTTGATTCGCGGACACAGTCAACTTTCCGAGCTTCGGAGAGAGAATCGACTTTCTGATTGTCTTTCTTTTGGACATAGCATACAGCTTGTCTTGTTCAGTGATATTGAGAGGCGCATCTTCAGCCACCATTGGGATCACCTTGATGTCCTGTGACGCCTCTACTGCCTTGGCGTTTTTGCCATCGGCATTCTTTTGGTATACCCTTGCTCGCACTGAATATGTGATGCGCGACATGTGTGGCGTGAAGTCATCCTTGTCCCAATCTCCAATGGAAGGTGGGAGTCGCAAGTGAGCGTCCTTCAACGCGTCGTTGGGAATGCGATGGCTACACGCATTGAGAGTAAGGTATTGAGGGACGACGAAATTAAAAGGGATCGTATAAGTGGTGCCTGCTTGGAAGCATCGTGTTTCCGGATAGTGAGACTCCGGAACAGGCATCAACAGCTTCAGAAACGTGTGAGAGGTTGCCCGAGGTATGTTGATAGCATCAACTCGAGTCCTGCTAGTCCCTAGAAACAGGATTTGCACTTTGTCGAATGGTACGTCGTGGGAGGCATGCACTTTCACATGTCCCGAGACGCTCGAGAGTGTGGTATATATTTTAGATTGATAATGGTTGTCGATACAGATATCCATGTTGACCTTAGGTGTGATATGTTTCTGTACGGATTCAACAGCAGTTACAGCGTGGCTCTGTGGCCACGAACGGTTCGACATTTTGTAGGATGAGCGGGAGATGGTCACTCAAGAGCTGCTTATCAGAGACGGAAGAGAAGGAGCAGATGCGGGGTGGCTTGTTGCTGCTGCTGCTGTTAGAACGGGATGCGTGACAAGCCGCTCGTCACCCTGTGCCGCTGTGCCGCTGTGCCCCTGTGCCGTTGACGCCTGACCACTTACGCAGTACGAGTCGGCAGACAGAGTGAGTGAGTGACAAGGCGCGTACCAGGTGAGGATACCGAGAGAGAACTCTTTGTCCTTTATTTTGTTCCGACTTTAGCACTGGACGTCAAGGCCGCCCGCCCTTAATTCTGTTGGTTTAGTCGAGAGTAGATAGTCGAAAGTCAATAGTTCTGGAATTCTCTGTGTATATAACACAACTCGTTGGTTGGATAGATGTTCGATAGCTACGCTCCTCGTGTGGGTGTGGATGTGGTGGTGGTGGTGGTGGTGGTGCTGGCCTCATGGGTTATATATACTTATACACTTACCTATATCCCATGGCGCACCTACATAGTATAAATAATAGGCACGCCTTTCGCGAGACAAGCTCAGGTAGTTTGTCATATCTCGATCTATTGGGACGGATCGATGAATCAGGCAACCTGAGTCATCCACATGGGGGACAGATCCTGACAGACAGATCCAGGAAGCTCAGATACTACATGCATAGTACATACTATGTAGTAATGGTTGGGTCGGGTTTGATGCTTCAATTGCGCATGGTGTGATCGGTGACCCACGGATAGATCAAGCACTAGGCTAGGGCGATGATGGTTACAACTTACAGGTCTACTCCGTTCCGCATGCACTGGGTAACAACAGCGAGCGAAGGGCGGCGTTGACTTGGTGAGTTGACGTAAGTGGATCAGGGGTCGTCGTCCGTTTTCCGTTTGTCACCTGGACCGGCACACACCAACACTCATACACCTGGACAATCTCAGGCTGGCGGCACCAAATTTTCACAGCGCTTGGCCTGTAAAGGCACGGCGGAGGGGCTCTCCCCCACCCAGGATGCCGAAGGAGTTGAAGAGGCATCTCCGGTGCTCCCCGTGCATTCAACTTTGTCTGAACTTTGAGGGTCCAGATCGCGCTGGCCGCGAGACCAGTGGAGCAACTACGCGACTTCAGAACTGGTGATGCGAAGAAGCCTACATACATACTATAGTATTGACATCTCCTTACATGTACCTACCCACTTTTGCAACCTAGAGTAGGTAGTGACAGTCTTCATCGAAAACGGTCGATGCAGCGGCACGCCGTTCGCTTCGTCCCGGCGTGAGTATGTCTACCGAAGCTTGTGTCTGAACATCTACTGTGTTAATTTTTCATACTACTTTGATTGCCTAAGTATGGACAAAGTCACTCGTATGCTACAGTACCTACCACTCGAGGGGACATACCGGTAATGTAAATAATTTGCCAGGTATGGTACAGTAGGGCGCATGGCAGGGCGCATACCTTGACATCTGCTTACTTAAGTAGTACTTCATTTTCAGGATCGAGCTTAAGTAAGTCGAGTAAATGTGTAGGTACTCTCCATGCAACGACCAGCAAGGTACCTCTGAACTGAGCCGAACGGTGAACGGGAATAGGCTGGAAATTCGGAAATATTCGTCGCTCTTTTGCGAAGCGCTGGTGCGTGATGGCGCAATTACAAGAGACTAATACCCTCATAACTAGGTACTTATGTACCTACCTACTTACATACATACATACACAGGAAGATACATACTAGTTAGTACAAGGAAAAAAACTAAGCGTCTGAAAAAAAATATCTTTCACTTTGCCCCCTTTCATTCTATTCTTTCCCGAAAACAATCCCGTAGGCTTTCCCGAGCTCCAACTGAGCTTACGCTAAAGAACTCACTCAAGTGGGCATTATTATGTAAGTGCTGTATTCAGTATATTGGCGTGGCGCCAGAATCAAAAACGCCCTTGCAGCACGCAATTGATCGTGGTTGGAGACGGATTATGGACGACAATCCTGCCGCCTACTCATGCCTGTGAGCCAATGACAAAGATGATGCGGCACTAACACTCTGTGAGAGCCAACATTGACACGCAACTAACATCTTGCAAGATCTACGGATTTATATGGAAGTAATGGAGCCAAGATCAATCAGTTGATAAGGCGACTAGTACCCAATACTGCTTAATCAACCTTAAGGCGAGATGGAAACGTTCGTATAACGATGCACTCGGGTGAGCCTTACATCGTACGGCAGTAGCCCACGTGGGCACCTGAAACTTGCAGCATACCAAGATGCGACATGTGAGTTGTTGTCTTTGACAGCTTGCGTCCCGCTCAATGCCTGGCCGTTATCGGCCCTCTATTGCCTATTTCTTCGATCCTGGAAACTTTCCTCCACAAAGAGAGTTTGGGATTTGGCGTCATGAAGAAAAAGATTAGTCAGACTTGCTTCAGGGACTCTTCTCGTTGTGTCAACATTCGAATGTTGTCTTGCTTGATGTACTATTGGCTTATTATATGTGCACACTTCTAGAATATGGGGGAGATGATCCATTGATACCGTTTTTAGCTCTCTACTGTGCGGCATAATGTCTTTGTAATCAGCTAACCTTAGGTTTTAGGAACCTATTAGTCTACTGTGATCGATAATTACATGTAAAAGATCCATTGTGGCTGCCAGCCGCGCGAACTAGCATCGCCCCATAGTTCGGATTGGATAAAACATCCGGTTCTCGCTTCTGACTTCCATATTACCGATCAAATCACGAGTATATAGACGCTCACAATAACTCAGACCGTCTCTGGTGTGAGAATAGTTAAGTGTCAAAAATCGGGTATGCCTAACAAGAATCGTCTTAATGTTAATATTTAGTTCAAATGCTTATGAATCAGCGATGGTGCCATATGCGCCCTTCGGACCGTCAGCTTTGACGCCACGAATTTCAGGTAATCCAGTTTTTTCATCCACTATTGGTGATGGGTGACACGAATACCATCAAAATCCTAAAGCTCCTATCCGCGTCATCAATTGACGTCTATTAGCTGCGGAAGATTCGAATATACAGGCCATCAGGCATCAATCCCAGGATATGTAAAGCATTATGCCCGCACCTAAAGCGACCGCCGCAAACTGTACCAGCGTTTTGCGAAGTTCAGCTCCTTTATTTGGCCCAGTCTCCAGAAGCTCGGGGATAACGGCTACAGTTCCAACGTAGAGGAAAGTGCCGGCTGTGAATGGGAGGAGAAGGTCACCCCAAGACAAGCTTGTTCCCCAGATGCCTCCAGTCATACCATTGAAACTCCCATCAACATTGTTATTACCGCCAAGTTCCTGGACGGCAATGCCAATCAGCGTTCCTAGAAGTGCGCCCAATGCCGTTACAAATTGTGCTCCCATAGCTGCTCGCTTAGAGAAACCAGATTGTACAAGCAGAGCAAAGTCACCGACTTCGTGAGGAATCTCGTGAAAGAATACGGCCACAGTGGTAGTTGCGCCGATTGTGGGTGACGCATAGAACGATGCTGACATCGCGAGACCGTCCGTGATATTGTGTGTAAAGTCGGCACTGGCATTTTATAAGCTCTACTCAGGTAGCAGCGAATGCTCATAGAAGGGAGTAGCTGATAACTCACATCAAGTTCAGGAAACCTCCTAATTTGACACTAGGGTTTACCTCCTTTTCATCGCGCTTTACCACCGAATTTTTTTTATCGGACCCCTTTTTGCGATTCTTGGCTTCTGGACCTGCTATATCTACTGAACTCGACGTAGCCGAGGCAGGTGACGGTTCATGCGAATGGGCGCCGTGATTGTGGTCGTGTCCTTCCCCACCAGTCGCAATACGCAACCCCTTATCCATTGCCACGAATGTCATGAATCCGACCATTATAGCGAGCCCCAAGAGCAAGTTTCGGTTGGGCTCGACGAGCACAAAGCGTGCACGTTCGGGGGAATCCTCGCCAAGAAAGATTTCGGGCAAGAGGTGGAAGAGCGTATCACCTAACAAGCCGCCAACGGCAAATGCAACCATTACTGATAGCGACGATGGATCGATGTTGGTTGGACATAGTGCTAGTAGAAAGTTTGGGGGACCGGAGATATAGAGAGTTGCAAGCAGAGCGTTGACAGCGGGACTGCCAGGAAAGAGGATAGCGAATATCTTAGACGTCAGGGTAGAGGTGTCGGGCGCGGTCGCGATCTTTGCAGCGTTGAGCTGTCGGACAACATCGCACGTCTGAAGCTCTCTTTAGCTTGTGTTACAGGTAGCTGGGCACAGAGACTCGTGCGCTTACTTGAAGTTCCTCATCCAGCTGCTGCAAACTCAAGGAGTCGAAAGATATTGCAGGCTTTCCATGGTTCTCTAGCTTGGAGGCCACGGCCAATCCCGCAAAGAGACAGACAAACAACCAGCCCTTGGGCCGGTATAACGCCATAACCCGACGATTGACGTTTAGCAAGTTGAGGAAGCACAGGGTTACCATATAGTTGTTAAGGTCAGCTCCTGCAGATAATCCTTCCCAGGTACTTAAAGTATATCCGTCTCGAAGTGAGAGGCGGATGTACAAGGTCAGAGGTTAGCCCCCCTCCGGGAGACTCTAATTTTACTTAACGCGCGCCAGTAGCGGCTGACACTAAGAACCAAAACAATCCCCGATAAGTCCTAGCAAGCCTTCATCTACTTCATGTCATCTAAGAAAAACCTGCGAAATTAGGTAGGCAAACGAGCTCTGCCCACGCACAACGATGAGGCTAGAGACGGACAAGGCCACAAAGCTGCAGTCTTGTTTACCTCAGCTGTAACGTTAAGCATCCCGATGCTGGTTCCCCAGCAAAGTTCAAGCACTAGGTACACTGAAGCTCTTAGGAAGTACTAACTGGGTATATGATTACCTAAGCATATACATACCGTATCTATCTATGGCATATACCGAAATCAATAGATGGGTTTACCTAGTTGTTGCAGGATGCCCTTTTCTAGTACTACCAGGTAGGTAGGTGGGTACTTGTGACCATCCAAACTTACCGTATATCTCTTTAATTCATTCTCAACTCTCCTCATCTCTGTTTGGGCATAGACATTTGGTGAGATAGATAGATACCAGCCTTCTCTACCAGCTCGAACGTCTTCCTCCTGCCTATTCTAATTAAGTTTACGTCAATTGATCTCTATAGCTTCATAGCTATCTAATATATTGTTAACTTTGCTGATTATTTCGGCTCCGGCCCGGCCCGGCCCTAATTATTACTTCTTATAGTATATCGATCTAAGGTTGGACCGTTATGAAGAATAATGTGCCACTCAAGTAGTCCGTTTTGTCCCTTGAAGCTCGTCGGTCACCTATATTGTGCATCGCGAGATTATGTAACCAATTCAAACGACATTTCGGTCGCTTTAAGCTACACAGTGTATGAGGGGAACCCCTGACAGCGAGGTTGACGATGTCCACCCAGGTCCAAACTGATAACCTGATTGGGGAAATTTAATTTATACCTGGGGTAGCTACCCCGCAAATGTATGTGCACTTAGGATTACTCCGAGAAAACCCCCAGCTAGTTCCCCAGAATGCCCGCCAAGCTGCTCTTTCTCCAGAGGCGATGACACTATGATGTGATCCAAGTCGAGCCAGAAATGATTCGGGAAGGTAGAGAAGCAAGAGGGTACAAGCAGCCAAGTTGAGAAAGAAGTAGGGCCGAACGATCTTGGGGATATAAAATCGTACGCATATACCAGAACAAAGTCCTCGGAATCCACATGTAGCCTCCTCTCCTCTCACTTCTCTCTTCCTAGCACTCAATTCAAGTCAATTGAAGATGGGCGTCCTTTCAGCCAAGTTAATTACGTTGCTATCTGTGTTTGCGGCCGCCGGCGTAGCAAATGGGAGGATTATATCTCGAGCAGATGGCCTCGACAGCTTTGTGCAAAAGCAACGTGCTCTTTCTCTCCAGAATGTTCTCAACAACATCGGTCCTGATGGCTCTCGCGCTCCAGGCGCCGGAGCAGGTGTCATTATAGCCAGTCCTTCTACCGTGAACCCAGACTGTGAGTTTGTTGCGAACCTCATCGGCATCGCCTTCTTGACTGACAAGATGGTAGACTTTTATACGTGGACTCGAGATGCAGCTCTGACCATGAAGATGATTATTGACGAATTCTTGCTTGGCGAGGAACAGCTCAAATCCTATATCGAGGATTACATCCACTCTCAAGCCATTCTCCAGTATGAAGGCCTCAGCTACTCTATCGTCTCTCCCATTTATGCTTTCAAGGTTCTGTTTTGTTTATTCGCCTTCAAGTCTTGAAATATCTTCACGATCTACGACTAGAATAATTGATGCTGATCTCCAACAGAACTGTCACCAACCCGTCAGGAACGTTCCTCCCAAACGGAGCTGGCATCGGTGAGCCAAAGTACAACGTTGATCTTACACGGTTCAATGGAGCTTGGGGACGGCCGCAGAGAGATGGTCCAGCACTCCGTGCCGTTGCGTTAATTGCGTATAGCAATTGGCTTATCTCCAATGGCCAAGAAGAAAGGGCGAAAACAGTTGTATGGCCAGTCATCTCAAATGACCTGTCATATGTCGGTCAATATTGGTATGTCTCTCGACTTAAGCTGCATAGGCTGTGCCTAATTTGATTGAAGGAACTCTACTGGGTTTGATATCTGGGAAGAGGTGCTAGGTTCAAGCTTCTTTGCCACCCAAAACCAACTCAGGGCACTCGTTGAGGGCAACACACTCGCGAAAAGCATCGGCGTTCAATGCACAGGATGTGATCAGGCCCCTCAAGTGGCTTGCTTCTTGAACGAAGCGTTCTGGAATGGCGAGTACTTCACTGCCAATATCAACAGTGATCTGGGGCGCACCGGCAAGGACGCCCACACGGTGATTGGCGCTATTTCCGTGTTTGACATAAATGCCAGTTGTGACGATGCTAGCATACAGCCTTGCAATAGCCGGAGCTTGTCGAATTTCAAAGCTTTTGTCGATTCCTTCCGTAACTCGACTCTGTATCCCATCAATGAAGGCATACCCCCAACAGAGGGTATCGCCCTTGGCCGGTATACCGAGGATGTTTATTTTGATGGTAACCCATGGTTCGTAAAAACTGTAAAGAGAGAAGAAGAAAATCAAGTTCTAACATACTTGTACTAGGTATCTTATCACTGCGAGTGCCGCCGAGTATCTCTATGACGCTTTGGCTCAGTGGACTGTCCAGGGCTCACTAACCATCGATGAGACTTCCCTCGCTTTCTTCCGGGATATCTACCCAGCCGCCCGCACTCAGACTTATACGCCAAACGACAAATGCTCCGAGTTCCCCGGTATCCTGGCAGCCGTAACCAAATATGCTGAGAGCTTCGTGGCAGTGTTCGAGAAGTATACCCCAGAGGATGGATCTCTAGCGGAACAATTCAACAAGACCTCGCCCTTCAACCCGACGTCTGCAACAGACCTAACATGGTCCTACGCAGCGTTTGTGTCCATGGCCGAGCGACGCGCAGGACAATACCCTCCCAGCTGGGTCCCAGTCTCTGGCTCCGCCACCTTGCCGGACCAGTGCGCCTCCGGTTCGACCAAGGGTACCTACACACCCGCGATCGCGGCCGGCGCGCCCGACGTCAACGTGACGTGTACATCGAACGTGCGCTTCGAGGTTAACGCCACAACGTACTTTGGCGAAAATATCCTCGTTGCTGGAAACACGACAGATCTCGGTACCTGGGACGTCAGCAATGCCTGGCCGCTCGACGCCTCGGGCTACACGGACCAACGACCCCTGTGGGCTGCTACGATTGCGCTCACGGCCGGCGAGACGACCAACTACGTGTATGTGCGACAGCAGGACTGTGGCCAGGGCCCGATCTGGGAGTCCAGTACTGCGAACCGCACACTTGTTATACCGCCTTGTGATCCTGATGCAGACCCTGATGCTGTCCTTGTTGTGACAGACGATGCGTGGCAGGGGCCAACGGGTAGCAGCGGCGGCTGCTGAAGAGGTGTGGAAACCTGGATTAGACAATAAGTTTGTCAGTAATTTATTGGGTCGTGTAGAAAGATATACCTGCACATTTTTATTCCTTTGCTTTTATTCCATTCATGGCGGTTCTTTGATATTCATTGAGTAGTGTCGTAGACGAGGCATGATATAGATCGATTTCAAAGGTGTAAGCTTATCATTATCATGGTCGAGATCATGGTTGAGACCAGCCATCTTAACTAGACAAACTAAATCAGGGGGAACTGGGACCATTCGGACACATTGTAATGACCTACCTGAAACTGAAGTTCTTGATTCGAATACAGTAATAAATAGTAACCGCACTATTATGTAGAGGAAATACCCCTTCAGTTGATAGCGCGACATCCCAATTCTTAGAAAAACAACATTATACTTAGACACAGCTGTCACATATATTGATGCTGATCTTAGCTTGGTAACAAACGAACACAGTAAACGCTGGCATGTTTCCAGTTTGATATAATATATGTAAATGACTCCTTGGCTTCAAACAAATGATCTAGCATTGTTGATGCGTTCATACATGGCTCTTAAAACTGATAAGGTAAATGGACAAAAAGCAAAGCATTCCCCTTTTTATGACCTATATAGGATGCTAACCGTTGCATGTCCTCTATTTCTGAGTGTATTCTTTCTGTAAAAGCTTCGCAATCGTATTAAGTCTATGACACCGAATTAGTAAATGGTAGTTGACAAGGCGTGGGGCTTGATGACTTACTGGATATTGCTTGTTCCCTCATAAATGGCACCAATTTTGCTGTCTCGCCAGAACTTCTCGGCAAGACCCTCACGGACGAAGCCCATGCCGCCCATCCACTCCACGGCTAGACCGCTGACGCGGCCGGCGACTTGGGAGGCGAATAGCTTGGCCATGGCAGCGTCTTGGACGAAATCTTCGCCCGCTTCCTTCTTCCTCGCGGCATTGTAGACGAGGGCACGGGCGGCTGCTATTTCAGTATAAGACTGGGCAATTTGGTGTTGCATTCCCTGGAATTCGCCGACGAATTGACCGAATTGCTTTCTGTCGTTCCAGACGTACTTAACTGCATTTTCCCAGGCGCCGAGAGCAAGACCTGTCATTTGAGCAGCGATACCGATACGTCCTTCGTTCAGAATACCGATGGCATACTTGTAGCCTTCACCCCTCACACCTAGGAGGTTTTCCTTGGGAACTTCGACGTCGTCAAAGGTAAGGACGCAAGTGCTGCTGGCTTTAATGCCCAACTTCTTCTCCTTTTTGGCAATCTCGAAGCCCTTCATGCCCTTCTCAACAAGGAAGGCTGTGATTCCACGGTGGCCCTTGGACGGGTCGAGGTTCGCGAATACGATAAAGAACTCGGCTTCCATTGCGTTGGTAATCCACATCTTGCCGCCCGAGATCTTGAAGCCGTCGCTTGTTTCGGTGGCCTTGGTGGCAAGTTTGAAAGCATCGGACCCCGACACTGGCTCGCTCAGGCAAAAGCTACCAACTGTGTTGGTGGCCAGACGAGGCAAGAATTTCTTCTTGATGTTGTTAGTGCCCCATTTCAGGAGAGCCGTGTTGACCAATGTGTTATGCACGTCGACCATGACGCTCACACTCGGATCAACACGAGCCAACTCCTCAATCCCGATGATAGCTGAAGTGAAGTTCATGCCGGCGCCGCCGTACTCCTCGGGAATCTCGACGCCCATGAAACCTTGCTCAAAGAGCTGTTCAACAAGCGCCGGGTCCATCTGCTCAGCCTCGTCCATTTCGCGCACTTTCGGTAAGATAACTTCGTTGGCAAACTTGGACACGGCATCCTGCATCGCCACCTCGGTTTCTGACAAATGCGTTATGGGAGTAGGAGGAATGCCAGAGATATCAGTACGGCGGCTGGGGGTGGCGGACAACGGTCTTAACCTGTGTGGATCATGATCAGTATATCGTATGATAGATACGCTACCTTGCAGTCGCAATACATAGTATTAGATGATGAAGTCTACTCACTGCTGAGAATTCAGTGTCGTTGAAGGGTGTATACATCGTGGCGATGCCAATGAGACCCGCGTAGCAGCACCATGACCCCTCCGAACAGCGGGCCGCAACACTCGAGCAATGGAGGACATTGTGTGAAGGAATTGAGCTGATGCGATGGGTGGTGTGGCGGGCAAGAGATGGTAGAACGGATTGTGAGGATCGTCGTCGCGTCAGCAATTACAAGACAGGATTGGGAAAAGATTGAGAGAGGTTATTGGCGACATTTCCTAGTCAGCGCATCAAGACTCCCACCTCGAACCGTTTAGCCGAGGGTAGCCATGCCACTGGTGGAGCTGGGCTGTATGCGGCGGTCACTGTCATGAGACTCCCGCTGGGGCCCGCATTCCCCAGCCAGCCGCGGGCAGAGCGCGGGTCTGTCTCCCTTGACGCTACTATAGTTCCGGCCCCGCTGCTTCTGCTGCCCGTTGCAATGACTCCCGGGAGAGCCAAGCTGACATGTGAATGTGTGCTGCTGAAAGTGGGCCATAAGAGACTATGCCTTGGCGGACCGTCACCAGCTGCAGCTCATCATCTCGGAACTGCCAAGCCTGGAGCCGTCCAAATCTGCAATGATCCAATTATCGACTACAGGAGCTGCTGTATGAAGCAGTCGGCCTCGCGACATCGCAATCTGTAGCCGCCATCCCGTTCACGATTCGCCATGGCAGCTCCCATACTACGGTCAATATGGCAGTCGGCGGTACGGCGGCCGTTAATACGAGCGTTGACACCGACAACTAAGACAACGACAGTGTCATCGCAATTTGCATCGCGCCCCTTTTCAACAACGCCCGCACCCTGCGCAACACTGAACCAGGTGCTGCGAGTGAGTAGTGACCCTTGATCCTAATTGCCAACTTCGCTTGACTCGTCAAAAGCCACCGCTGACACTTGGTTCTTCCCTAGGGTTGTCGTAAGGCGCAGCGCGCCCGCCACGCCACCTCCCCCGCGCTGTCCGATACCCTATGTCCGCAGCAGAAGGGCGTTTGTCTGAAGGTTGGAGTTACGCGGCCGAAGAAACCCAACTCAGGCGAGCGTAAGACGGCCCGTGTGCGTCTGTCGTCCGGCAGCATGATCACCGCCTACATCCCCGGCGAGGGCCACAACATCCAACAGCACTCCGTCGTGCTTGTACGCGGAGGTCGCAGTCAGGATTGCCCCGGTGTGCGTTACCATCTGGTCCGCGGTGCTTTAGATTTGGTACGATATTTTTCCCGTTTCTGTGTATTGGATCTACTATGGAAGAGTTCAGTGACTTCACCGTATCACAGAGCTTCGTACACAGTATCCCATCGATGTACAGATACCGCTCGCTTCCACTCCTTTTCGGCCATCACTCTCTGAATCAAGTGAAAACCCTCCACACCGTCATGGATACACTAACTATTACATAGGCTGGTGTTTCAAGTCGTATGTCGAGTCGAAGCAAGTATGGTACGAAGAAACCCAAGAAAGCCTCAGTTGGAGGATAAAATCGCTTTTGCCTCACGGAATGTAGAACATAAACAAAAATGAAATGGCACCTTGCTACCCTTATCAATACCTGTATGATAGTGTGTGAGCCGCACGTAATTGGCAGTCGTCATTTAAATATCATGTCGCAGAGCAAATTTTATATTTACACATGAAGAATGAACACTGCGAGGTCTGTCTCCCTGAGACGCAGTCCAAGACGCCATTGGTCCTCCCGACCACACATTGCCGAGCCGTTTTAATGCTTTCAATAACCCGTCATGAGAAAAAAGATACACACTACCCATTTGTTGTACATGCTTTGTCGTAATGTATCATCCTGTCGCTTATTCCTGGTCTTCATATCCCTTTGGCTTCTCTAGCTTGTTGATGTCAAAATATCTTGATGTACCTACATTTGACATGGTTGTTAGTGCATGGTGATAAATGTAAGACACTTTAGAGGCGACCTACAGGAATAGCCCTTCCAATCGAAGTTCTCTTTCGGATTACAGTGACAACGAAGGTCAATGCGAGTCTGCTCGCCCGTTGGGCAATGAGTAAAAGGAACATGATAATATGCAATGTCGTTGAAGAAGTGGATTTCCTCCTTCTTCAAGAGCAGACCCGCGGCGATGGAATGAACTGGTGCGTCTCCCCAACGCTCGTAAAAGAAGCCTCCGTCTTGGTCAAGAGATTCAAAGAAGTCGATATACGGTTTAGATCGCAGCCATTCAAGGTTACCGATCTCGAAATTGGACCACTGTTTCTGGATTAGCTTGTCGAACTCAAAACCAAGAGGGTACGTCGTTACATACAAAATGGCATTTGTTGTATGTTTCACCGCCATCGTCGCTGAGGAACCCCATGGAATTGCCATCGACAATATGTTCAGGGTAATTTTTAATAAACTTCTTCACACTGTCCCACAACGTTGGGATCGTCTCAACGTATTCATACAGACTCAGCACGAAGCTATACTTCTTCTTGTGCTCGGACATATATCGGAATGGATCGTAGTGGACGTCGCAGAATAATTCGATGCTTGGTTCTACACGCCAATACCACTCGTAATTCATCATCAATTCCTGACGGAAAAAGAAGCCAGACTCGAAACGGCACATGTGGCGGTAGCTAATGGAATCGCCGTAAATGATCTTGCGCTGGGCCATGTCCTCGCGGACTTTCTTTGCCTTGTCCTGATCGATATGTTCTGGAAAAGACCAATGTTCATGAGGAATCTCACCATAGTAGGTCTTACCAGAGACAAGAGAGGTAGTAACCTTTTTGAAGGTATCATCGAAAGGCTTGTCATTCAGGAAGACCCAGTCGTAGTTGTATCGGCGGTTGAACCGATCCTCAACCTGGCGGATAGATCGAGCAATATCCCACACATCACCATTCCGGGCTAGGGTGACAAAGGTGGCGTTCATACGAGGACCAGGCGCCGTTCCAAGCATATCATTCCAGCCATGATCATTTGGAGTCAGAGCCATCGCGACTTCTCCAAGATCGGGTTGTTGTTTGGGGGTGCCCGGCGGGGGTCTCGTCGAGCCTTGCATAGGGTCGGGTTCGATGTTGCTGCTGTCACTACCGGTCACCGCCGAGCCCGATTTTCCAGGACGATCTACATTATCTTTCACCCCATCTCCGAAGTCCGTACCACTTGAGCTGCTACCCGCCCCTAACGAGCTCGCCTCAGTTGATCCGCTGCCGCCATTAAGAACAGACTGCTCCTTTTCTAAAGGGTTCACTGGTTGCGTTTTACTAAGGTGGAATGCGTCGGGTTGAATGTGATAGCCCTGGTTGTTGGAAATGAAGTAGAGGACTCCAAGAAACTAGATGCGATGCAGGGTTGTTAGAGAAGTGAAAACCAGGATGACAACGGGAGAAAAGCAAAAGAAAGGTGGAAGCTCACAAAGGAGGCGAAGACAATATATCTCACGATACGCGCATTTCCAGCCGCCATGATTTACGCCGATCAATTTAGATGTGATCCTAAGCGATCGTGTCGTTGTGGGAGAAACAAAACAGTCGTCAATTATTTCGTTGCGGCAGGAAACCCGAGAGCATAAAATAAAGGAGACGCCTAGGATGACCTGACAGTGGCGGGGCGAATTGAATGGTAATCTTCTGCTTGTGGTACAGAAAATAACAAAGGGACGTCAGGACATCACATCACTGCGTCGTACGCTGGGAGACTGGACGCCTTGAACTGAATGAGCAACTTGATGCACTAGGATCTGATTCCTAGTACACACTAGGGATTGATGAAGAAAGGAAGCTATGCGATAGGAAAACACAAGCTAGAGTAAAAATCGGTAATAGATCGGCCAAGACGAATGGATGAATTGAAATGGTGAGGAATGGAAGACGAGGGGCAAAGATACGTCACGGTCTTTAAGATGCAAACTTGCGCGATGATGATACCAAGTGAGACTGGCTTGCCCGATAAAGCAAGTATAGACACGAAAACGTCGTACAGAGGCAGCGAAGAAGAGTACACCACCGGTCCACCGTACGTAGAAACAGTCTCCCAACTCTCTGGCACGCCAGGCGTGGGCGACAGGCTATGTACCTGGGCAGGAAAGATACTTAGGTGGGGAGGCTTTGCTTGAGCCTTGGATGTACGAAGTAGGTAGAAGAAAGGAAGACGAGATAATGCGAGGTGAGGTGCATCAGATGATCAGGGAAGGTAGCACAAGTAGCACTGTTGATTCTGATCAATCGGCATCGGGACGGGACGTGCGAGACAGCTGGAGATACCACGACGACGACGACGAAAAAGGGACTCGGAAGCTTCAAGATGAGCGCTGTCCCACTTGGCTTGGTCATTTATTTGTGCGACTTGGGGAGAGGCCGCCGCGTCACTTGGCCACGCACCAGCACGAAGTAGGGGCTGAGGGGGGTCGGGGGTGTAGTGTAGGTACAGCTCTGGTACAGCCGTAGAACTCAGACCCCTGTCGCCGCCCCTGTCTTAGATCCATGGAGAGCAGAACCAATTGCATCGGAGCCACTGGTGTCCCTGTAATTCCTCATATCTAAAAAGGCTCGCATATTGAGTCTTGATAGGGCCTAGGTAGCCGTTGGTCTCCTTTCGCCGAATTATATGTTATATGTAGCTGTAGGTATCATTAATTGTCATGAACTCACCTCCATATCATGAGCGTTCTGCGCCAGACGTTTTGCAAAACATATTTACAAGATAGGCAACACTACATAATAACTCTAACACCAGATTAATAAGTAATCCGTTTGAACCTAGTAGGCGTTCGCCCTTTAATTCCAAAATTTTTTTTAAAAAAAAATCACTCTTTCTTACACCAGTTTATTCTATTGTCGAAGTTGATTTTATGATAGCAACTTGGGCTTCATGATCTAATTCAAGGTTTATGAATGAAAGGAGAGATCAGAGAACGTACATCCTAGGTACATAGTATATGCATACTTAGGTAACTGTGTAGTCCATGTCACGTGCTTATTTATAGTACTTTCGGTACATACATAAGTCGTAGGCACCTAAGCACTGCATAGGTCCGCCTGCCTAAGTACCTATGTACCTAATTATGTAAAACAAGCAGGAAGGAACACTACCGAGCCACAACGAGCCACAGCAAACCCCCCCACAAAGATGATTCACGGTTGGCTTCGTTCAATTGCGCATTTGTGGAATCTCGAACGGTCCATCAGAAGCTCGCCGCCCAATCCCGCGACAAAATAGAGCTGACAGTTCGATAGCGGTCGTTTGAGTGACATATTCTTCACTCGGCAACCCGTGATTATCCCTATCTCGTTATTGCCCCGGCTTCATTCATACCTCCGTGGTGCCATCTAGCTCACGTCTTTCTCTTTACCTTATCGACCTTGCCCACATACCCACACATCATGATCAAGCATTTCCCTCGCCCCAACTGCTCTCGGACTTTCCACCTTTCCTAGCTGTAAGAGACTATTTTCTTCTCCCGATATTTTCCCCTCCATGAATGCCGACGGTGTTCTGTTTAATACCGAGGGTCTTCAGGTCTCCTTCTTTGCGCGCAGAGACTCGTTCCTGGGGTGTGCATTTATATTTCATACAGCCGAGGGGGGCAGATTGACCTAGGTACCTCTCGACCCTTTTCGCGCGCAAACCTACCTGCCCCTCCATTCTGAACAATTCCAGCCCAACGTCCTCCCATCCTCCCATCCCCATTCACTCTCCCAGAAATCAACATTACTAAGGTATCTACACTTCTGTCCTTGAACCGCATCCCTTCTCGTGTATGATTTTACTCTGAGCCAAACCTTTCAGCACAACTCTCGTATCCCGCAAACAAGATCATGTACAGCTGCAACCTGCTACTGCGCGTTGCATCTTGAATAATCGCTGACACGAATAGAATCGGTTCTTGACCATCCTTTTGACTTGCGACGTCCCGACTAGTATCTAGAGAGGATCCTTAACGCCATGTCTAACATGGGTTCGACTGCACATAATCAGTCGGCGCCTGGCTTCGGCCAGGCATACGACCCTTTCGCTGATCTCGGAGGCGACCACGACGCCACCGACGAAGCACTTGACTTTGAAGATACATACGACGGTCTTGGGGACCAGCTAGATGAGACTGATGACGCTTTCAACGATGACACCTTTGGTGATACCGGAGCGGACGGCTCTGTTGGCAAGGATTTCGACTTCTTTGGTGCCACTGCCAAAATCACCAATGCCATGGAAGAAGAGCATCAGCGCTTCAGCCTCCATCAGCAAACTTCACGAGCTCCGCGCACACAGGCTAGGCAAGACTACAATACTGGCTACGCCTACCAGCCTGCGCCGCCTGCCTCAAAACCTTCTCGGACCGGATATGAAAAGTATAAGGAGGAGCCGACTGAACTTCAAATAGACGCCTCGATATGGGGAGTTGCTCCTAAGAAACCCGTAACTCCGGCAGCTATGTCTCAGCCTCCACCAGGGCGGAAGATGATGAGCTTGGAAGAGGTCGAAGCAGCGATGCGGGCTGGAGCGAAACAAACCACTCCAGTACCACCCGTGTCGCAACCTCAATCTCAACCTCAGCTTCAATACCATGCTCAAGAGATTCAGACAGCTGCGGAACCCGCCGTTTATTCCCATCAACCTGCGCTTGATCCTATTCGTCAGCCAATCAATGGCCGGCACCAGCGAGGTTTCCAGAGCAGCGAATTTCAGCAGCCAGCCCCGGGCGTCACTCATGGGCATCCTATTACGATATTGCAGCGACCTCCAAGGCAGAGTCCATCAGCTCCTGCACCACCCTTGCCAAACCCTATATCTCAAACGCAGCAGGCATCTTCAATTGCCCCAACGCAGATTCTACAAAATCCGAATCGTTTGTCTGCCGATTCTGGTAGGGTGCCAGTCCCCATGCATCCATCCCATAAGGCCCAAAACTCGATTCCACGAGGACTCCCACAGCCTCAGCTTTCCGATTTGTCTGAGCGGGAGAAAGCTGCTTTTGTAGAGGCTGAGGCGCGGCGTGCTAAGCGTAATCATAAGATTCACCTTATGTCCGGCAATAACGGTCTCATGACCCCTCAAGATAAAAGCTTCATTACGAGGATCCAGCTCCAACAATTGGTGTCTGCTACAGGAGATCCGAGCGAACAGGGCAACGAGGCCGCTCTAGCTGAGGACTTCTACTACCAGGTTCTGAGCTCTCTAAGAGCTGGGCAACGACCTAATCCTAACCAGCCGCTCAACAATTTCGCACAGACATATCTATTCCAGACTGGTACCCGTCGAGGTGGGCCGAGACAACATGGCCCTCAAAATCACGTACAACGCATGGAGCAACAGGTACAACGTGCTGTTGAGGCTGCAAAAAATAAGCCCAAGAATAAGCAGCTGGTAATTGAAGGCAGCCTAGGGAAGATTTCTTTTAGTAATGCCAAAACGCCGAAGCCTCTGCTGAATATCAAGCGAACGGAAAGTGCACCAGACACCAACCGACCAGCCAGCAGCCAACGAACACAGCACCCTAGCAAAGGCCATGAGAAGAAGGACACGCTTCGCGATATCGAAAACGTTTATCTTACGCTCATGAAAATGGAAGATCTCACTCGTAGTATGCCACCATCCACCGGGCCGACTGATCAAAGCATTGCCGATAAGCAGGACGAGTTTAATCAGTTAAATGACCAGCTATGGAACTATCTTAGGGTTCACGAACCTATTAGCAGTACATCAGTGCATCCTTTCATTAGTTTTATATCGTATCCGAAGGGCAAGAGAGCCGTCCCTCGCGTCTTCCGCTACCTTACCCACACCCAACGTACCACAATCTTGACTATGATTGTCATCCATCTTGATCAGCTTGATGTTGTTCGAGGTGCCCAGGTGCAAACCGGAGAGCCGATTTCCCTCGACGCCGCCACCAGGGAGCGCATAGAGCTATTCTCCTTGGCTGTTATGCCAAGTTTATTCCAGCTTTTAAACGAATCCGATCTTGATATCGTTACTGGTGTTCTGGGATTGATCACACAAAACCTGAATGTGGATCTAGTTGCACGGACTCGTATTGGCGTGTCAATGCTGACCATGATCCTAAGTCGCGCGGAACTCATCAAACAAGCAGGTCAAGCAAACGAACAAAGCTGGCAACAGTGGTGAGCAATTCGGACGTTTATACGTTGAGAAGCAAATTTCTGACATCAATTATAGGGTCGCTACGTTCAATCTCTTCTTCAACACGCTAGAACCTACGCTCCATAACATTTTCCCAGGTACCGTGACTTCTGGCGAGGATATCTATGTTTGGCAATTTCTTGCTGCAATAGGTATAGGTGCTAGTCCAGATGAACAGCAACGACTCGTTTTCGCCGTAAAAGATCGCGTTATGGGCACCGTTGGTTTAGCTAAAACCCTCCCTCCCGACATGGCGAAGGAACGTCTCGATAACGTCAATCTCTTCATGCGCTCCATAGGCCTTGATGTTGAATTATTGAACTAATTCACCGGGACAAGCCGGAGACGGACTCCAGATTTCTTCCATCGAATTGTCTTCCCATCACAGATTGTGTCGACCGATGAGCTTCAGAGCGTGCCATCTATTGGCTCTATTATCATTATTCTATGCTGCACAAGCTAAATCCCCAGAGGCTCAACCATGCTATGTTTATTGGGGGCTTGCGGAGTTTTCGCTATAGGGACATCATCCACCCCGCGCGTCGCAAGAACGGAATAGGCTACTTCAATTTAATAGGACTCGGATGAGTTCCTTTGGCTCTCTACTCCGAGTGGTAGAGAGTAGGTCTGGAAAGCAAGTGTACTATACCTTGGTCTTTACGAATAGACCCATATGAAATATCGTGTGTAAATAGCGTGCAAAAGGCATTGGCATTGAGGTAGCTTTAGTATTCTCATAGCGGCATCTAGTCCATGGCAATCTGAAGACCCTTTGTCTTATCTACTAGCAATTTGGACCGGACAGTACGACAGATCAACATTAACCTATCTAATGACCGACGGTGGTTCCAAGAAATCCTCTGTCTCTTTGGTGTGCATCAAGAGGAGTCCGGATTGAGTATAGCTGTCCGTCGAACGCCGTGTGGATTATCTTTGATCATTTACTACCTAGGTAGGTTCCGGTGGGACATGCGAGATTCAGAATACAGGTTTCCTTTTCTCGAAACTCTAAAACAAACTATATAGACCAGTACTCAAAGCAGTGGTCTATATCAGAAAATGTGAGTGAGGAAGTCGGAATGGATATGAACGCGAATCCGATCGAACTCTATCACCGAAGACTCAACTTACAGGATTAAAGAAGCCAGCAATGCTTTGTATCATATGAAGCTCTGTAAATAATGTAGTAACGAGTCAAGCCAAGTGACAGGCCTGATGAAAATGGTTCTTCAATTATATTTTAAAACGCCAGATGATAGTGCAGTCGCCTCCGAGAACGCCACCCAATGCAAACATGCCATCCGTCATGAGTCCACTTCCATATCCGTACCTTTAAATGCTACTGATTTTCCTTTCGCATTGGCGGTTCTCCTAGCCGCGGAGGCCGGCCCCGGCGTGGCTGGCCCTTTGCCTTTCGCTGACGCTCCTGTTGCCGTCTTACTCATGCTCCCTTCTTGCTTGATCTCAACCGTATCTTCTAGTTTCTGGCTACCCTCGGGGCCATTTTTCATGGCGCTGATGGCCTTCAAATAGTCCTCAATTTCCCACTGCGCCTGTAGCTGCTCCGAATCACTGCTGCTGCTACTGTCGATTTGGATAACATCGATTTCTTTCTCCTTCCCCTTTCCTTTACCCTTTTCTTCGTCGTTGGCTTGGTCGGCCGCGGGTTTCTTGGCATTGCGGTACACGAGGTTGTTGCTGAACACGGCCCACGACTTCGCGCTCTCATCGTCCTCGTACTGAAGACTGCTCCATGCTTCCGTCTGTACCGTGCGCAACCGGTCTGCCATTGTCTCGGTTGTCAACTCGCCGCTGCCCGAATCGGCGCTCTTGATTGACATGTGGATCGCTCGGGCACCGGCGCTAGATGTGGTTGCGGGCACGCCGTCTTTCCCGCCCATTGCGCCTGCGCCTTCGCGACGGCTTGCACGTTCCTGCTCATTCATGGCATCGATGTGGTGAAGTTGTGGACGGAGCTGGATCAGGGCGGATGCGGGGGTGAGATGCAAATGGTCTGACATGTGTCATTTAGTAAAGGACCAGCCAGCATTGGTAGGCATGAGATAGCGAGCGTCAAGATAGACCAACCTCCTTTGAATACGCCGACCATCCATTGGCATTCCGTCTCTGACTCGGGAGGGAGCTGTCCGCCCAGCGTCTTGGTCCGCAGCACTTTATCCTGGCGCACGGCCTCGCTCCAATCCATCATGTCGATGTCCCTCTCGAACTCATCCCGGCGCTTACTCGGCCGCATAGTCGAGACGCCGACACCGAATCCGCCAGCCAATCCGTGGGTGCCGCCGCTCTTGGCCGCCAGACTCTTAGCAAGCGCTCCACCCCAGCGTTGACCCTTGTCGCGGTCGTAGTCGACGAGGGCATGGCTGATGGGCACGTCAACCTCGATCATGCCAGAGCGGTTCTTTATACGCATGCCACTGATCTGGGCGTGTGGGTAGTTTATTGGGCCCTGCTGGTTCGGGTGCTGCATGATGAGCAGCTTTCGTCCTGTCGCGAGCGCGGGGTTTGCGTAGACTTTGTAGCTGGCGATGATGGGATCCGGGTCCGCAGAAGGATCTGCGGTTTTCTCGGCTTCCATGTCCGACGGACCAGAGGGCGCTACTACGCGTCCAATGTAGATGAGAAAGTAAGGAGTTGGGGGTATAATATATTATACAGCGAGGTGAAATGGAGACGCCGTGTATGCATGTGAACTGCCAACCTTGATGCATTTACATCTACCGAGCGAGCTTTAAATTTTAGCGGGGCGCTCTACCTGCATTCGTCCGGGCGCTTCCTTATCACGGATCGTAGGGCTTATCTAGACTTACTTACATGCAGACCAACCTCGAAAGCACAAGCCAAGTCAAAAGTTATGCCTGTATCATACCTACCAGTGAGTGTTACCATTTGAGCAAGATAGATCAATGTTGTTTTCAGGAGGTCGAGCTTGCACACCTCGAATTCCTCAGAGCCACGTTGAATGTCTAAATGTCTACTATGTAGATTTTTGTAGCCCATCCTGCTCCGTTATCGTTGTGTCACGTTCCACTACGAGTTCGCAAAATAAGATAAAAACACATATGTCGCTGTTCTCATTCAAGCCAAAGCTCTAAGTATGTACAAGAAAGTAGATATGTGTCAATATCTTGTAAGATACACATTCGACTCCGATCGGGGAGTAGCAAAGATGAAGACAAATGTTCATAATCTGTCATGGTCTTTTCCTCTTCTTCTCTTTTCGATCCGATCCTTGCGCTCAATCCATGATCGCAACCTCTGATCTATATTGCCGTCCACCAGTAACGGTAGAGAAAATTCTACTGGCACTGAGACCAGTACTCGCCGGATTTGACACAAGTATAGGGAGATTGACATTCAGTTGGGCCTGTGTAGCCGATGCCACCGCACTGCAGTTTTCAAGTCAGATTGTGTTCATTCATTGTACCGCTACTCTAGTAGAGATTTATGTGTGTATGAAGAGAATCAAGAGTGGCCCTTACCTGACCCCATTGGGGAATAGTACCAGTGGCGGTTGAAGAGGGCGCGGAGGATGTAGTGGTTCCAGTGGGTATGACCGTCGAGTTTCCTGGCATTGAGGTCGGAATGCCAGAGGAAGTAGTGGTCGACGTAGGCGCGGCGGTAGTGGAGGACGACGGTGGGTTGTCGCCACCACTACCACCACCGCAAGGTGAACCGGTGTCAAGGATTTTGCGAACCTGCTGAGCGTAGTTGCAGTTGTCGTTGACATTGCTGTCAGAGAAGCCAGCGCTCCACATCATGACACCCCCAAAACGAGACCCGCCCTTGACACCCTCGACGATCTCCGCGAGCTGGTCGGGGCTCGCGTAATAGGTCTCGCCGGTAGGACTGCCGTTGGCGCCGAGGGGAGCAGCGGGGACACCAACGAAGATCTTGGCATCAGCTGAGGGTGTGCCGGCTGTGTACTCTAGCCATTCATCGTAGTTAAATGGTGCGTTGCCGTTGATTGGTAGGGCGCACGGGTAGCTGTCAGATCCAAGAGTCAGTAACTACCGAAACACAGATATCCAGGGTGCCGGTTCAGCGGAAGAGAGCTTACGTGTAGTTGTTGTTGTTATAGAATTGAGGCCAGATATAATCGAATTGTGCGTTATCAATTATAACGCCCATGTTTGGCTCAGGGATAGGACACTGCGGTGCACCTGTAATATAGTATGTATTGCCCGAGTCCGAGGCGAATTTCTCCCTCAGCGTAGAAATCATATCCGGGTAATATTCACTGCCCCTGTTCGATTCCAAGTCAAAATCAAATCCGTTGACGAAAGCATCACCGAACGGCCGTTGAACGTCCGTGTTACCGGAGTTGCCATATGCATCCCATAGGTAGCTACCAATTTTTTTAGCTTCGTCTGCCGATGACAATGAGTACGCCCCGGAAGCGCCACCAAGAGAAAGAATGATTGTGACACCGTTGCCCTGGCATGTCTTAATGGCTGACGTAAGGTCGTCGCAGTTCTGGCCCTCTCCTGAATTGCTGATGAAGCAAGACTGGCCGATTGTGCCTGAAGGGATAGTGTTTCCATTGCCCCATTGGTAGAGGAAAGACAGCACTAGAATATCGATACCTGCGTCTTTTGTGCAATAGGCCGAGAGATCATTGTTCTCAATAGTACCTCCTCCGTTCTGTCCCCAGTACACAACGTTTAAACCGCTCGAGCTTTGTCGAGTCTTGAGAGAAGTGTTAAGAAGAGAAGTAGGCAGGGCCGTCGCGGCACCGGCAAGGAGACCGACGCCAGCGGAGACCTTGGTGAAATGCATGCTTATATAGAATAAAGAATGGTGCTATCAAAGCTAAAGAATGTATGTGCCTGAATGATAGGCTATGTGTGTAAAGGAATGGTAGGCGACTGTTAGTCCGGAATGCCCAAGTCGAAGCGTGGTGAGCCCAAGAACGAGGCAGACATTATTACCGTGGCATCGCGACATATTTGTAGTTCCTGGGGAGGGCCGATCTTGGGAGTCCTCAGGACTTGCAAAGCACTACCATCCTTACGACCCTCGGTGGCTGTCAAAGACAGTGTACGCCTCGTGGGAGCCGAGACACGTTACATGCCAACGCAAAAGGCAAGTGAGCCAGCTTAATTTAGAGGGGACCACTACGGAGTACATCAGGAACACCTACTAACATGTACCGCTTTAATGGCTACATGCCGGGAGTAGGTAGGCTCAGGCGAGACATACTCTAGGATAACCGAAGATGGGCTGGGCTCGTGGCGAGTGCCGAATTGTAGATGGCAGGTATGTGCGTAGGTATGAGTCTGCCTACACCACATCCAGCTCCAGGATAGGGGTCGGCGCTATATCGGAAAAGGGAGTTGTCTTTGATCCTTCTCCGATGGCAAAGACTCATGCGCGGCCTGAAGAAGCAGTTGCCGTATCTCACGTATCCCACGCACCTCGCGGAGCAATGGATCGGCCCCCATCTCTTCAATGCAGCACCAATCTAGTGTAAGTACATACTTGGTAGGGCGCGCGCCATCGCCAAACCTCAGCTCGCTATTCGTGAGCGAGTGAGGTGGTGTGACGACGTATGCTCAAAAGGGCTGCTGCGAGCCATAGTGGAGTTGTCAGATGATAAAAGGGGGCTCAAATGGACGCCACAGTTGGCTTTGGGTGGCTATTTATAAGAGCTTATTCGTTTCAACTTAAACACTCCTCCGCAGTCGACGTATCCTGCAACGGTGGAGACGGTCCTTTTCGGAAGGTGTCAAAATCTTCAATGCAATCATGGCGCACGCTACAGCAGGTTAGACAGGAATGTCTTGGTACCTGCATAAATGATCAGCGAATAGGATCCGGTGATGGCGGACATACACGTTAATTGGCCAAAGGATCTGCGGTCGACGGTCATCGTAGGGCGATTTGGGAAGGGTCTTCCCCGATATTGTTTCGCCCAATTGCAAATCGACGACCGGTACGCTGCCGAGTTGACTGTGCCTAGGTAGGCAAGCTGAGGTGAGAATGAACTTGGCAGCTGACAATCTAAGTAGGAGATGGAGAGCCTCTACAATACTGTGTAGATATCCCGAATGATTCTGACATGGGACAGATGGTATGCGATGCTGCCGATAGATAGATAGATACCTAGATATATTTGTGCTGATGTTATCAGTAGACCTTGATGTTGGCTCTGTCTACATACCGGTAGTCCAGAGTCGAAGTTGTCTGCCCAATGGTATCGTCGAGGCATACCTACACCACATGTGATGTAACCATGCGATGTTACCAGCATCGCGTCATTATGCCAAGTTATGCCAAGATTCCTGTGATGAACGGTTACACCATCTCAATGCCAGGCACCTTTCACAAGTGCCGACCGATATACCTACCTAGATTAAGTACGCTCCGTGTGCAGAGACCGCTGCCCGGCAGCCCTTCGCCTTCCTCTTGTCTGGAGCTTGTGTCCACCGCCGTAAGCACTATCGTGGTCACTCCGCTTCCAATGCTGAGTACCCTCGGTACCTACCAGGCCGAGCAGGCCATGTGCGACCTCTACCCGGATAACTGGGCTTTGAAGGTCATAATACTGTTGAAGATCGGCTCAAAGGTGATCTCCAGACCTACAGTTCTCCACTATCCGCTTCGCCGATCCCTCTTGTGAGAAAACGGTCCGTTTTGAGCAAACTTGAAACACAGCTCCCTAAGTCTACTTACTACTACTACTCAAAAGAGCTACATCTCTATACTTACGCTTGGTCCGATGCACTCTAATACTAGGACATGTGCACGCGCAGATACATCACCTGCATTAGGGGCGGTTAATTGGGCTTGTCACGCTGAGTAGCGCTGAGTCGCTGACTCCGTCTAATTCCTACTGGGGTCAAAGCATGCTGAAGGCTGAAGGATGCGAAAGTGATCCTGGTATTCCCATCAAGTCTCTGCGGCATACTGCAGGTTCAAGCCAGAACAGGTTACGGCGAGGCCAAGCTTTTGGCTACCTTACTTAGCCTACAGCTACGCGCTTCGTCTACGTCTAGGAGGAGGTATTCATTTATAGCCATGTTCACTTCTACAAACAAAATTGTTAACTCCCTGATTTGCGAGGTTGGACTGGGTCGCTGTCCCGAAAAGCTATCATCAAATAGCACACATAGCGTCGATGAGACGCCCGCTCCAGGCACCACCATAGGAATCCTTGCTATCAGCATACTCTACAAGACCAGAGTGCTAACAGCCCAAATGTGCTTCATCCTCCATGTATTCAGCTAGTTCCGGCGTCCTTTTGAGAATAGCTACTGTCGACTATGAAGATGATGAGGTAGATTTGATATCGCCCAGTATCTCGTCAACCCTCCGAGCTTTCAGTTTAGGTATTCCATAAATGCGAGAATCTGGTCTCATGTGTAGATGCGATGCGGAGTATTGAAAACATGATTAGACATCCGCCGGACAAGGCATAAGTCTTTATCAGGAGACGTGTTGCTTTCCAAGGTCGTGTCCCTTGACAACTTGTGAAAACGGTAAGACCGATTAGGTCAACTGACTGTGGATTTAAGGCTAAAACTCGAAGGATCGATGCCATCAATCAATAATTATGCTATGAGGAGCGTATGCGCTTCGAGCATTCTGAGTAGGCACGACATCGAACTCACAGATTATCTAGTTAGCCTAGAATATTTAATATCGTGCGACGGCTAGACTATAGTTTACGCTGAAGACAGCGAACCATAAACCACCCAGGAGTTGAGACTGCTGCCTGTCGTGAAGTTGTTCTGCGATTATCTAAATCCGAATTTCCTGCGAAGCTCTACCACACATGATGAATATCCAAATCGGCTGGTGGGCTCGTCAACTGAAATCTACTTTTGTGCGAAATACTTTGACTGTGCTCGTCACCAATTGTTCGATGACCTAGGTAAGCCTAGCTATCTAGTCTGGTGCAATATTAATGGGAAGGGGTTACGGTTCCTTTATCTCCTCGCGAAAGTCTGATCTCCCAGTATACTCTAACTGTTCACACATTGTAGGCAGTGTTGGTGTTATAGCTTCATTAAACAGAGTAGCGATTTGGTGGGTTATGTGAGGAGTCTTGGGTCGTTAAACTAGAACACTTATGTGTAAAGACGGCCTTCGACGGTCTCTTAATAACGAGGTCCGACGTCTGTCACTGGCAAACAAGAGGTGGTCTTTTGAGAAGGAATAGCAAATAGGAATGATCTCTTCTTGAGTGTTAAACACCTTGCTACTTCGTGTAGTAAATACGTGAGGGCGGAGCCCAGCGAGACTATGCGAAGAGTCAAAGGACTTGAAAATTTAGTCGAGATGTATAACAAGGGCATAGATACTGGGCTTGGAATTTGTGTGATTCAGATTATAATGAACAACTAGGGCTGCATGAGTCCTTGACCAACCAACTCCTTCTTGGCTGTTGGTGGCTTGAGTCGACTCTATATACAACGGGTCTGCCAGCCTAGAGTGTCTAGGTCTCTGGGATCTGTTTCAAGGAGCGAAGTCTGTATAACCTCACTTTCCAATGTTGCCCAATATTGCCAGCATGTCTCTGTAAGATCATGAGCAGCCTGCGATGGCCTTTCGTACGGCCGAAGTCCAAGGCGAACTGCATATTCAGCTGTCACAGCGTTCGTGCGTGTGACCAGATGAGCCTCGAGTCAGCAACCCCAAGTGGACATGAGGAGCATCGTCCCTTGATTATCCCTCGAATAGCCCACATATACTAGGGTGCTTGATGATTTGCTCTAGCGTAAGGCAAACATGAGATTTTGACCTGCACACGCGAGGACAACCAAAAATTTAGTATAAGGATGGAAGGGATAAGTAGGTAGCACTTGTTGAGGTTACTCCAACAGACCAAGGGATATAATAACTCTTAGTTATAGTCAGATATTCCCAACTATGTAGAGAAATCCGATGGCCGAGGGCCATATGGCTGACTTTGTCGAGACCCTTTGCCACACCGCCAGCGACCTCGTCTCTATAAGAATGGGCAAGGGTGACTAGGTCCTGCTGTATTAGAGAATGTTGCGGGATTGTAGTGCTAAGTCTGTTTTGTACGGGACTGATCCTTGTACATATGACCCGGTAAAAGCGAGTCAAATCTATTTCTGGCCTATTATATTTGCTGAATCTCTGATGTTTGCCCTTCCTGTTTGCTGTTTGATGGTCTCGGGAGCTCTGTGTCATCTGTGTAGTAAATCTTTGGAATGTTTATCGCGATGATCCCTCTTTACAGCCTCCCGCTTCCACAAACCCCCAAGAACGAGGATACTAGCATAAAGCCATGAGGTTTGAACTGTGACAATGTAAGGCTTCTGTAAGGAGCTTACAAACCTGACTATCTACACCAACTGATTTTGCATACACCATACAACTTGATGCAAAGGGAGCGTTAGTAGATTATGACCGTAATTTGGATCTTGGGCTGTGGTTTTCCCACAACCCCAGATTCGTTGCTATGCCTTCAATTCAATTCGTGCTTTGTTGATATATGTCCTGCTGCAATGTCACATTCTCTCTACCAACTGATCAAAGGATTTGATTCATCACGTTTCAATCTCAGTATTCTCTATTCACGTACATGACCAAATGGAGTCGATTCCACCCGTCTCGGCTGATCTCACAGAGACCATGCAACCTAATTTGTATGCGTCCTCAACTGTACCCTATACGATTGCCCTCACGTGCACTGCCCTCCGACTCTGGTGCCGTTGGATGAATAGAGCTGGGCTGTGGCTTGACGACTGGCTCATTCTCATTGCACTTGTATGTAGCTGGCGCCGACGTGCGAAAACAAACTAATAAAGTTCAACACAGGCATCCGCAACCGGATTATCTGCTGATCTTTTGTGGTGTACGGTAACCGGAATTGCGCATCGAAATCCAATCCACTAACTGAGACAGGGATACCTCGTGGTCTTGGAAAGCATGTGCAAGCCTTCGGTCCTGAGGTCCAAGAAGATTGGGCTATCGGGCTTTTTACTGCGGAGCTCACTTACACCGGTGTAATCGTATTCGTGAAGTTCTCAATTCTCGCACTATACTGGCGCATTTTCAATAAGAACAGCAGCATAAGACTTCCTATTGCAATTTTGACCGGCACAGTTGCCGCGTGGGGAATAGCTGTAGTAAGTCTACGACACTTATCACTCTGGCCGAGTTGACAATTCAGACAAGTCAGATGCTAATCTAACATCGGGCTAGTTTCTACTTACTGTTTTACAATGCATCCCAATTCGCGGTTTCTGGGACAAGACCATCAATGCTTCTTGTAATGTTGATAGCCATACATTCTTATTTGCAATATCTATCCCGAACATCCTAACTGATGCGATTCTTTTGGTTTTACCGGTCCCCCACGTGGTAAAACTTCACGCCTCGAAAAGCCAAAAGCGCGGCCTGATAACGATGTTTCTCTTGGGGGGATTGTAAGTTGACAATTATAGTCAAACATATGTCTTTGGTTGCTAAGGTTATATAGTGTCTGTATCGCCTCTATCTTACGTCTTGTAGCGGTGTTGACACAACCTACTGGGCCAGATTTCACCTGGAATGCGAACAACGTAGCTGTTTGGGCCGTTGTAGAGGCTGACTTCGCTATCATATCCGGTAAGACTACGCGTCTATCCGTCTCTAAATGCGAATATGGGACATTGACTTACCGCTCATAGCATGCCTGCCAACATTACGACCATTCTGGCTAGCTATACGACCAAAGCAATTACTGACTGCTCAGTCCGTACCCTTGTCATCAGACCCAAGTTCCAAAAGCCGGTATGATAGCCGCGCTCCCCAGGCTTGGGGTGCCTCAGTCCTCGAATGTACAGTGTTTGGCGGACAAGACGATCGACCTTCTGCTGGCTCGAATAGCACCGGTATAGTGAGGGACAATCTGAGGCATGGTCTTACACCTAACTCTCGTCAATCAAAGACGACTATACAGGTTCCGCTAGTAGGTATTGAGTCTCAGAACGACAAGGCGCATAGGGGTATTAGAGTTCAGAGCAGTTGGAAGGTGGAGTATGCATAGTGTGTAGGTGGAAGTTCTATTTCAAGGAGAATTACAGTCTCGTGGCGACCCGTGTCTCTGCCCCAGGCTCCGGTCACGGCCTAGCATCGGGTAGGTAGATGCGATGTCCGACTCGAATACTCGTATCGCTGTGCAGGGCCAGCAACCGACTTAGTATCTACGTAGTACCTAGGTAGTGTAATTGTCAAAGGATAGAGAAGTGGCTAGAGCTAAATATCGTCAAGCTGATTGTTGAGTCAGCATGGCGGGTGCCAGCCACTGTTCTGTTTCATCCCAGCCACCTGAAATTCCAGGTTTGCTTGAACAAACCCCTCTTCTCATCATCACGTGACTACCCGTGCCTACCTTATCCTCTATGGTCCGCTAATCGCGTCTCCTCCGAGATTCACGTTGAACACCACATTCAAATGACTTCCTTATATGCACCCTAAATCTCCTTGTCGCCTTATCTGGATGCATCATTGTCGTCGTTATTTTGCATTCAAAAGGCTCGGCCTAAGGTATCCGCCTCCTCGCGGGTGATCGCGCACGTCCGCTCAAGGCCACATGGCGAGTGTGAGCCGTCATTTGCAACCAGAACCATCTTCGTACTGGCTTCTACCCATCGCCTACGGCCGATGGAAGACCCAGGGTTCTGGTAAGGGGTTGGGTTGTTGAAGTGCTTGGCATGAATTCACTCGGCTGCCTGTCTGCGATGACTGTTGTCGCCTCGTTCGGTGTGGCTGGGCAAGGCGTGCGGGGACGATGCCCTCTCTATCCCCTTTCTCCTTGTCTCTCTTGCTGTTCCCATTATTCGGTTCCATCCGATATGGAGTCAAGGCTGCTCCTCTGCCAGAAGCCTGGGAGGGTGGGATTCTCTGACCGTATCGCCGGCAACAGAGGGGCATTAGTTTTCATCTTTTTATTACTGACTAGGAATGTTTCTGCCAGCTAACATTATATAGGTGATATCGTGTAATGTCGTCAACGGCATCCGATGCCGATTCCGATGCAGGCCCAGTCATCATTCCTCCAACAACACCAACCTCCAGCCCTAATATAGATATTACGGCGCAGCCGGCTGTCGTGACATGGCATACCTCCGACGGTGAGAACCGATGCTTGTCAAACCTGAATCTAGACGTGCACTATGATGCCCGCTCCAGCAAAGCTTTCTTTAAATTACGCGCTGCTGTCGCCCTCAAATCCCACCCTCGCTCGCGCAATACTGCTGTCTTCCTCTTTATTCACCCTGAGCGCATACGCACACTTGTTCTCGAAGATTCTCCGAGCGCTCCGGAAGCGGTAGCACTCGGCCCCGAGACCGTCTGCCTGCACTTTGAATTAAATAGATTGCCGGCGCTGGTTGTGCCAAAAGAACCCCTTGCTCCCCGGAATCAAACATCGGGCAACCTGCTGGATTCCATGCGAGCAGTAGTTCAGCAAGCTATTTTTTCTGTGTACACCAAAATACCCTGCAGACTCTTACCACGGCAGCGACTATTTGCACTATGTGGCTCGGTGTCTCGCAACGAGATTAAGTCTATAACTGCCCATAGCAATGCTTCTAGTCTTTATGCTGGTGCTGGAGGGAAGATTATTGAGGGGGATAGTCTTTGTTCCGAAAATATTGTTCCTAGTGTGGGACATGAATCTGCAATCGAGCCTCCCATGGAGAACCCCCCATCTTATGAGGAGGTACTGCCTGCACCGCCGCCTGAAGGTAAGCTTACGAAGTACACAGCGCTTTCTCGTCAGTCCATATTTACTAACAGTCCAGCAGCAGGACCTAGTCTGCACAAACGACGACGACTTAGCACCCCTGGGTCTGAATCAGGAGCTCATAGACGCGTAGAACGAAAATATATTGAGGATATCTGCGCTCACATGGTAGACAGTAAACTCAGCCAGCTTAGAGACGACATGTCCAAGCAGCTCCGAACCTTGGAGAATCGTATTATAGATTACGTTGATGAGCAGCTTATCTTGCAAAGACAGGAAATCACAGAGGATCTTGGTGTCCAGACGGAAGATAAGTATTACGGACTAAAGTTGGACCTCCAGAATTATGTCCGTGAGGAGGTAGAGGAGGCTGAAGGTCGAATCTTAGATAATTTAAGTACTGCTAGCTTCTCGTTACAATTAAACTCATAGACCGCGAGTGGCTTGTTCTGGATTACCGAACAATCGAGTGATGCAACCAGAGCGTAGCTGAGACTGACCACATCTTGCGTTATGTTGCACTAGATCATGGCTGCTGATTGTACATGCATTTCGTGAACACTACAAAATCAACCAGGGTCTTGAATAAGGGAAAGGTACGGATGGCTAAGTGATCAAGAGTGTACACCTCAGCAATCAATAACCAAGAAACTTTGATACATTAGAGAGGAAACAGTTGGTCCAGCACGTATTTTATCCTTGCATAAAAAGGAGGCATCATTACAAGCTTCGGGTATCACCACCCTATTCTTGCGATCTCTCGCTTCTGTTTTTGCTGCGATAGCATCTCCTGCTTCTGTTAGATTCTTGCTAGCTTATGTGCAGTGGTGAAGGACGACATACCGTCTCCACTGTATCCTTAATGCGATACCGAATCACGAGTACCTTTTCCTTCTGGTTTAGGCGCGTCGTCCGTGCGATGGCTTGGTTCTCAACGCTCGGATTCCATTGAGGCTCTAAGATAAATACCCGCCTCGCTGCTGTAATATTGAGTCCAAAAGCGCCAGTACCTGTCGTCACTACAGATCGAAGATTGGTCAGCCAGACGATTATAGCTTTAGCAGGCAGTCTGCTTGAATTTGGGGTAGTTCTCACTATGAGGATGTCAGCATCGAATCCAAGCAACCGCCTATGAATGAAGACTTTGAAGTTTCAAAGCGCACCCACCTAAGAAGTACTCGGGCTCCAGAATCTTTGTCGAATTCGTCTAGAATTCGCTGTCTTTTTGACATAAGCGTGTCTCCGTCTATGCGCAAGTAATCAATACCTGCGTTCTTCAAGTGACGACCAACGAGATCCATTGTGTGCGTCCAGCACGAGAATACTATGCTATAACAATGCGGGTTAATATTCTAAGTAAGGGTTCTGCTACTTTGGTGCCGGGAAATTACCTCTTCAATTCTTCCATACGATCCTTGACATCTTCTACCAATGCATTCATCTTGGTGGAGAACCCTGTCTCCTTGAAGTATGCACTCCTAGCTAATGTGTCTCGATAATTTCGTTTGGGGTTGTTGACACGGGTTGGGACAGTGCCGTTTCGCAAACATTTCGCAGCATCTTTATAATGGCAACGAGGACAGGGCATCGAATCGGTAGGCTTCAAGATTTCCTCCAAGTACTCAAGGCAAGAGGTACAAAAGAAGTGGCCACAACTGTTTGTCGTCAAAATGAGCGCTGGCCTAGGTTGCTCGCAGCCGTCGCACTTCGATTCGAAGTTAGTCCCGGAGCCAGCAGCCAAAGACTCGTCCAGCTGGAGGGCGATTCTTTTCCACGAAAATGGCTTTTGATAAGTACCGTGGTTACATAGGATCCTTAGTTGCAACTGTGCTTGGAATAATCCAAACTCTCGGTGCTTATCAAACTGTCCGACCTTCTCACTCACGGATCGCTGTAGCGTCTTCAATGTGCTGTTGTATTGCCGCATTTCTTCTGGGCTAAACTGAAGTGGCCGTTCTCGTTCCTCTGTGCCTGGTAGAAGGAGAATATCCTTGTTGCGCCGAAGACAAAGCGAATCGTAGAGAAGAACAAGACGGTCCTTGACAATTTCGTCACCTTGCTCGAAGGGCAAGACGATGAATCGCCGGAATTGAGTGATATTATCGAATGGATCGGCTCGTAAGAAAGCAAACAAGGCACCGACGTCAAGCAGTCTATTTTGAATCGGTGTACCCGTGAGACACCACTACAACCGCTGGAATCAGTAATTACTCTTGCAGGTAAAAATTTTGGGAGTTCTGCATACTCCTGAGACACACTTGTGCCTCCAATTGCCAACTATGGCCTGCGGGAGAACTATAACAAGGAGAAAATGACTCTAGTGGCTACATACTCGTGATCTGGCTTGAAGCTCAAGACAGGTACTGTGAAAAGTATTTGACGGTCGTCGGATAACGTGTGCTGTGAGCCGTTAGTCAACCGAGTTCTAACAAGTTCTACAATCTTCAGATTTGGCACCTTCGTCTAGAACAATGCGATACCACCAGATCTTATGTAGTTTACTTTTCTTACTGGCGAACTCGGTGCGAAGTGTTTGATAAGTTGTGACTATCAAATCACAATCGGCAAGAACATTCAAGTCTTTCTCCCTTCCGACCCCATGGTATTTGACATGCTTCAAGCTGTCGCCTATATGTCTATTGGTGGGTTATTAGAACATCCTCCTCGGTCAGGGACAGCAAACTTACTTTCTGACCTCATTTAGCCAGTTATTTATCAGAACTGTTTTAGTGTCAGCTTTGTATTCCTGACTGAAGACTAGGGTGTCAGTCACTAACGGGCGGATGGGACAATTACCAGTGTTGCCCGAGAGTACTTTTCAATCCCAGTGCTGTGATACGCCTCGCTCTGCCTCCTTTGAGCCCATTGACGACCCTCATCTAGCGTATCGAGGAGAAGGGCCAATAGACACAGGGACTTTCCCATCCCCATTTCATCAGCTAAAATGCCGCCACCCCTTTCTTCCGGCGGCACAGTAGACCGAGTTTTCGTCACCCTGTGAATGTACCTATGGAGAGATAAGTATACATTCAGCATTTCTATCAGATTTTAGAAGAAGGTACATTTCTTTGCCTTCGCACTGAGACTTTTTCCAAAGACGATATTTCTCTGGGATATTACCGGATTCCCGCTGCTTCATGAATGTTAATGCCCGTTGTTGGTGACTTTAGTAATATCACATGTTAGCTTGATTGATAAGACCACAGTGATGGTTCACCTACTCTAGGAGTGTCGTCTGTAGCCTTCGATCGCCAGAAGTGGTTTCGAGCTCTCCGGCCCTTTGGAGGGAAATATGAACCTCGGAAACGATCTTCTGGATCCTATCCTGCTTGGTCATTTGTCCTTGTTCATCCAGGGGCCTACGCATATCATTGGCACCAGCAGAGATCTGGTTAATATCGGGGAAATGGACAACATGAGGGTTATCGTAAGGGAAATCAGTTTTGTAATTGTCTGGTCTTTGAAGCCATAGCTTCTTGACCGAGAGCTCGTCCCCAATCTTCTTCGCTGCGTCGCGCAAGCCGTATACATTGATGTCCATGCGTATTTTCCGATCAGAGGATTTGATGATTTTTCCAATTCTATCGCGAAGGACATTCGTAGAGGCAACACCTTCAAGGAAGAACGATGAATATTGTTCCATCACGGGGCTAAGCGATTCGAACATTGAGTCGCTGAGGATGCCAAGTGTGGCTCCGTCTGTAAAGGTAACAGTAAGATGATCGACTTTCCGCTCGACAGTAAAGACAAGAACTTTCTCGGCCCCAGTTGCTCGGGTCTCGTGTTGCAACTTCGAATTGAGCTTTGGCATGTTGCTCTCTGAAAGTTTGACTTCAACCTGGTATATCATACCGTAACATATGCGCTCGTCGCCTGCCATATTTCCATTCGGTGCATATTCTGGTATCGCCTCAGTAGGCTGTGAAAGACTTGATTCAGACCAATTGATAGCATCTTGTATGGCCGGAACATATGTGCTACCTATACTCTCGTCGTCGTCACCCTGCGCGGTATTGGCCTCCCAGATATGACGGAAGCAACTCTGGGGATCCTGTAACTCGGCACTTGAGTCACTCCATGCCGAGAAAGGTTAGCAAATAAGAAGATTCCGTGTAAAGTTATGACTTACTACATGGAACCTTCAGCATCGTCGCCAGCACTAGGCGTGGAAACAAACGACATGATAGCTACAGCCGGACGATTTCTACCTTCATATAGTATTATAGCTATGAATGATGAAGAATACGAGTCGACTCAACTAGCTCGACTGCGGGATTGCTCCAGCGGGTGCCTCTGCGAGGTGGTGTTGTGAATAGCTGAGAACCCCAATGCATAACAAACAGACGAGTGCCCTCATCCTTATGCGCATTTTAGACATCTCATGTCGGGTCATATGCACCGCCTGCTATACACATACACAGGGCACACAGCACCATCTGAGGAAACCAATCAGTGCGACCTTTCTTGCGATACGTATGATGCTTCGCCTCGCTCAGCTCTCTAGGATACTGGCGATGCAGCAGAAACTGCCCATTCTGGTGCGCGTACCACTTCATCTCACCCCCCCTTATAATCCCCTGTAATCCCCTGTAACTCCCTTCAAGGTTAGGTAGGTACTTACTTAGCATACCTAGGTACCCCTTCAGTCCCAGTAAGCGCGGGGGGGGGGGGGGCGGGGGGGGGGGGGGGGGGGGGGGGCGCGGG